ATAGGGTATTAGTGGAATGAAACCTTGTCATTGACTCAATGAACCAGTATAAATCCGTCCTGCTTGGCGGGTGGGTGGGGGGGGGGATCAATCTATAGAAAATGATGGTGTGTGAAAGCCAAACTGATGGATAATCTAAAGAAAACTCCTGTTGTGGGGGCTAATCCAAATAAATTGCCGAGGGCAACATATATAAAATCATTGGGACCATAGAAACTTTAATATTATTATAAATATATAAATAGACGGGAACATGAAATCGTTACAAAATCGTGCTGTGACGGCTAATCTACAGAAAAATCCCGCTGGGGATTAATCTGAGCAAAATGTTTATTTATTTCGTCACTTTTCACTTTATGTGTGTGTGCGGGTAGATGGAGAGATATAATTTCTGTTTGTCAAGTACCGAGAACAAATTGCAAAAGAATTTCTTTCACCGGAATATGGTAAAGGGATGTCTAAAGGACTCCCAACTCAAAATTGTCCGCTGAAACCCTATAGCGTTTTTCATAATTAGCATAAATCCAAGATGGCCGCCAATTGGACTTTCTGGCCTCCATATCTTGGAAACGACTCGTTTTAGAGCAATAAATGTATTATCATTAAATACAAAAGTGATACCAACGAATCGGAAAAAGAGGTTATCACGACTCCTGCAGGTCATGGTGTGACATCATGACGACATTGTGACGTAATGACGTCACACTGACGTTATTTTGACATCAAAACACTTAGTCCGGCATAACTATGGCTGAACCTGGAAGTTGTGCACAAAGATTTTTTTATGATTGATTTTAGTAGCCTACGGTGCCCTCTTTAAAAATCTGCCGGTTGAATCTGGGTCACCTTTGAGCGTTTTGAGAAATTCAAGATGGCGTCCAAGACGGCCTCCATTTCAAATAATCCCCCATAACTCCCATAGTATTTATTCTAGGACGATAATTTTGGTGTCTAAACGTATGTTACTCGGGTCAAGGAATACACTGAAATTATTCATTATGTAGTGGAGGCCGTCTTGGACGCCATCTTGAATTTCGCAAAAACGCTCAAGGGTAACCGGAGTTCACCCGGCAGATTCTGAAAGAGGACACCATAGGCTACTAAATTCAATCCTAAGAAAAACTTTATAGACAATTTCCAGATTCACTCTAAATATTGAGCTTTGACCGGACTAACTGCTTTGATACCGAATAAGCTGGTTTGACGTGAGAACTGGTTTGTTTTTGTAACACTGACTGACAGGACGGAATCCAATCTGGTGAGTGAAATTCTATCACTGAATCAGGCCCCGAGTTCACAAAGCATTCTCAGACTTATGTTGAGAATCTGATACATTAAAACAACATGCGCATTAGGAGTGACCGAAATGTCCAACTGGTGAAGCTGAGCAGCCTAACTGATTACATTCGATCCCTTGGTGGTGAGCTTGACAACATCGCCACCATTATTTAGGTTATTGTCGCAAATTATGCATGTGTCCATGGCAAAATATGGCTCTTTTCATAAAATTAGCAAAAAAGTTTCAAATATCTGGGGAAAACCCAGACTGGATTGCAAGCCAATCACCAGAGCTTAACAACATCCCCACTATTATTTAGTTATTGCCGCCAATTATGCACGTATCCATGGCGAAATACAACCCTTTTCACATAATTAGCAAAAAAAAAATTCAAATATCTGGGGAAAACCCAGACTGGATTCCAAGCCAATCACAATAGCTTGACAACATCCCCACCATTATTTAGGTTATTGCCACAAATTATGCACGTATCCATGGCGAAATACGACTCTTTTCACAAAATGGCGAAATACGACTCTTTTCACAAACTTAGCAAAAGAAAGTTTCAAAATATGGGGAAAACCCAGATTGGATTCCAGTCAGTGTCACAAAAACAAACTAGGTCACAGCCCGCTTATTCTGAGTTCTCTAAGACATCAGAACTCAAAATCATACTCAAAATCGGCCAAGGCAAAATAACACGATTAACAGAATTAAATTTGGCGTTCTTCAGGAATTAAATTCTTTCAAAGGTGGAAGGATAAATAATTCTTTTTAAATTCCTCAAACACAGAGTGGTTATGCAAGCGAAATGTGTCGAAAAATCGAATTTGACAAATTTTATATCAATGAAAAAAATGTATTTGTCATTTGGTGGCGGGCATTTATTTCAAAATAACTGCCAAATTTGGTAATATAATACCATTTTAAAAAAAATGGAAAAAAAGAAAAAAAAGGAAACAACATTAATTTGGTAATAAAAGGGCAGCGATAATCTCAAAAATTTAATTTCTAGAATTCCTGATGATAGAAATTCAAAATGGCCGGAAAAATGAAATCCAAAATGGTGGAATTTTAATCAATTGTCATTTCTTTCCGTTGGGTATGACTTGTAATATGTGGTATAATATGTAACAGGCATTGCCTGAGTAGAGCGAAGCTGATTATTGTTAAATATAAAACCTTCATAATTAATTTTCTCAAGTGATACAAAAAATGTTAAATAATTTAGTTTTTATTGAGATCTAAATTTTATACATTAATTTTGTTTTTAAAATTAGAACAAAAAAAAGTGTGAGAATTATTTTCATTGACGTAAAAAATATGTGACGTCATTGATTAGACGGAAATAGTTCTATGAGGCGCGTAATCTCGCTTGGGCGAGATTTGGTGGATAGAATCATTGACGTCATATATAGAGACCGCTCACGCCATTGACGTCATTATATAGAAAGACCGCTCACGCCTTATGATTGGTCAGGGCCGCCATGACACACAGCGCGAGATTTCCCTTCAGGGCAGAAGCCGCGAAAACCAATAAACAATCGGCAAACTGATGGTGAACGTACATCAATTTTTGGAGGAATTAGGGTCCTATCGACAAGCCCAACATATTAATTTATTTAATTGAAACCGTAGCTTTATTTTTGTATAGTTTTTTGGGGAATTATAAAGCGTTAAGCATTTTTTCCATAGGGAAATACAGACCGATACAGTGATGATAGGTCTTGTAAAAAGTATTTTTAAAATAAACCAATAATTTAATATTGAAAAATAAAATTCATTGCTTTAAAAACTTGCGCTCTAAAAGGCTGTGTCCTGCGATTTACAAAAATGTTTAGTTTGGAATTTTAGAGTCGGTAGTTTTTGTTTAAATCGTATTTTGAAACTGCCACGCCCATATTTTTATGTTGAAAATTTGGTAGGCCTACCGATATTTTTTTTTTTGTAAACTAATTGAGATAGCTATTGGAACTTCTGCAACAACTTTCATAAGTATATGAAATAATTATAAACATGAAGATCGTATTTTTTACTTCATTATTTATATTTTTAAAAAGTATGTCAACACAGATGTTGTAGAAGAAAAAACTTGGAAGTTTTTGGGTCCAATTATGGAATTTTTTTTTTTTGTCAAAATTATACTTTAGATAGCTGCTGGAAATTGTGTCACAACTTTCCTAAGTATATGAAATAATTAAAAACACGAAGGTCGTATTTTTTACTTCACTTTATATATTTTAAAAATTACGCAAACTGGCAGGTATAGTGGGGGGGGGGTGAAATTTCCACGCCCATTTTTTTATGTTCGAAATTTTTGTACCAATATTTTATTCTATTCTATAGCTACATTCTTAAGCATATAAAATAATTATAAACATGTAGGTCATTTTATTTACTTCATTATTAAAAATTTTATACTTAAACCTGATAGTTCATTTAAAAATTTCTCATTTGCCCCTTGACTCAGTTATACTCAGACAAGAAATTTGGTATGATTTATCAAAATAGACAAAAAGTAATTAGTAGATGGCACACTTGACATTTTTTAATTGCTTATTTACCTTTTTATAAGGATCAACCATTTTCGCCATGTATCAAAGTTCTCACTTGATGAGAATAAAAGTTGTTGAACTCCAATAATCCAATTGCTCATCATCGAACTTAGTCAAGGTATTGGTGTGATGATAAACGCCAAGTTTCATCGGTCATTATTATAAGGTCCGCGTTTTACCAAACTAATAAGCGTTTAAGTCACTAAGTGGTTGTGTTGGTCTTTCGTATTTTGGGACGACCGCGGTTTTGAGGATCGAGAAGCTAAATGTCAGAGATTCGAATTTCGGCTCGAGTCAAGCACTATTCTCAGTTGTCGGGTTAGGCCTATTAAGGAAAGGGTGTAGCCTACAGTGTACAGCCATTCGCACTTAATGATTGTGCACACCAGAGGTCCATTGGCAGTTAGACGTAAGAAAAAAATATAATTCAGGGTAAATTCTCCCTACCCTCACGCAACCACGTTCTTTCTGGAACTCATCTCATATGAAGGGTACACGATGTTGTCCGGATAGTTTCACGTAGTAGGATTGCTCCGAATCCAAATCTTTCCAAAATTGTGTCTTTTTCGTGCCGATTTTCAAATCCGAAACCAGATAGGCCTATGGGAAGCGTGGAATCTGAGTGTTGGCAGGCATACATTCTGCTAATTCAAAATTCTGGTTAAAAATAGAACGTGGCGATCTAGGGTTTAATCACACCCGGATCCGTAAAACCGTTTGCTTGTGACTGAATCAGGAAAGAGATTCTGGGCGTGGAAACATGTCTTCAATGTATCTGTCTGTGCTGTTTTTATGCGCTGTTAAAGCATTTGAAGTTATTTTCAGTGAAATTAAAAATGTATTAGAAGTAACGATAAATGAACTGCCATTAACATCATAGCCCCAGGTGATATTTAAAATAATTTTAAAGGAACTTAATCTCCATTCTTTGGAACTTGAAGTGAAAGTGGACGAAAATGGGCTACAAATCACGTATAAATTTAAGATTTACATTCATTTTTAAAAAACTTATATTGAAATATATGGTCAGTTTTGTTCGTTGAAATATCCGGGCAGTCCAGATTGACTAGCAGACGCTCCCGTCTGGTTAGTCCAGTCTAAATCGGAGATTTGACTCACGTTTATCCTCCTTACAGCGCCGTATTGCAAATGGCACTCTAGGGTATAGTCCTCGTCGGTTCATTTTAAAATTGTTTATTGTGTCTTTAATATTGGATATTATCATCGCCTATTTTCACAGTAAGATAACAACATCAATATTGATTGGAATGGACCAATATATAGTGTTTGAAATGTCAGAGACTCTGGATAACATTGAGTTTACTGGCTTAGCATCCGATCTGCTGCTGGACGTTCATTCATGATTAAGTCAAAAAAATGGATAATGGAGACTATGTTTTTTTTTATTGTACCGACTTTAGTAATGATGATCTAGGCTAGGCCCAAAAATTCAATCGCTAAATTCTCATTTCAGAGTGGATCAATTTGACTGAAATTTTCAGCAAATTCCCTTTACATTATCTAGTTTTTAACCATTATAGTTAGAACTGCCATCTATTTATCTAATCTCCCATAATGTATCTTTAATAAGATATCTGAAAAGAAGTCATCTTCCTTATACAAAGTATTTTTTGAAGCAAACAGCTGAAAACGTGACAATGGGGTTTTGATCTTAAGAGTTATGCAGATATTCAAAAAATTTACTATTTATTACAGGAACTAAATGGTGCGGCACTGGTGATGTTGCCAAAGATGATAATGATTTAGGAACTAATGCGGTCACCGATGCTTGTTGCCGCACACACGATAAATGTAAACCTGATATTGGAGGGTTTGGAAGCAAGGGGATCTTCATAAATGTTCTACCTTGGACAAGGTTAAACTTGTATTTACTGGTTATTGTTGTTTATTACAAAATTAACGTACAATACATAATACATAGTGTTGTGGACAGGTTGATTAAATTATTTTACATATGAAGAGACTGGTTATCACAAACGTGTTTATTGTATAGGTTATTTTGTACTGTATAATGACTAATTATTACAATTGTTATTATTTTGTAAGGTATAATGACTGATTATGATAATATTGTGTTTATTTTGTAGACTGCACTGTGATTGTGATAATGCTTTTCATAGCTGTTTGAAAAGTGCAAGAAACACTAACGATGCCGAGAAAATTGTCGCAGACATATCAGGTTTCGCGTATTTTCACGTTACCAACACTCGATGCTTCAAAGAACATTCTTATAAAATATGTACAAGTCTGGGGTGAGTTATCAAATTTTATACAGTCATCATTGTAACAAAAATACCCTGTACGACACCATTTTCAAGGGCTTCTACTTTTAATCTGGTCGTTGTGTATGCATGTACTAATATTTCTTAAAGGCCCAATATGGGAGACTGGCTGTACGCAAATGTAAACTTTCAAATCATACACAATCAACCTATAGGCATACCAAAATGCATTTTGATCATCTAAAATTCACATTATTTTCTGCTGAATCTAAATCATTATCAAGGATTTAATGGCGGTTGCACTCGTTGGGGGATCTCTGTCTTTTTGGCAATAGATAGCTTAGTATAGGGTGGTATCGGCTTTTTTGACAATAAATAGCTCAGTAGGAGGGTCTCGGCCTTTTTACATGATCCTTTTAGTTTCGATCATTCCAGCTTATATTGGCTCTGCTTTGAGATAACAAATTTTAGTCTGGGGCTATTGCGTGGTTATTGCCAGTTCGCGTAGAGGTACCAATCAAATTAAAACATTTCGTTTCGTTGCGTTTTATATTGCTGAAATTTCCTTTATTTGTATATTATGCAAGGACAAAATGTTTGCACAAGAAATACATGAAATGAAATAAAATAGGGTTTAACATCCAACTTTTCTCAGTAGCGGATTATCAGTGAGGCTGATGAGGCTGCAGCCTCAGGCCCAAAGATTTTGTAAAAAAAGTTTTTTTTAGACTTGTCTGATACGATTAAAAACGCATAGACAATGAATGTTAGGGGGGTGGGTTTAGGCCCAACGGGAATCAATATAGGCCCTGACCCGAAATTAATTAGGCCCACGCCATTTTAAATAGGCCCTATTGTTTGGAGATATAAAGTTACATTACGTTTTTAATGTTAGCAACTACCTTGGCTCTAACTTTAAAAACTAAATAGGCCCTCCAGCAAATGTCGCCTCAGACCTTGGTGGAGCTTAATCCGCCACTGACTTTTCTGCTTGACCCGTTCTTCCATCTCAGGTTCTCAGTCCCCCAACATTGAAAATCCATAGGACCGCTCTCGGCTAACATCGATATCGAACCCCGGATATCCGTGTTAGCGAGCAAGCGACTTACCCATTGGGCCACTGAATCAGAAATGAAATGAAATCGGGTTTAGCGTCCTATTATTCTGCACCCACTAGGCCAGTGAAGACCGCCATACGTCATACAGTGTGTTATGATGGAAATGTTGCCTCGACAGCGGCGCTACGGCCTACTCTTGTATAAAATTCCAACTGCCAAGGGATCTTTTACGTGCACGCCAATGTGTACGAGGGAACTCGGGTTTTCGTCCTATCCCAACGAATAGACAGCTGTCCTTGCCAGGCCCCCCGTCCTGCACCACTGACAAGGGGAAACCACAACGGAAAATCCCGAAGAACTTTCTTGGCCAACACCGGGATCGAACCCTTGACCGCCAGTTGATTGAGCCAGCGACTTACCCACTGCGCCACAGAATCAGACTAACTCGGCTTAATTTCAACTTTTCACTTCTTTATGCAACATAACTAAATGATGGATTTTCTATTTTCAGATGGTTTAAGTGTAATGGATATACAACATTTAACACCTACAAGTGGCATAAAAATAAATCATATTAAAGAGGAGACCCCCCCCCCCCCTACCCAAACAAAAGAAACTAAATACTGAAATAGAAAACTCTTTATTATAGCCACGTACGACAAGCCATATCGTTTACATATATTTCAATATTCAAAAATGTGCAATGTTTTAATATAAAGCCCGTTAATTTTGTGTAATTGAGCACACATGAGTTTAAAGGGATCGTCATGAAGGTCATCCTGTACGAAAAATATCAGTCAATAAATAATGTAAACTTAAATCATTTTTTTCAATATGAAAGTATTTTTCATTGCATATGATCTTACACGTCTAATCATATTTTGGGGGGGTTTATAGGGACAAAATGAAATGAAATGAAATGGAATGGGGTTTAACATCCTACTGTTCTGCTCTTAATGGGCTAATGAAGACAGACATGCAGTGTGCTTTGAAGGCAATTTTGTCAGGATAGCGGTGTTATGGTCTACTCTTATTTCGAATTCCAACTGTCAAGGGTTCTTTTACGTGCACTCCAATGTGTACGCTTGGCCTCGACATTTCGTCCCATCCAAACAACTATACGTTGCCAGGCCCTACACAATAAAAAAAAGTGGGCTTACCGAAACGGTATTGCTCCAAAAATATTATGCAAAACCCCGACGTAAGTTATGGTCATCCTAGATCCAGGGTGCTGCCGAATATATTATGCTTTCAAGAGGAATTTATTACGTAAATAGATATAATATGCGTAAGTAAAATGAACATTTTGACGTATTCTGACCTCCATAATATACAAGTGAAAACTGCTAGTGCAGCACGTAACAGAACCATAGCGCAAGGAAAGCATTATAAACAATATTGGACATCGTCAATATCATGGCAAGTTATTGGTACGAGAAATGTTGGGGTGTCACTAAACCAGTTTGCACGACATTCCTCGGCTGTTAGTCGATTATTGCGACAGCATCAACATCAACCAATGACGTAAAGGACCGTCAACGTTCTTTTAGACCTCACAGTACGTCGTTCAGAAAAGATGCACCTCTTTTGAGACTCGCGCGACGTACGCCATCCTTTCATATGACTGGAAGCTTCCAATTGTAACAGGTATAATCTCAGTGGTACCAAAGAGAGATCCTCACAGGGTTCTAGTGCCCCACTTTTTTTCCTAGCCAGAAGCCGAGATCTGAATCGACCAGTGCGGGATCTTGACGATTTGAATTAGGCACTACGCCAAGAATGGAAAAGACTAACGCACTCACCTGTTACCATAATGAGTATGAATTAATGAAATGGGGTTTCTGCACCCCGACTGGGCTAATGAATAGTGTGTTATGAGGGAAATTTTGTACGGACAGTGGCGCTGTCTACTCTTATTTCTTTAACGTGCGGGATCGAACAAGCACCAAGTGAGCCACCGCCTTACTCACTGAGTCACCGCCCCTCCCCCTCCTTCCAACGAGAAATTATCTGTCGCAATTACCGCCTAACATTTGTGATTTAATATAAAAAATATAGCAATACATGAAAAGTATTAATTGACATTTAATAAAATACAAATTTTAACAAAGATATCTCGCACAGATTATATTTTTGGCCCGCGTAATTACATGCATAGAAGTAGGAATATTACCAGTTAGGATTATGACGTGCAATCCGCTCCATATACCGCTAGATCACCAAGGTCTCAATAACCAATTTTCTTCGTATTCACTTTTTTTTTAATTGTCTGTATTTTTGTGTTTTCCTGAGTATGATGTCCTGTACGTGTATTTGTTTTTTTGTAAATTTTGTGTGGTGCAGTCACCCTGCACTTACTATTAAGGGTTAGATCTATTTCTCAAGGCCACCTGCAGATTCGTCATAGCTCACAGGGCCCTTATTCACGAAAACTTAAACTAAGATACAATCGAAATTTTAAGAAATACTGCAATTCGATTGGCTGACCAATATGCAAATTGGATATATGCAAATTGATTTTACTGGTCAGCCAATCGAATTGCAGTATTTCTTAAAATTTCGATTGTATCTTAGTTTAAGTTTTCGTAAATAAGGGCCCTGGATGTATCACGAACTAATTTTTCATCATCCTAGGTCAGTGCCTATGTGGAGACTTAACCTCTCCCCCAAATTCTTAAACCTAACCCAAGACGTAGCCCTAACCCACAATCCTCGGCAACAATCACGCGCTCTAACCCTGTTTACATCACGTAATTATGCATTTGGACTTGTCAAATAGATCGAACCATGGCGTTATAATGTATTATTCAGAAGGAGCGCGTGGTCTAGTTATTTTATATACGAGTTATTTATAAATTGTGTGGAAAACCCATAGAGCTATATATAGAAACTAGAGTCCGCACTGATCACGTGACAGCGTGCCTATATGGGGCCTTGTCCGCCATGTTAGTTCCGGGGAGTTGACGCTGACGACCATTAGATTTTTTAAATCGTGTTTTAGAATCAATATGCCAGAAAGTTGCTGCTGTTTTGGCTGCTCAAACACCCGAAAAAAGGGTAGTGGAATAGCGTTTCATAGGTTAGATTGATTTATCAACAACTGTAGGCCTAACTATCAAAAATCGGTCCATTCTTCTACTCTTCTCTAGTTCTAGCACTCACTGCACTGGGTTAGGGTCAAGCAAGCTCAGTTGCCAATGTAAACGTCAATAACAATCGAGTCATTTTAAAATAAAAGAAACCCTTTAGACTAAATCTTTATAAGAAACTTAAGATATATAATAAATTTTCATGTCATAAATATTTTTGTAAACACAAACAAGTTCAGCTGAACAAGCGAAAACAAAAAATTTAATGAATTAATGAATGAAATGGGGTTTAACGTCCTACCACCGGGATAATGTAGACGGTCATACGCCATACAGTGTGCTATAAGTATAAGGGAAATTTTTCCCGGACGGCAATTGAATTCCAACTGGCAAGGGTTCTTTTACACGGGACCTCGGTTTTTCGTCCCATCCGAACGAGACGCTGTCTCTGCAAGGCTCCCCGAATCAACCTCACACAACTACTTTACTAGGCCCTGGGCGCCTACCCCCCCCCCCCACACACACACACACAATTTGACACGTTTATCACCTTTTTAAAAAATATATATTATTAAATTATACAGCCACCATATCTTCTAACTCTTATGAACCTACAGTAACAATTGTTGTTTTTTTCACCTAGGAGGTGTTTTGTTTTTTTTTCTAATCACTCTAGGCCTAAGTGAAGTAAACTTTATGACCGTCTCTCAAAGTCTGGATCGAAGTTCCAGTCCATCATTCACTGTCCCTCTACCTCTCCTCTGCAGTAAATAAATATCAATGCAAGCACCCACCAGGGCTTAAAATATTATTTTCTTAAATTACAGATTTCCACTAAAAAACAAGGAGCTTCTAAACTTCAAGTTCCAAGTACACACCATGTACAAAAGAAGACTACATGTGGGGTAGGTTTATTTTTATTTTGAGAAAAAAACACCTAATATTACCGTAGCATCCTATTTTTATCCTTGATACCAGTGGCGTGGTAGTGGCCGTGGAGGGGCGGGGGACTGATAAATATAATTTCGCCTGTTTTTTTCTTGTCAGTGGTGCAGGACGGAGGAAGGATCTGACAAGCAACAATGTCTAGTCATTCGCATGGGACAAAAACAAATTCCCGCACAGCACACTGCAGCATGGCGTATGCCCGTTTTCATTAGGCCGGTTGGTGCAGAACAGAAGGACGTTAAAACCCATTTTATTTCGCTCCATAAAGCATACTTCTACAGATAGCTAAGGATAGAACTGTAACCGCAAAACTGTAACAATGTTGATTTTATTTCGTTAAAAAGGAAAGCATACTTCTACAGATAGCTAAGGATAGAACTGTAACCGCAAAACTGTAACAATGTTGATGGAAACCAAAAGTAAACTTGAACACAAAAGAAAAGAATTGAAATCAGTTAAACAGAAAGTAAAGAGAAGAGAACAGAAGATCAGCCATCTTTTAAACGAAATTAAAAACAACCAATTAATAACTTCTACAGAATTTGATTTATTGAACTTAAACTTTGGTGAAAAGGCATTTCAGCTATTTGAACATGAACTTTATAGCAAAAGATGTCAGTAAACATGGTCTACGCTACTCAGAGGAATTGAAAAAATGTGCAGTAACTCTACATTTTTAAAGCCCCCAAGCATATGAGTTTGTTAGACAGTACCTTCACTTACCACATTCTGCTACAATTGGGAAATGGAGTTCCAGTTTAAATTGTGAGCCTGGATTCTTAACAGAAGTTGTACTGCACTTGAAACAGATGATAGAGAAGAGGCTAGAATTAAAGTATTGCACGGTCATGTTTGATGGTATGGCGCTGAAGAAAGAGACAGTCTATGACCCAAAGTCTGGAAAATATTCAGGATTTGTGGACTGTGGGAATTTTCAACCATCCAGTAGCGACAGTTTAGCAACAGAGGCACTTGTTTTTATGGTAGTTGGTTTGTCCGGACACTGGAAATTTCCTGTTGCTTACTTTTTGACTGACTATTTGACTGGGAACACACAGAAAGACATACTTAAACAGTTAATAATTATTTTAACAGAAAACGGTTTGGTTGTTAAATCTGTGGTCTGTGATGGTTCCTATGCCAATCAAATGACAGCCAGTCTAATAGGATGTTCACTTCAGACCGAAAACTTACAACACTACTTTCCACATCCATCTGATGCCACTGATAGAATCCATTATATTTTCGATGCCTGTCATTTAATCAAACTTGTGAGAAACAGCTTTGCTTCATCTCGGGAATTCTTTCATGAAAACGAAGAAATTTCCTGGAAATATTTAGAAAGACTTAATGAAATCCAACAGAGAGACAATTTGAACATTGCTAATAAGTTAATTAACAAATAAATAAATATAAATACAACATTTTCTGCAGGCTGTTTTTAGTTTCTCTTCCCTTTTCATTTCCATAAATTTCTAAAAATAATTAACAAATAAATAAATACCGTTAAATAGAAATACAACATTTTACGTATAGGCTATTAATTTTTCTTCACTTTTCATTCCCTAATTTCCTAAAATAAACTAATTAACAAATAAATAAAAATACCGGTACATATAATTTGCGGGCTATTGATTTCTGTTCACTTTTATTGTTAAAAAAAAACCCCATTCATTTCTCTACACTCTTTATTAATTAGTTCCATAAATTTCTAAAACAATTTAACAAATTTACTGTATAGCTATACATATTGTGGACAATGCACTAATTTAAAAGATCAATATTTTAATACAAATTAAAAGAAAAAGCGAAGGTAAAGTATTAGTAATAGTAGACGTAGAGACTCTGCGGTCGAGATGCCTGAGATGTCAAATTAAATTGTTCTATAACCTTTACGTGGAAAGAGGGGCCCGGAGATAAGTCGGTCCATGGATCTTTATTATTATTTTTATCAAAAAATAAATATTTGGGTGAGATAATTTAAAAAATTAATATTTGTGCACGTTTTAAAATAGTTTGACACAGATTGATTGATGCGATAACATAGTGAACATCCGGGTATTTACGTTCATACTCCCGGAACTAACATGGCGGCCGTCGCTCCATCCCGGCACAAACCTTTAACGTTGTGGTCCAATCTGTTTCACAGAGAATTACGAGTCTCGTATAATATCTCTGTCATAGATGACTGCCTTAACACGTGCTGTCACAGCACGCGGTGTGAATCATTGGCTGAATGGCGCGTGCATTGTTTACATACGACATAACTGCTTCGGAGAGAATGCTGCATTTTAGTCAATTTAATACCCATTTACACTAAATCGGAAATAATTTTTACCTACAAATACGTCAGATGCCTTTATTTATTTTTCCAATATATACAAAAAATGTTTTAGAATTTAATTTGTCGCAGGAAAAAAGTTAATATTTCTAGCTCATAAAGCCGCATCAATGTCATCCTTATCAGTGATTGTCGCGGCCAAGCAAATATTCACTGCGGATCAGTGCCAAGCAAATATTCACTGCGGATCAGTGTGGTTGTGGTCATGGGGGTCACGTGATCAGTGCGGACTCGAGTTTCTATATATAACTCTATGGGAAAACCCAATAGAACAAGCATGCGCCGTGGAGCATACTTTATCATTAAAAATCCCTCACAGATAAACGGTTGTAAAATACTACGAACTCTTTTTGACATTTTCTAGGAAAATGTTTTTTTTAGATTAGAAAGATATCTTGCATTACACAGACTGTACTTAAGAAACACACAATGGCCGATGTACCACTAAACCGCGTTGAAAGGAGACAGTAAGTACATATTATCATTGTAAACATGGACGGGAAATCTTCCGGTACTATTTCAGTAACGTACCTCTACCAGTTCCCATGATCATAGAGACTTGAAATTTTCAGGGGGTATTCATGGGGCCTAGCCATGACCTCACACCAAATTTCAGCCGAATCTGTCAATAACTTTTTATTTTACTGTAGTTTAGCTTATACGAGAGAAAGTTTATCCGATTTTGACGCCATTTTGTTTGTTGGCTATTTAGACTCGAATAACAAGACAGGGTTAGGGTTAGGGCTAGCCCTGTCTACATCTTGAGACTATGACGAAATCTACAGGTCCTAGCCCTTGCCCTAACCCTTATCCTAACCCACAATCCACATATGACGTCATTCGAGCCTAAATAGTCAACAAACAAAATGGCGTCGAAATCGGATAAACTTATCTCTTATAGAAGCTAAACTAAGGTAAAATAAAAAGTTATTCACCGATTCGGCTGAAATTTGGGGTGGGTTTTCAGTGCAATAACAACAAGCATGTTGAGCAGGTGTCAATGTTTCAAGTCATTTATAGCACGCTTCATTCGTTAACAGATGTTAACTCATGAAAGCTGTGCTGTAAATATAACTTAGATCAGACAGGTATAGAGTTCACACGTGTGTGGGAGCTTATGCGGCGGTGATGGTTATTCCGATTGATCGTTGATACGTCTGTTCAAATATATCATCGTTACACCCTAATGACGGGTGAGTTCGAATTTAGTGACAATCGGACCGAAACAGCCCGACAAAATGGCCGATCCTTGTACGCAAATAGAGTAAAAGTATGTAATACCAAGGTTGTCGACCCTCTTAGAGGTCACAATTTTTATTCGATTTTGATGAAACTATATGTTTATATCCCAAAGATCTCGGTTCCTGTCCATATTCGCGCGTAGTACATCCCCGAGGCAAAAAATTCCCAGCGGGACCTAGACATAAATGGTTTGTGATCGTGGTTTTGATCCCTGGAGATAGGTAGCGCCTTCCCAAACTCGTGGGTTTCCTCTGTTTATTCAGGTTTTACCCCACAGGAAAGGCCCTGCGCGTGCGCTAATCATATATATTCAAATAAGGCCACTTGTCTGCGATATCACCTTCGGTGGAAGCGGACGTTAACCACTGATAGATGGAGAATAATAAGAATAAGAAGAATTATTGGTAATCCTCAAACCTTATGTCAAACTTGAATCCAAGCTGGGTGGTTATCTACCGTTGATGTTTTGATTTCCTAATATAATGAAATGTTAAATAATCTTTTGAGTAAGCCTACAGTACATTTTTACTTGAATTTAGCCGAGATAGATATTGTTTTACATTAAGCCGTGATAGTTATGTTTATATTAAGCCGTGATAGATATTGCCTGAAAAATACTTAATGATGATCAGCGACATTAAATTCAGTGACGGAGATTACTAAAAGTAAGATCTTGGCAGAGGCGGATCCAGGAATTTTTGCAGGAGGGGGTTTACCAGGTTCATGAGAAAATGTATCCCCCCCCCACCCCCCCTTGGCTTGAAATGTTTTGAGAAATACATGGTCTCTATCGTCATTTTGGCGTATATACATACACATTGATCTTTTTAAACAGAGGAATCCAACATCCTGTTTGACGTCAATTTTTATTATGAATTAATACGATGACATTGTGATTCAGTTTTATTGATGCAAAGCATTAATTGTGATATCACATATGTCTATATCATGATCTCGCGCTTTGAGTGCCTATCCAGTCGCACCATCTGACGATACAGGATAAAGCAAAATTATGACACTTTTCTCATAAAAAATGTTGTTTTACAAAAAAATTTATGTGGCTGAGCAGGGGGGAGGGTTGGACCCTTGAAACATGAGTAGGGCAGTTGTAGGTTAAAGTATTAGTCTTAGACATTCCAGTCTCTCAATAAACTAGTTGACAGAGGGATTTCCAATATCGTAGTTTCTCTTTTAATTTATTTTAACAGGCTCATTGAAAGAATCAGACAACATGAGGCAGATTTTGTTTTGTTTGTTAATCAGCGACAGAACACCATCAGGTTATTACTGGAAGTGGCTGATGAGTTAGATACAAGCAAATGGAGGGTCAGGATCAGCAGACTTGCTGGGTCATCTGGTGGAATATTATCTGGTGTTTTAACTGTTGTTGGATTGGTAACCTTACCTGTAGGTGGGGTTGGTGCTGGCTTTTTGGCTGCAGGAGGGGTTGTGGGCGGTCTTGCCGCGGCCACAGGTGCCGGGGCTAACATAGGTGACGCTGTTGTAAGTGGAAAAAGAAAAAAGCAATGCAACCAAGTGCTTGAGGCAGATAATCAAGCTGTCTTGCATTATCAAAACTGTCTTGACGATATACGATTATTCATCAGAGGGGTGTTGCCTATCGGCACTGTTGTTGTGCAGTTAGTGCGATTGGTTGACGTGCTATTGGATGCTTCCGGTGCCACAGTTAGGGCAGTTGGGGCTGCTGTTGATGCCGTTCCTATTGTTGGGGCTGTTTTTAACCTGATCACACTCCCTCTGGACATTGGCACCTTAATTTCCAACTCAATAGATATCCATAGAGCAACTCCCCATCAGATATCAGTAAGGATAAGAGAAATAGCACAGCAATTGGATGCTCAGCTTAGAGATCTACAGCTAAGACATGACGATGAAAGGGAAGAACTTGAAAATGTTCTTCTTGAGAGACTTGCTCCACGCCCAAGAAGAATTTCAAGAAGGGAAATGTTATTTTACGTATGTGTAATTGTTGTGTTTAGTATTATAAATCTGGTTATATTCATGTGCCGAAGATCTGATGGTCCCCTGCTTTTGACCTATGATTTACCGATGCTCCCATTCGATTGAAATTGGAGGGGGGGGGGGCGTTTGAATTCTGATTTATTTCCGGTCTAACAAAATATCATAATAACACCTTGATAAACAAAATGTGGACAGACCAATAAAAGTGTATATTTGGAGATGCATAATGTAAGTATTAGATAAGGAGCTGGCAGATCTCGCTTAGCATTGGTACCGTTGTGGACACTCTACATGCTAAAGTTATTATCTAATTGACTTTAAATTTAGGATTTATGCTCAGTGTTTACGGCCATGAGGCGAAGAAGCCTGTTGATTTTCAAAGATTTCTGATAATTACTGCCATACTTATAGTCCTTGATTACTTTGAATTCTTTAGAGGCTAAAGTTGATATCCGATTTACTTGAAATTTATGCATAGTGTTTATTGTCATGCGACGAAGAGGCCTATTGATTTTCAACAGTTTCCGATAATTACTGTCAGATTTATGGCCCTTGGTCACTTTGAAAAATCTTGTGGCCACTCTAGAGGCTATAAATTTATACACAGTGTTTATGGTTATGAGGTGAAGAATCCTATTGCATTTCTACGATTTCCAACAATTATTGCCAGCGTTATGACCTTTGATCACTTGGGAAATCTTGTGGAGGTGCTAGAGGTTAAACTTAATATAAATTTATTCTCAGTGTTTAAAGTCATGGGGCAAACAACCAAAAGAAATTCTAATGATTTCTAATAATTACTTATTGGATTGTTACTCGTAATCAGATTTTACTTTATTAAAACGTCTTCATTACTGACATAAGAAAAAAATATGCTTGGCAACCTATCTTTAAATTAAATTATTAATTGACTATCTTGTTTCAATCCATTGAAAATCACAAACATCCGATAGTCTAGAGGGTTTATTATGGTCTTGTCTTGTTAATAAGTGTCTACTAATTAATTTATATAATATTTGAGGCCAAAAGAAAGATCTGCAATAGGTAGATTTAGCTCTTACATAATGCATCTTTAACTTGAGAGAACCAGATGGAAATCCCTTCAAAGTTCCTATATTAGTGGACACTACCACAATGTAGATATCCAACAATGAATGCAGCGGAAAGACAACAGGCCTCATTTGAAGACTTTTCATGGCTGACAAATCGATGTATTTAGTTTCTTTTAGTAACTACCCGGGTTAATGAAATTATGTACAGCGTATTTACAATGATTAATGGCGTAATATATTGTTGCTTCTATTCACATGAAATAAATGTTAGACAAGTATTGTTTTTATAGTATAAGGACTTTTGAATGTTTATATCTTTTAGGCTTGTTACTTCCTTAAAGTCCAGCGTTTTCTCGGATATTGTTGGCAATGTTTACATTTATCAATGATCAAAATCAATTAAACTGTTAGTTTATCTAATATAATAATCAAAATTTACTCAAATGTTAGTTTATCTAATATGTCTATAAAACACCAGCGGTTAATAGGGGATCAACATGTTATTGATCTTATGTCCACTACACCTCGAGACTGGTAGACGGTGTCTTGTTAGGTATTATGGTATGGTATACCCACAGAATACTACATGCAGAGGCGTAGCCGTGAAATATATATTGGGGGGGGGGGGGGGTCCGCAACCCTAACCCCTAACCCTATTTTAAAACCCCCCAGAAATATAAACAAACACCATGTGGCCATGCTGTCTACACAACTCGTTTGCTGATTGGCCCACCGCGTGCAAAGTATTATGGTTACGTGGCTGGCTGAGCGGGCGATAAATATTTGGTTTAGGCGATAATGTTTTTGGGTACCTACATGCGATTCACTCTGATAAGTGGCAGAAAAAAATTAACTAGACACAATTTTATGGAACACAGTTACTTTTCACTTCACACATGTTTCAAGGATGATTCTCTCTGTGTTTTATTTTAGCAATGTAAACCATATTGGGATATGTACCGGTTATATACAGATAGAATCTTAACTAACACTAATAATTGTTGTAAATAAATAGGAGTTAGGGTCTACTATGTAAATATTTGGGGGGGTCCAAGTATATTCAGACCCCCCCTCCCCAGAAAAAAAATGTGTGTGTGTGTGTGTGTGTATATATATATATATATATATATATATATATATATACGTGTTTAGGGATTTGGTGACCGTGTAAAAAGTGAAACTGGATTCGGGTCTTTAACAAATGCATTCAGTAATGTAGGCTTAGTACATGATAACCTTTTAATAATCAATTTTGTTTATATGGGTCTTCAATATATAATTTCACTTTATTAATTTATGTATTTACTTTATTATTATTAAAGATTAACTCAGTCCATTAATTAACTATACATAGTTTAATTTATATTATATATATTTACTTTATTATTATTAAAGATTACCTAAGTTAATCTTGTGATCTTTCTTTGTTTATCTTGGACATCCAAAACTATGCATATTAAGTACTCATACTGAATTGATAAGAATTTATAGCCCTTTTTTGTGGGGATGATCTCAGGGACGCGCGGACCAGTGATGGGTTAACATGAAATATACTGTTTAAATTAGTTGTTCTATATATCCCTGGGATGCACATAAATTCATGCGGTTCACAGATGACTAATTTTATACAAAAAGAGATATATTAGTCAGTGTTCTTTAAAATACATGTAAGCGAATATGTAGGTCGTATATATTTAAATAGATAGCCTCTTTTTATTATATTATTATGTCTTTGTTCTCGGTGATAATCGATCGTGAGAAGGCTGGTTCGAGGGAGATTCACACTTTGGCAATTGGTGCCGATCAGAAAAATATTTCTTTTTCCATGATTAGATGAATTGTGTCTATATTATTTACATTTATTTTCAAATCAACTGCGCCATTTCGGTGATGTATGTGCCTCGAAAGTGTTGGATAGTTTGCAGGAAAACTAAAGTGCACATGACTGTCGAGATATATTTAATCAGATACATCAAGGGAAAACGAATTCTTGTTAGGGTTCGATTTATTGATACCCAGAAGATAAAGCATCTGCTTGGAAATTTTTCGGAACTCTGTGCTAGTCACATCATTCACTTAAGAGAAATCCCTTTGGGTGGGATTAGGTCAACTCAAACGAGAGAGAGAGAGAGAGAGAGAGAGAGAGAGAGAGACTAGGTCATTTCCGGACTTATGAAACCTTGTCATTGACTCAATGAACCAGTATAAATCAGTCCTGCTTGGGAGGTGGGGTCAATCTATAGAAAATGATGGTGTGGGGACCAATCTTAAGAAAAATCTTGCTGTGAAAGTCAAGCTGAACAAAACTCCCGATGTGATGGATAATCTAAAGAAAACTCCTGTTTGCCGAGGGCAATCTGTATAAAATCATTGGGACCATAGAAACATTAATATTATTATAAATATATAAATAGACGGGGCCATGCAATCGTTACAAAATCGTGCTGTGAGGGCTAATCTACAGAAAAATCCCGCTGGGGATTAATCTGAGCAAAATCCCTGCCGTGAGACTTAACCCCAAGAAAATCCCCTTGGGCCAATCTGAATAAAAAAAAAGAAAAAAAAATCCTGCTGTGAGAGCAAATCTAAGATATTAATATGGTGCGTGTATTTGGGTATGTGTGGGTGTTTGTGGGGGGGGGGGGGCTGTATAGAAAAATTAAAACACTGAATGTTTATTTTTCACTTTAGGCATGTGTGTGTGTGTGTGTGTGTGTGTGTGTGGGGGGGGGGGGGGTGATGGCGTTATGGGTAAAAATCAGGATGTCAAAGGTAGCAGGAAAATGAGTTATACCTACATGTAAATGTAGTAGTCTATGTAGTCTGGATCCAGTTGTTCAAATTATTTCCCTTGATATTTCAAGGTGAAGGCTGACAGCTGTCACCCATTCTGCACTGGTGGCTAAAATCCATGTCAGATATTTGGGTCTGCTAAAGAGTGTTCACATTAACTGGCTAAATCTATTTGTTAAGGCCAGCTCAAATTTTGTCAAGGTCGCTGTGACGTAAATAAGATTATGGCACGTGATTGTTGGCGAGATTGTAGGTTAGGGTAAGGGTACGCATTGGGGCTAGGTCCAGGGTTAGGTTTAAGAATTTGGGGGAGAGGGTTAGGGTTGAGATTAGCGCTAGCGCTGTGTACATCTCGTGACCTATGACGAAAAATTGAGCTGACTTAGCACTAATCGCCTATTTTATTCTCAAATGTTGATAACGCATCGGACTATAATATTCGTAGAATATTTTTCTGGATGAAAAAGACTAATTCCCAGCTTGTTGTATAAGTGACAAGGAGGAGTGGGGTCGCCTATCCAACCTCGTGAGTTTTCTCCGGTTTTCCCAAACTGCCTACTAGTAATTTAATGGATTACATTTGTAATGTTTTCGTTTACCGACCGAATGCATGCAAATAGGGTATACATAACTTAAGGTCGGATTTATAAGGAGGCAAGTGCGCCAACCCCACCATGACCAGGGCCTGAAGGGCGCCACAAGCTTCTTTATTAAGTTTTTAATAATGAAATGAAATGAAATGGGGTTTAACGTCCTACTGTTTTGCTCCTAAACTGGGCTAATGAAGACGGGCATACGCCATACAGTGTGCTACGAGGGAAATTTTGCCCGAGCAGTGGCACTATCGCCTACTCTTATATCGAATTCCAACTGCCAAGGGATCTTTTACGTGCATTCCAATGTATTCACGGGACCTCGGTTTTTCGTCCCATCCGAACGACTAGACAGACGTTAAACCCCATTTCTCTCTAGCTCTCCTTGTCAGGCCCTTCCATCCTGCATCACTGACAAGGGGGAACCACGCCGGAAAATCTGGATGAACTTTCTCGGCCAATGCAGGGATCGAACACCCGACCTCCAGGCTAGCGAGCCAGCGTCTTACCCACTTAGCCACGTGATGAAATGATTTTAAAGTTCGTTTTATTATTAATTTTTATCAAACTCTATGAAGGGCGTCAGAAAATAGACATATATATTCAGTAATTTATATCACGTTTAGCTATATTACAAGCTGACAAATGTAAACAAAGTTAGCCTTACAGTTAATAAAATTGAGGAAAATAAAATCAAACCACTTTTCCGGAACATGGCTGATGTTCCTGGAACAAATGCGGTTTAATCATTCAATATAATTCCCTTTTTATTTGTCATGTAATTTAATTTCTATTCTGTTGGACCCCCGAACTTGATAACGACCCCTCCCCTCCGTTGCCGGTCTAAATTTGGTCCTTATATAATATGAGTCTATTGGAGTGAGTGTGTGTGTGTGTGGGGGGGTATATTGGGGATTGATATGTATTCTGTGTATAGTTTGGGATCTACTGAGTGTCATTGTGAACCGTCTGAATTGGGTGAATTACAACGTCCTCTCTACATGGCTGGATTTGTCTCATGATTTTCTCCATATTATTGTAGGTTGTTATATCACGGTACATATCACTGTTACGGTGAAATATAGAAATAAGTCTACACTTTGTGCAAAAATGGATGGTGTTGAGATGGTTGATGACGAAGAGGTCGGAGATTCTAGGGCTATTGAAGATAAATATAACAGGTAAAAAAATATCTAATCTTGATAATTGACTTTTTTAATTTTTGGAGTATCTTATCTCCCCCCCCCCCCTTGAAAGTGATCTAATTCCCCTCGGGACAACCACGGTTATAATGTATTGAATCGGTAATTGGATTTTAAATTTGATCATGATTATAATTAGTAGAAGTAAACTGGGGCTGCATTTTCAGTAGCTAAGTCTCTAACTCAGTATCATGCAAAGTCTTCGACATTGAAAACACGAATTATTTACCGATTTAAATCAACATTGATGTTGTGACCTTGGCGGAAAAGATGGGCTTCTGGTAACTAATAAACAAAATAAACATTTTACCATTAGTACACGTCTCGTGTACCATAATGTGTTTCAGCGCCATTTGTAACAGGTAACTCGAAGGACGAGGCTAGATATCTTATTCTTATCTGGAGAGAATGCGCAATAAATACTATCGGCGTAGACTGGAATAACCAGACGCTAGATGTTGCCATTCGATTGAGACCTCTGGCGTATTTTGCCGAACATACCCAATTTGAAATTAGAGTAAAAATGGGAACAATTGAATGTAAATAGTGTATATGGGCCTATACATTCATATTATTATATGCGTTGCCTCCCATTTGTGTCAATTTCTAGGTCCCAAATTGGCCAAATATTAGTGAGTTAGCTCCTTTAACACTGCTGTCCCGGGGATTGTATGGTTATATACAAAGCTTCCAATTACTTACAAGTGAACATTTGTGTTCATTTAAAGATACATTAGTTAAGAGTTTTATATAAAGAGATGGCCATTCTTGCTATAATAATTCAAAAATAGATGATAAAAAAAGAAAATGTTGAAAAAAATCAGTCAAATTACTTTGTTCTGAACGGAATTGTCACTGTTGGAAGTTTGGTCTAGAATTAGAAATATGCATTAATTGTCTCTGCACCGTCTATGAGAATTGGGGATCGTTTAATTGACAGACGATAACTCCACCTACATATTCTCGATAATCAAGTAATTTCGCTTGGCAGGCCTTTCATCACTAGTTTTTAGCATATGCTTGATGCCATCTCCAAAATTTATTGTCCCCCGCCTTTCGAAGAAAGCAGGGGACTATTAAAATGGGTTCGTCCGTCTGTCTGTCCGTCTGTCTGTCTGTCTGTCCGTCTGTCTGTCCGTCACACTTTTTGGGACACAATAACTCTCTTCCTAATTGAGCTAGAATGTTCAAACTTGGTGTATGTGTTTATTAGGTCAATGCCTTGATGGAGTTCGAAGATGAGCATTTTCCGCTTAGGGTAAGCAGAGATAAGCAATTTGATTGGTTGATGCTTTGGGACACGATAACTCTCTTCCTAATTGGGCTAGAATGTTCAAACTTGGTGTATGTGTTGATTAGGTCAATGCCTTGATGGAGTTCGAAGATGAGCATTTTCCGCTTAGGGTAAGCAGAGATAAGCAATTTGATTGGTTGATGCTTTGGGACACGATAACTTTTAATTGAGCTAGAATGTTCAAACTTGGTGTATGTGTTTATTAGGTCAATGCCTTGATGGAGTTCGAAGATGAGCATTTTCCGCTTAGGGTAAGCAGAGATAAGCAATTTGATTGGTTGATACTTTGGGGCACGATAACTCTCTTCCTAATTGAGCTAGAATGTTCAAACTTGGTGTATGTGTTGATTAGGTCAATGCCTTGATGGAGTTCGAAGATGAGCATTTTCCGCTTAGGGTAAGCAGAGATAAGCAATTTGATTGGTTGATGCTTTGGGACACGATAACTTTAGTTCTAATTAAGTGAGATTGATGAAACTTGGTGTATAGATTTATTATATGAATACCTTAACTAAGTTCGATAATGAACATTTTTTGCTGAGGGTAAGCAGAGTGATAAGCAATTTGATTGGTAGAAACTTTGGAACACAATAACTCTCCTTCTAATTGAGGTAGAATGTTCAAACTTGGCATAGGTGTCTATTAGGTGAATGTTTAAACTTGATGTATATGTAGATGTTCATTAGGTGAATGTCTTGACTGAGTTCAATAATTAACATTTCGAGCTGAAGCTAAGCAGAGCTAATCGATTTCATTTGTCGATGGTTTGGGACAAGATAATCTTGATTCTATCTGATAGAGAGTGATGAAACTTAGTGAAAAAAATAAATGTGCGATTAATTAATATGTGTCATCTATTTATTTTGCAATTTCGGCAGGGGACATCAGCCTCACTGTTGGCTTGTTTGGTATTATTTAATAGGTGTCCTTGTTAAAATATTTCAGGTTAGAAAAAATCTTATATAGCAGACAAGGAGCTGAAATTAGTAAGAAGATTTCTGAATTTTGTCTGGATGAAGTGAAGCAACTTTGTAAATTAGCTCTAAAAAGAAAATCATTGAAAAAATTGAAACTTGTCTTTTCAAGAAGATGTGTTCTCTCTTGTGACTATGAACTAGATTTAGCAGCTAACCGAGAATTAATATCAAGTGCTATAGAATCCGATTTCGTCGAGGGTCTCGTTTATTTATATGATCGTGGATTAGTTTTAGATTCAGACGGATGTAAAAAATACAGTCATAGATTAAAATCAGAACGATGGAGTGCCCTGGCTGAGGCTGTTCAGAATATCAAGTATAAAGCAACGGAATATATTTTATCTATTCCTACTGTAATTAGTACAGAAACATCCCGTGAAATATTGGCTACTGCAATCACCCGAAAGGACATCCGAATTGTAAAATTACTTGTAAGGAACTCTGAAGTACAAAGTCATATTACTACTGAAAGTATACCTCTCATACCTTTATGCTTTTGTGACAATGAGGAATACGGCACAGTTGTGGACGAAGAGACAAGACTTGAATTGATTAAAGTATTAGTAGATGCAGGGTCATCTTTAGATTTATGCAACAAACACGGTCAAACACCTTTAATGTTAGCTGTTGTGAATGGAATGTTCACAATATTTAATTATCTACTAGATAACCGAGCCGATGCCAATTGTGTTGATCGGAAAAGACAAAATGTTCTTCATTACTTGATATTATCAGATCCAGATACATCCTCCAATATAGAACGATTAATCAATATTGAATCCAATTTCAATTATGAACAATTTTATGAGTCCAATTATAAATATTTTCAAATATCATATATTCATTTCGCTGTAGAATACGGAAAGTTTAAACTGGCAACTCATTTAATGAAATCTCGTCACGTGGATGTCAGTTTGAAGGATGATAGGTATAATAACCTTCTACACCTTGTAGCACAGCATAACAGCGATCAAAGTGTTGAGTTTGCCCAATCACTTATTGAGAAAGGAATAGATGTAGACCATCGCGATAATGCGGGAAAGACACCGCTACACACAGCATGTGCATATAATAACATTAATATAACCAGGATGTTATTGGAAGCACGGTCCGATGTGAACGTAAAAGACTGTTATGGGACCAGTGTTTTAATGATTGCTGTTGGACACCAGAACATGGAGCTAGTGGAGCTTCTACTAACATATGGTGCTGATGTAAATGGAACTAATGTTTTACTGAAAGCTGCTCAATATCGCAATATGAAATTAGTAAAACTTCTTACTAAATACGGTGCTGATGTAAATTTTATAGATTCACGAGGCGAAAATGTATGTCTAAATTGTTTTTATAAACAAAACGAAGTAAGCCGAATATCAAGTTTTGTCTTCATCAAATTATTTATTGATCTGGGCTTTGATATTGATAGAGTGAACTATGAGAATGGAATCCTGTACGCAGCTGCCCGCACCAATGAATTACTCTCATTTCAGCTTTTATTAAACTCAATTACAAAACTGGATCGAGTTGATGACATGGGTGAAAATATATTTCATATTCTATCCAAGGTGAAGGGTTTCTCCTATTCTAAAGTAGTATCATTGTTTGAGAAGGAGAACCTTAAAAAACAGAAAAACAAAACTGGAAACACTCCTCTAATGCTAGCCTCTTTTCTATTAAACACGGGCTATTTGGACGTGTCCACAACAAATGGAAGAAGTGACGTTGTTATACAAAACAAATACGGTCATACTGCTCTTCATATGTGTATGTTAGGCTTCATTATGTCAACGGCTAAGCTGGGAAGCGGGGGTGAAAATCGTCTAAAGTTCAGAAAATGTGTTAAATCCCTTCTTAATGCCGGAACTAATGTTAATATTCAAGATAATAATGGTGTTACACCTTTAATGATGGCTGCAATGATAGAAGATAAAATTATTATAAAATACTGTATGAAGTTTGGGGCGGATATAACAATTTTAGATTATAAATATGAAATGTCTGCTTTGCAGTATCTTAGTTTCAAGTCGAGCTGTGTCTGTCTTCCGGAACTACTATCTAAAGATCGCAATGCTCTAGTAAATTTACCGGGAAAAGATGGTAACACTTTGATTCAAAGAGCTCTGCTGTTTCCATTATTTTGGGATCCTAAAGAATCAGTGGATATCATCTGTTATTTACTTGCTGTAAACTGTAACCTACAACACCTTCAGTCAGTTTCTACTGAACGTAATTATTTCACGGAAGATATCGACCTTGATGACTTCAACTTCAATGAAAGAGATCGATTAAGGAAGTTGCTATATCTGAGTGGGGCACCTGAAGAAGAGATCGTCTTGTCCTTGAATTTCGAAAAAGAAGATGAAGTTGATGACGATATCACAGATAACAGACTTCATTCTCGTCACCGGGAGCAGTTTAAATTATTTTGCAATAACATTTCACTTCAGTCGCGATGCCGGAGGGTCATCCGTCAGATTGTTGGTTCCAGACTTCACATCTTTATTGTTGCTTCCAACATACCACATTTACTTTACAAATTCCTGTTTCTTGAAGATGGTAGCGGAGGGGAGGTAGACATTACTTTGAACCACAAATATTTTGTTACTCGTGAAGATCAGATTGAAGATAGGGGTGGTGAATATGATGAGGAGGAGGGTAATGATGATGACAGTCCTAATGTTGTTGATTTCGATGATAGGGGTGGTGAATATGATGATGAGGACGATGGTAGTGATGATTATACCACTGTTAATTGCGATGACGCTTCTTTGAGTTCAATCAAATCAATGTACGGCCATGTAAAGTATATTAATGTTCAAAATAACTGACCTGTATGTGTTTAGGAATAGGATATATTAAACCATGTTCTACGATTTGTGAAGTTTATTAAGTGCTGGAGAATACCATGAAAATATACTGATCAGAATATAACAATGATTTTATTTTATACTGATTTGGGTTTTGCATATTGATTTTAAAAGAGTGCCTTCGTATATGTTGTTGTTATGTATGAGAATTTAGATTTGAGAGAGAGAAAGAGAGAGAGAGACTAACATATAGTTCAATTTTATTTCAATAATTCGCTAGCGCGTAGGGGTCTGTAGCAGTGACATTGTGTAATATTTTGGACAATAAATCAACATAAATATATATCTCAAATTAAATTTCCAACTTTCACTTCACAAATTGATGAAGATTATGATTTAAAAAAACAAGCCAACAGTGAGGCTGATGTCCTCCGGCGAAATCCCAAAATAGATTGATGACACATTTTAATTAATTGCAAATTTATTAATTAAAAAGTATCGAACAATCAAATTTAAGTATTTGGGGAGAGAGAGAGAGTTTAACGTCGACTCGACACAATCTAGGCCATTTCAGGACCAACATATGGTTCAATTTTATTTCAATAATTCGCTTCTACCCTGAAACCATTTTATTTATTTACCAATTAGTAAACACCACACACATACGGGACGTTAGAGAGCATCGTAGATTCAGTTTACCAGTCACAATGTGCTTAGAACGGTCTTGAGAATTCTTTAGAGACGGTATTTTATAAAGTTTCTTACGTAAGAAAAAGTGAAGCATAACTTTGTGCTTACTTTAAGAATTTTCTAGGAATCGGGCCTGGAGAAAACCCACGAGGTTGGACAGGCGAACTTACTCGAGTTTTTAGCTTGTGGTCCCTCTAGAGGTCACAATTATTATCTGATTTAAGAAACCGTTCGAATATATCACCGTTACACCGTATTGTTGGTTGGGTTCGAATTTCATAAAAATCGGACCGAAACCGCCAGATAAAATGCCCCCCCCCCCCCCCTACTCAAATAGTGTAAACATCTGGTATAGCAAGGTTGTGGACCCTCTAGAGGTCACCATTTTGATTCGATTTGATGAAGCTTGAAATACATGTTTATAACCCAATGATCTTGGTTGCTTTCGATATTCGCGCATATCAGATCGTAACTTCCTGAAGTATGTCCCCTCTTTGTACGAAAAATCGTGTTTTTAGCTTGTGGTCCCTCTAGTGGTCGCAATTATTTTCCGATTTAAAAAAAAAAATGTTCGAATATATCACCGTTACACCGTAATGTTGGTTGAGTTCGAATATTTTGAAAATAGGACAAAAAATGCCAGACAAAATGGCCGCTCCTCAATGCAAATAGTGAAAACATCTGGTATATCAAGGTTGTTAAACCCAAAGATCTTGGTTGCTGTCGATATTTGCGCATATCGGATCGTAACTTCCTGAATTATTGCCCCTGATTGTACGAAAAATCCTGTTTTAGCTTGTGGTCCCTCTAGAGGTCCCCATTATAATCTGATTTACAAAAACGTTCGAATATATAACCGTTATACCGTAATATTGGTTGAGTTCAAATTTCGTGAAAATCGGACCAAAACTGTCGGACAAAATGGCCGTCCCTCATACGCAAATAGTGTAAACATCTGGTATATCAAGGTTGTGGACCCTCTAGAGGTCACAATTTTGATCCGATTTTGCTGAAACTTGAAATACATGTTTATAAACTACCGATTTTGGTTCCTTTCGATATTTGCGCATATCGGATCCTAACTTTCTGAATTATGGTCCTTGATTGTACTAAATTTAGGTCACAATTTTTATCCGATTTAAAAAGAAAACGTGTGAATATATCACCGTTACACACTAAGATCTCGGTTCCTTTTGATTATCGAGCATATCCGGACCTCTAACTTCCTGGATTATAGTCCATGATTGTTTGAAAAATCGCATTTTTGGCTTGCAGATTCTGTAGAGGTCACAATTTTTTTTCCGATTTTAAAAACCATTTAAATATCACCATTCCATCATAATGAAGGTTCAGAGTGGAGCAATTTGACTGAAATTTTTAGCTTGTGAACACTGTAGAGGTCACAATTTTTATCCGATTTGGTTTAAACTTGAAATGTATGCTTATAACCCAAAGATCTCGGTTCCTTTTAATATTCGTGCATATCGGAACGTAACTTCCTGAATTATGGCCCCTGATTGTACGAAAAATTGCGTTTTTAGCTTGTTGACCCTATAGAGATCATAATTTTTATCCGATTTAAAAAACCGTATTATTATATCACCGTTACACCCTAAGGATGACTGAGTTCGAATTTCGTGAAAAAATCGCCCCAAAACTGACAGACAAAATGGCCGCCGTTCGTTCTCAAATAGCGTAAAAATATGGTATATCAAGGTTGTGGACCCTGTAGAGGTCACAATTTCTATCCGATTTTGTTGAAACTTGAAATGTAAGTTTATAACCCAAGATCGGACCGCAACTTCCTGAATTATGGCCACTGATTGTTCGAAAAATCACGTTTTTAGCTTGTGGACCCTATAGAGGTCATAATTTTTATCCGATTTAAAAAAAATTATATCACCGTTACACCCTAAGGACAGCTAAGTTCGAATTTCGTGAAAATCAGCCCACAATGGACAGACAAAATGGCCGCCTCTCGTTCTCAAATTGCGTAAAAATATGGTATATCAAGGTTGTTGACCCTATAGAGGTCACAATTTTTATCAGATTTTGTTGAAACTTGAAATGTAAGTTTGTAACCCAAACATCTCGGTTCCTTTTGATAATTGCGCATATCGAATTGTAATTTCCTGAATTATGGCCATTGATTGTAGGAAAAATCACTTTCGTTTTAGCTTGTTTTCTATCCATCTCTCGAAAATGTGGGCGTATCCTGCCTGGCAGCCGCTGGTTAACTATTATAGTGAGAACTGCCAGCTCTTTATCTAATCTCATGTATCTTTAAACAAAAATACATTTTAAAAATCTGATATGACAAATGTCTGATTTGTAAAACAAATATTGATATTAAGATACAAATGTTAATTTTAGTGTACAAATGTTGCAATACAACAAATGAAGAAATAGGAATTAAGAACTGTGAATTAAGAACTAAGAATACTGAATAAAGAGCTGTTTGATCTTCCATATCCCCACACGTGTTTGATTTTCACATTTGCTTCTCCGCTATGATCATTTTATGAACAATGGAGTTAACCACAACACACAACGCTCGGATATGGATTGATATGCAGGATGTTCAAGTAGAAATATTTATTAATTTAGTGTTTAACTATAGTGAGAACTGCCATAATCCCCCATAATGCCCCTTTAAACCATTGAGTCATACGTCATTTTAAGAACAATCGATTCTATGTACGGCCATGTAAAATATATTAATGGTTAAAATAATTGATTTGTATTCTCCAATTTTTGCCCTATTTTTAGCTATGTAAAACTGTCGTAATGAGTTATTTATAAATCATGTGAAAACCCAAATAGCACGTCTGCAGAGAACAAGCATGCGCCGTGGAGCATTTATCCACGGACAAACAATGGTTTGATCTAATTCACATGTGTACCTGCAGATTCGTCATAGGTCACGAGATGTAAATGGAGTTAGCACTATAGCCCTAAGTTTAACCCTACTCAAAATCCTCGGCAACGATCATGTGCCCTAACTTAACGTGCTATTGGATGCTGTTGGTGCCACAGTTATTTAAGTTGTGGCTGCTGTTGATGCCGTTCCTATTGTAGGATATCTGACAATTCAAAAAGATAATTGACTGTCACTATAAAGAGAAAAATAGAAAAAGTCCGTGCAATATCATGTTTTTATTAAGTATAGAATGAATAAAAACAAGGGCATGTACGGACTATTTCTATTTTTCTTGTTTTCCCTCATCTAGTGACTTTCAATTACTTTTTTGAATTATTAGATATCCTCTCACACCCTCAAATAGCAACTTCGAATCTGGTCTTCGAAGGAATTATTAGTGAGCAGAAATTCGCCAGTGTAGCCTATCTGTTATCCCTCATTACTTTAGAGGGGATCACGTGGCTAAGTGGGTAAGACGCTCGCTCGCTCGCTCGCTAGCCTGGAGGTCGGGTGTTCGATCCCTGCATTGGCCGAGAAAGTTCGTCCAGATTTTCCGGCGTGGTTCTCCCTTGTCAGTGATGCAGGACGGAGGGACTGACAAGGAAAGCTGTCTAGTCGTTCGGATGGGTCGAAAAACCGAGGTCCCGTGTACTCATTGGCGTGCACGTAAAACATCCCTTGGCAGTTGGAATTCGATATAAGAGTAGGCCGTAGTGCCGCTGTCCGGGCAAAATTTCCCTCATAGCACACTGTATGGCGTATGCCCGTCTTCATTAGCCCAGGTTAGGAGCAGAACACCGACCACGGTGAGTGCAACTTGATGTATAGCATTGTTTCATGTGTGGACAGTACAAAGTACAAGTTAAATAGTGAAGCGTCTAGGGAATAGATTAGTCTTTTTTCCCATCATAATGCCTCGCTCGCCTTGACAATTTTCGAGTCGCATGTTCAACTGGATTTTTTGCTCGATTTTAAGGCTCTTTTTCAACGATTTCCTAACGTTTACTTAGACGAAAAAATCAGCCAAATAGCTCTTGGAATGGCTACAGATGCAAGGAAATGACGGATAATTTTCTTGCCCCCCCCCCCCAAAAAAAAAAAAAAAAATTTAATAAAATCCCCTCTCAGCGGCGTGCCCCGTCTCCGCGGTCAGTGCCCTCATTTTGCGGAGCCCCCCCTTTTCAAAATTCCTAGATCCGCCCCTGGATATGGTGTGTCAAGCGCTACGAGCACATTTTTTGTGGGGTTTTGGCGCTATAATTGAAATTGACATTTATTAGGCCTACTCCCTTAAAGCCCCAAGTTCACTCTGATATTGTTAGCAACGTTTATATTTCATGAATTGTCAAAATTAATTAAAAGTTATATCTAATATGTCTATCAAACACAAGCGGTTAATAGGGGATCAACATAACTGTTTATTGGTCGCATGTGGCCTACACTTCGATCGGCTGTGATTTATGGGGGCGTGTCTTTCGGGAACCACGGTAGTTAGGTGGTTAAGACGCTGGCTCGCTGGCCTGGAGGTCGGGTGTTCGATCCCTGCATTGGCCGAGAAAGTTCATCGGGATTTTCCGACGTGGTTTCCCTTGTCAGTGGTGCAGAACGGAGGGCCTGACAAGGAGAGCGAGAGAGAAATGGGGTTTAACGTCCACTCGACACAAACTAGGTCATTTCGGGACTAACATATGGTTTAGTGTTATTTCTATAATTCGCTTGCGCTGTGGGAGGAAACCGGAGGACGAGAAAACCCACGAGGTTGGACAGGCGACCCCACTCCTTTTCACGTACAACCGGGGATTCGAAACCACGCCAGTCGACTCAATGACAGACTTTATGATACAGCGCGCGCACGCTAACCATTAAGCAATCCAAGGGCCTGACAAGGACAGCTGTCTAGTCCTTCGGATGAGACGAAAAACCGAGGTCCCGTGTATACATGGGAATGCACGTAAAAGATCACTTGGCAGTTGGAATTCGATATAAGAGTAGGCGATAGTGCCTTATGATATAAGTAAGACGTTGACTCTCTAACCTGGAGTTTCTGTGTAAGATCCCTGTGTTGACAGATAGTTCATTGGGACTTTTCGGCGTTGTCACCCTTGTCAGTGGTGCAGAAGGTCCGGAGGTGTCAAAAAATCGAAGTCCTGTGTACACATTATCGTGCTCATAAAACAAGAACGCGGTCATGGCAGTTGGGATTCGATATAAGAGTGACCGTAGCACCGCTTTCAGGGCAAAATATTCCTCATAGCACACTGTATGGTGTAAACCCGTCTTCATTAGCCCAGGCGGACTTCAAACCCCACTTCATTTCATTTTATCCAATTTCTTGATTGTTTTTGCACTTTACTATACAATTTGTTTGTAGGCTACTCTTGTATGTTAACCCTATTAGGTCGGTTTTATATCTCTGAGATGTGCATAAATTCACGGTGTTCACAGATGACTAATTTTATACAAAAAGAAATATATTAGTCAATGTCATTTTAAATAGTTGTAATCGAATATGCACATGTAAATATATAGCACATGTATATGTGTTTATTCTAGGTGATAATCGGAGGTATATAGCCTGTGTATATAGTTTGTGTTTGGGGATCTACTGTGAACTTTGTGAACCGTCTGAATTGGGTGAATTACAACGTTCCCTCTACATGGTTGGATTTGTCTCATGATTTTCTCCATATTATTGTAGGGTGTTATATCACTATACATATCACCGTTAAGGTGAAATATAGAAATAGGTCTACACTTTGTGCAAAAATGGATGGTGTTGAGATGGTTGATGACGAAGACGTCGGAGGTTTTAGGGCTATTGAAGATAAATATAAGAGGTAAAAAAATATCTTGATAATTGTAATAAAGATAGGTTGGTTGGCAAAATAAGGTTTGACTTATATTTGAGTGTTACACGGTTGGGTATGTAATATTGACATACATGCCAACATCGACTGGCTAAAATTTTGGAAATGCCCCATACCTTTTCTAATTCTTGGAGGATCTTATTCCTCCCTGAAAGTGATCAAATTCCCCGCTGGGAAAACCACGGTTATAAAGTAATGAATCGGTGATCGGATTTCAAATTTTATCATGAATATAAATAGCAGAAGTGAACCGTGGCTGCATGCTGCCTTCCTGGGATCATAGAATAGGTTTAACAAAGCTTCCAATTATTAACAAGTGGAAAATTTGTGTTCATGTTAAGGGCTCATGGCCCTTTGGAACCTTAAGATATGCGAAATGGGTCCAAAGACACATATTAATGTAATATGAATGTGTATAAGTGATTTATATTCAATTTTCTTTAAATTTTATTTTAATTTTAATCAAGTATGTTCGGTGAAATATGTTAAAACTCTAAATTGGACGGCAGTCGTTTACGCCTGCTTAGTTCATTCTACACCATTTGTTTTTAAAAATATTATTGTGAATCAGCCATTACTAACTACTTTCGCATTGTAGTGATTTTAAAATGTTCATTGTGTCTTAAATATTTTATCAATAGATCTTATATGTTCACGGCAAGATAACAACATCAAAATTGATTGAAATGGGCCACAATTCGTGTTTTTATTTTCGAATATTATGGAAAATATTAAGTTATAGATTTAGTTATAGATGAGGATGTCCCAAAGTTGTATATTTAGCATGTATGCTTGATGTCATCTAAACAATTCACAGGAAATTATTCAGTATGTGTCTTTATCAAAATATTTCAGGATAGAAAAAGACTTATATAGCAGGCGAGCTGAAACTTGTAAGAAGACCTCTGAATTCACTATGGATGAAACGAAACAACTTTGTAAATTAGCTCTAAAAAGAAAATCATTGGAAATATTGAAACTTGTCTTTTCAAGAAGACGTGTTCTCTCTTGTGACTATGAACTAGATTTAGCAGCTAACCGAGAATTAATATCAAGTGCTATAGAATCCGATTTCGTCGAGGGTCCCGTTTATTTATATGATCGTGGATTAGTTTTCGATTCAGACGCGTGTAAAAATTACAATCATAGATTAGAATCAGAACCAGAACCAGAACCAGAACGATGGAGTGCCCTGGCTGAGGCTGTCCAGAATATCAAGTATAAAGCAACGGCATATATATTTATTCTATTCCTACTGTAATTAGTCTAGAAACTTCCCGTGAAAAATTGGCTACTGCAATCACCCGAAAAGACATCCGAATTGTGAAATTACTTGTAAGGAACTCTGAAGTACAAAGTCATATTACTACTGAAAGTATACCTCTCATACCTTTATGCTTTTGTGATGATGAGGAATACGGCACAGTTGTGGACGAAGAGACAAGACTTGAATTGATTAAAGTATTAGTAGATGCAGGGTCATCTTTAGATTCACACGGTCAACACGGTCAACACGGTCAAACACCTTTAATGCTAGCTGTTGAGAAAGAAATGTTCACAATATTTGATTATCTACTAGGTAATGGAGCCAATATAAATTCCTTAGATTATAGAAATAGACATGTTCTTCATTACTTGGTATTATCGGAATCGGATATGTCCTCCCATATAGAACGATTATTAATCAATATTGAATCCAATTTACGAAAGAAGGATCTAATGATTTCATGTATTCTTTTCGCTGTAGGATACGGGAAGTTTAAACGGGCAACTCACTTAATGGAAACTTATCATGTGGATGTCAATATAAAGGGTGAATTTAATAATAACCTTCTACACTATGTAGCATTGCATAATAGCGATCAAAGTGTTGAGTTTGCCCGATCACTTATCGAACGGGGATAGACGTCGATCATCGCAGCTATTTTGACATGACACCGCTAATTACAGCATGTACAAATAATAACATTAACATAACCAGAATGTTATTGAAAGCTCGGTGCGATGTGAATGTATCGTATGCTGGGAGAAGTGCTTTAATGAATGCTATTAAACACCAGAACACGGAGCTGGTGGAGCTTCTACTAACGTATGGTGCTGATGTAAATGAAACTGATGTTTTACTGAAAGCTGCTCAATATCGCAATATGAAATTGGTAAAACTTCTTACTAAATACGGTGCTGATGTAAATTGTATAGATAATCAAGGCGAAAATGTATGTGTGCATTGTTTTTGTGAAGAAAACAAAGGTGACCGAAAATCAAGTTTTGTCTTCCTCAAATTTTATATTGATCTAGGTGTTAATACTGATAAAGTGAACTATGAGAATACATTGCTGTATGCAGCTGCCGCCACCAATGAATTAATGTCCTTTCAGCTTTTATTAAACTCAATTACAAAGCTGGACCGCTTTAATGCCAAGGATGACAATATATTTCATATTCTATCCAAGGTGAAGGGTTTCTCCTATACTAAAGTAGTATCATTGTTTGAGAAGGAGAACCTTAAAAAACAGAAGAACCAAACTGGAAACACTCCTCTAATGCTAGCCTCATTTCTGTTAAACACGGGCTATTTGGACGTATCCACAAAAGATGGAAGAATAAGCGACCTTGATATACAAAATAAATACGGTCATACTGCTCTTCATATGTGTATGTTAGGTTTCATAGTGTCAACCGCTAAAATGGGAAACAGGGGTGAAAATCGTCTAAAGTTCAGAAAATGTGTTAAATCCCTGCTTAATGCCGGAACTAATGTTAATATCCAAGATAATAATGGTGTTACACCTTTAATGATGGCTGCAATGATAGAAGATACAAGTATGATAAAATACTGTATGAAGTTTGGGGCGGATATAACAATTTTAGATTATAAATATGAAATGTCTGCTTTGCAGTATCTTAGTTTCAAGTCAAGCTGTGTCTGTCTTCCGGAACTATTATCTAAAAATCACAGTGCTCTGGTAAATTTACCAGGAAAAGATGGTAACACTTTGATTCAAAGAGCTCTGCTGTTTCCATTAATTTGGAATCCACAGGAATCAGTGGATATCATCTGTTATTTACTTGCTGTAAACTGTAACCTACAACACCCTCAGTCAGTTTCTACTGAACGTAATTATTTCACGGAAGATATCGACCTTGATGACTTCAACATCGATGAAAGAGATCGATTAAGGAAGTTGCTATATCTGAGTGGGGCACCTGAAGAAGAGATCTTCTTGTCCTTGAATTTCGAAAAAGAAGATGAAGTTGATGTCGATATCACTGATGACAGATTTCATTCTCGTCACCGGGAGCAGTTTAAATTATTTTGCAATAACATTTCACTTCAGTCGCGATGCCGGAGGGTCATCCGTCAGATTGTTGGTGCCAGACTTCACACCTTTATTGTTGCTTCCAACATACCACATTTACTTCACGAATTCCTGTTTCTTGAACAAGGTAGCGGAGGGGAGGCAGACATTACTTTGAACCACAAATATTTTGTTACTCGTGAAGATCAGATTGAAGATAGGGGTGGTGAATATGATGAGGAGGAGGGTAATGATGATAACAGTCCTAATGTTGTTGATTTCGATGATAGGGGTGGTGAATATGATGATGAGGACGATGGAGGTGATGATGATACCGTTAATAATTTCGATGACGCTTCTTTAAGTTCAATCGAGTCAATGTACGGCCATGTAAAGTATATTAATGGTCAAACTAACTGATTTGTATGTGTTTAGAAATAGGATATCAAACCATGTTCTACGATTTGTGAAGTTTATGAAGTTTATTAATACCATGAAAATATGCTGATCAGAATATAACAATGATTTTATTGTATACTGATTTGGGTTTTGCATATTGATTTTGAAACGGTGCCTTCGTATATGGTGTTGTCGCGTATGGGAAGGAAACCGGAGGACCTGGACCCGATTCCTAGAAAATTCTTAACCACGTTCTTAAGCACGTTCTTGTGCTTAGATTTTAAGTAGACTTTGCATTTAAATAAACTTATCTTATTTTGTGTTCCCAGAAAAGTCTTAAGAACGTTCTTGTGCTTAGATTTTAAGTAGACTTCAGTGTAAGCACAAGCACTTCGTTCTTAAACATTGTCAATCTAAGCATCAGTCCCAAGCAAGGTATGTGGCTTGCTTACCAACCTTAAGCCTGTCTGCTTCAAACAAGATGGCTGACCGTAGAGTTATTCAACGGCATTTCCTACATCTTTTGATACCAAAGAGACGATTGATTGACAGAGAAAGTCCTTTAGAAACATATTCTCGAGAAGAATGCTATAGAAAATTTCGCTCGCTTCTACCCTGAAACCATTTTATTTATTTACTAATTAGTAAACAACACAAACATACGGGCTACTTTAAGATCAAGCGCTCTCGCAATTATTCAGTCTGTTTGCATGTGCTTGCGGTTTTTTTTAAACTTGTGGCACCTTTTTTATGTGTATAGGGGTCATATGTCAAATACATCTAAATCGACCATTTGCCGGGAAGCAACCGACAAATTTATGACGTAATTCACATACCAAAATTGTTTTTATGACGCTAGAGAGCATCGTAGATTCAGTTTACCAGTCACAATGTGCTTAGACCCATACTTGACTTGTGCTTACGTTAGAACGGTCTTGAGAATTCTCTAGAGACGATATTTTATAAAGTTTCTTACGTAAGAAAAAGTGAAGCATAACTTTGTGCTTACTTTAAGAATTTTCTAGGAATCGGGCCTGGAGAAAACCCACGAGGTTGGACAGACGACCATACACGAGTTTTTAGCTTGTGGTCCCTCTAGAGGTCACAAGTATTATCCGATTTAAGAAACCGTTCGAATATATCACCGTTACACCGTATTCTTGGTTGGGTTCGAATTTCATGAAAATCGGACCAAAACTACCAGATAACCCCACCCCCCCCCCCCGTACGCAAATAGTTTTAAAATCTGGTATAGTAAGGTTTTGGAGCCTCTAGAGGTCACAATTTTGATTCGATTTGATGATGCTTGAAATACATGTTTATAACCCAATGATCTTGGTTGCTTTCGACATTTGCGCATATCAGATCGTAACTTCCTGAAGTATGTCGCCTGATTGTACGAAAAATCGTGTTTTTAGCTTGTGGTCCCTCTAGTGGTCACAATTATTTTCCGATTTAAAAAAAAACTGTTCGAATATATCACCGTTACACCGTAATGTTGGTTGAGTTCGAATTTTTTGAAAATCGGACGAAAACTGCCAGGCAAAATGGCCGCTCCTCAATGCAAATAGTGAAAACATCTGGTATATCAAGGATGTTGACCCTCGATACGTCACAATTTTGATCCGATTTTGATGAAACGTGAAATGTATGTTTATAACCCAAAGATCTTGGTTGCTGTCGATATTTGCGCATATCGGATCGTAACTTCCTGAATTATTGCCCCATATTGTACGAAAAATCCTGTTTTTAGCTTGTGGTCCCTCTAGAGGTCACCATTATAATCAGATTTACAAAAACGTTCGAATATATAACTGTTACACCGTAATGTTGGTTGAGTTCGAATTTCGTGAAAATCGGACCAAAACTGTCGGACAAAATGACCGTCCCTCATACGCAAATAGTGTAAACATCTGGTATATCAAGGTTGTGGACCCTCTAGAGGTCACAATTTTGATCCGATTTTGTTGAAACTTGAAATACATGTTTATAAACTACCGATCTTGGTTCCTTTCGATATTTGCGCATATCGGATCCTAACTTTCTGAATTATGGTCCTTGACTGTACAAAATTTAGAGGTCACAATTTTTATCCGATTTAAAAAGAAAACGTGTGAATATATCACCGTTAAACAAAAATACATTTTACAAATCTGATATGACAAATGTCTGATTTGTAAAACAAATATTGATATTAAGATACAAATGTTAATTTTAGTGTACAAATGTTGAAATACGACAACAAATGAAGAAATAGGAATTAAGAACTGTGAATTAAGAACTAAGAATACTGAATATAGAGCTGTTTGGTCTTCCATATCCCCACACCTGTTCGATTTTCGCATTTGCTTCTCCGCTATGATCTTTTTAGGAACAATGGAATTAACCACAACACACAACGCTCGGATATGGATTGATATGCAGGATGTTCAAGTAGAAATATTTATTAATTTAGTGTTTAACTATGATACTGAGAACTGCCATAATCTCCCATAATTGCCCCTTTAAACCATTTAGTCATATGTCATTTTAAGAACAATCGATTCAATGTACGGCCATGTAAAGTATATTAATGGTTAAAATAATTAATTTGTATTCTCCAATTTTTGCCGTATTTTTAGCTATGGAAAACTGTCGTAATGAGTTATTTATAAATTATGTGAAAACCCCAATAGCACGTCTGCAGAGAACAAGCATGCGCCGTGGAGCATTTATCCACGGACAAACAATGGTTTGATCTATTTCACATGTGTACCTGCAGATTCGTCATAGGTCACGAGAGTCTTACCTTACTCACAATCCTCGGCAACAATCATGTGCCTTAACTTAACGTGCTATTGGATGCTGCTGGTGCCACAGTTAGTGGAGTTGTGGCTGCTGGTTGATGCCGTTCCTACTGTAGGATATCTGACAATTCAAAAAGATAATTGACTGTCACCAGATAAGAGAAAACGAGAAAAATAGAAAAGGTCCGTGCATTACCATGTTTTTATTAAGTATAGAATGAATAAAAACAAGGGAATGTAGGGACTATTTCTATTTTTCTTGTTTTCCCTTATCTATACATTCAATTACTTCTTTGAATTATCAGATATCCTCTCACAGCCTCAAATAGCAACTTCTGGTCTTCGAAGGAATTATTAGTGAGCAGAAATTCGCCGTTATCCCTGATTACTTTAGTGAGTTATATTGAAGGATAACTCGTGTTTTCCTTTTGCGTTGGTCACTTCCTTTCTTGAAATCTATCGCAGCAATGATCTTTGTGTTAAAATTATATTTGGAACGTGTTTAACCAGTTCTATCACATATAGGTGATAATGACTGACACCAATATTTTACTTTAAATGTGCAATCGATGTATGTTTTAGTAATTGTCCGGGTTAATGAAATTATTTGGATAATGTCTTTCATTTTTTAAGAACAACATGTACAACGTATTACATTTATTAATGCCATAAGATATTGAAGTTCGTGGAACGACGTTTGTTGCTTCTATTCACATTTGTCAATGCAGTGAGGGTGAAATAAATGTCAGACAAGTGCTGTTTTATAGCATAAGGAATTTTGGGTGTGTATTTGTCTTTTATTCTGGCTTTGGTTATTGTTCGTTTGAAGTAGCTACTGCTAGACGATTGAACCTATTACGTCAATGCACCTCGTTATCGTCACTCAAGAAACTTTTAAAAACTCATCTGTTTTAAACAAGTTATAGAGCTAAAGACTTTATGTAGATATGGTGTGTCAAGCGCTACGAGCACATATTCACTCTGATATTGTTAGCAACGTTTATATTTCATCAATTGTCAAAATTAATTAAAAGTTATATCTAATATGTCTATCAAACACAAGCGGTTAATAGGGGATCAACATAACTGTTTATTGGTCGCATGTAGCCTACACTTCGATCGGCTGTGATTTATGGGGGCGTGTCTATTATGAGAGACTGGTAGACGGTGTCTTATGAGGTCTGACGGTAAGTACACCCCAGAAAATACCATATTACACGTTTTGGGGGGATATGGTGATCCTGTAAAAGTGAAACTGGACGCGGGGCTTTACAAATGCTTTTCCTAATGTAGGCTTAATATGTGATAATCTTTTACTATAATATTTTGTTTATATGAGTCCTTATGATATAAGTAAGACGTTGACTCTCTAACCTGGAGTTCCTGTGTTAGATCCCTGTGTTGACCTAGATAGTTCATCGGGATTTGTCACCCTTGTCAGTGGTGCAGGAGGTCCGGATGTGGCAAAAAATCCAAGTCCTGTGTACTCATTATCGTGCTCGTAAAACAAGAAATAGGTCATTGCAGTTGGGCCGGATTCGATATAAGAGTATGCCGTAGCACCGCTTTCAGGGCAAAAGTTTCTTCATGGCACATTATGGTGTAAACCCGTCTTCATTAGCCCAGGTGGACTTCAAACCCCACTTCATTTCATTTCATCCAATTTCTTGTATGCTTTTGTACTACAATTTATACAATTTGTTTGTAGGCTACTCTTGTATGTTAACCCCATTAGGTCGGTTTTATATCTCTGGGATGCGCATAAGTTCACGGGGTTCACAGATGACTAATTTTATGCAAAACGAAATATATTAGTCAATGTCATTTTAAATAGTTGTAATCGAATATGCACATGTAAATATATAGCACATGTAAATGTGTTTATTCTAGGTGATAATCGGAGGTATATAGCCTGTGTATATAGTTTGTGTTTGGGGATCTACTGTGAACTTTGTGAACCGTCTGAATTGGGTGAATTACAACGTCCTCTCTACATGGCTGGATTTGTCTCATGATTTTCTCCATATTATTGTAGGTTGTTATATCACGATACATATCACTGGTAAGGTGAAATATAGAAATAGGTCTACACTTTGTGCAAAAATGGATGGTGTTGAGATGGTTGATGACGAAGAGGTCGTAGGTTCTAGGGCTATTGAAGATAAATATAACAGGTAAAAAAATATCTTGATAATTGCTAGGCAATAGGTTGCTAGGCAAAATGATATTCACTTATATTTGAGTGTTACACGGTTGGGTATGTAATATTGACATACATGCCGACATCGACTGGCTAAAATTTTCTAATTCTTGGAGGATCTGATTCCTCCCTGAAAGTGATCAAATTCCCCGCTGGGAAAACCACGGTTATAAAGTAATGAATCGGTGATTGGATTTCAAATTTTATCATGAATATAAATAGCAAAAGTGAACCGGGACTTAACGCTTCCTCCCTGAGGTCATAGAATAGGTTATACAAAGCTTCCAATTATTAACAAGTGGAAAAGTTGTGTTCATGTAAAGGGCTCATGGCTCTTTGGAACCTTAAGATATGCGAAATGGGTCCAAAGACACATATTAATGTAATATGAATGTGTATAAGTGATTTATATTCAATTTTCTTTAAATTTTATTTTAAATTTAATCAAGTATGTTCGGTGAAATATGTTAAAACTGTAAATTGGACGGCAGTCGTTTACGCCTGCTTAGTTCATTTTACACCATTTGTTTTTAAAAATATTATTGTGAATCGGCCATTACCATCTACTTTCGCATTGTAGTGATTTTAAAATGTTCATTGTGTCTTAAATATATTCTTTGATTGGCATTTAGTAATTGAACATATTAACAAAAGGTACAATTTTATGGATATACAATTACTGAGTTTGATACTATATAAGCGACGTTTCGACGAGGATACTCTCGTCTTTATCAAGCAAATGATACAAATATGTGAATTGTGGGCACATATATATACGGAATATGCAACAAAGATAATAATCAATTGCAATTAAAGCTTAAAGGGCCAATCCCGATAATATTTTGGAGAATAAAACTGCTTAATTTTGTGTTAAAATCCCGTACCCAAGGGCCGAGCAACTAATTCAACATTTGTGATATGTTTTCAAACAACTTACACCTGTCAGTCTTCATCTGGAAATGGAGACCGGTGTCCCAAGCTGTATTATGCGGTGTCTGGATAGAACCAGACTTTTATTTTATAAAAACAATGTGTAGGTGAAATTTACCTTTCGTTAACAAGTCCGGCACATGGGTCATTCACTGTATGAATCTTAAAAGGGTTACGTGGCCGGATAAGCATTTTTGACGTTCACGTCAAAACAACTCAATATTTTGAGCTGAAATTTTGAGACAAGGTAAATACACCATTCCTCTATATTTTTGCGCTTAATTTCATACGAACTCGGACTTTTATTTTTGAGACTCTGTTCAAATCGGGATAGTCCCTTTAACACCTTTGATTAGGGAGCCATTAGGAACTAAACCTACACAACAGAAATCTCTTACAGGGATTAAAAGGGGGTGAATGCTATATTTATAAAGATCAGTGAGTTAACACTGTTAATGGAAAACCAATTAACCTTAGCTTATAGATAAACAATAATATAAAGAGAAGTGTGTATGTATAAGTGTGTCTTAAATATTTTGTCAATGAATCTTATATTTTCACGACAAGATAACAACATCAATATTGATTGAAATGGGCCACAATTCGTGTTTTTATTTTCGAATATTATGGAAAATATTCAGTTATAGGTTTAGTTCCTTTAAGTAGAATAGTGGTATATTTAGATATGCTTGATGTCATCTAAACAATTCACAAGAAATTATTCAGTATTTTTTTTTATCAAAATATTTCAGGGTAGAAAAAGACTTAAATAGCAGGCAGCGAGCTGAAATTGGTCAGAAGATTTCTGAATTCAGTCTGGATGACGTGAAGCAACTTTGTAAATTAGCTCTGAAAAGAAAATCATTGGAAATATTGAAACTTGTCTTTTCAAGAAGATGTGTTCTCTCTTGTGACTATGAACTAGATTTAGCAGCTAACCGAGAATTAATATCAAGTGCTATAGAATCCGATTTCGTCGAGGGTCTCGTTTATTTATATGATCATGGATTAGTTTTAGATTCAGACGGGTGTAAAAATTACAATCATAGATTAGAATCAGAACGATGGAGTGCCCTGGCTGAGGCTGTTCAGAATATCAAGTATAAAGTAACGGAATATATTTTATCTGTTTCTACTGTAATTAGTCTAGAAACTTCCCGTGAAATATTGGCTACTGCAATCACCCGAAAAGACATCCGAATTGTGAAATTACTTGTAAGGAACTCTGAAGTAAAAAGTCATATTACTACTGGAAATATACCTCTCATACCTTTATGCTTTTGTGACGATGAGGAATACGGCACAGTTGTGGACGAAGAGACAAGACTTGCATTGATTAAAGTATTAGTAGATGCAGGGTCATCTTTAGATTTATACAATCAACACGGTCAAACACCTTTAATGCTAGCTGTTGAGAAAGGAATGTTCACAATATTTGATTATCTACTAGGTAATGGAGCCAATATAAATTTCTTTGATGATAAAAAAAAAACTGTTCTTCATTACTTGGTATTATTGGAATCGGATATGTCCACCCATATAGAACGAGTAATCAATATTGAATCCAATTTACGAAAGAATGATCTAATAATTTCATGTATTCTTTTCGCTGTAGAACACGGGAAGTTTAAACGGGCAACTCACTTAATGGAAACTTATCATGTGGATGTCAATATGAAGGGTGATAACAATAATAACCTTCTACACTATGTAGCATTGCATAATAGCGATCAAAGTGTTGAGTTTGCCCGATCACTTATTGAACGGGGGATAGACGTCGATCATCGCGCGTATTTTGACATAACACCGCTAATTACAGCATGTGTAAATGATAACATTAACATAACCAGGGTGTTATTGAAAGCTCGATGCGATGTAAATGTAAAAGACTGTCATGGGACCAGTGCTTTAATGATTGCCGTTGAACACCAGAACATGGAGCTAGTGGAGCTTCTACTAACATATGGTGCTGATGTAAATGGAACTAATGTTTTACTGAAAGCTGCTCAATATCGCAATATGAAATTGGTAAAACTTCTTACTAAATACGGTGCTGATGTAAATTTTATAGATTCACGAGGCGAAAATGTATGTCTGAGTTGTTTTTATGAACAAAACGAAGTAAGTCGAAAATCAAGTTTTGTCTTCATCAAATTATTTATTGATCTGGGCTTTGATATTGATAGAGTGAACTATGAGAATAGAATCCTGTACGCAGCTGTCCGCACAAATGAATTGCTCTCCTTTCAGCTTTTATTAAACTCAATTACAAAACTGGATCGCTTTGATGACATGGGTGAAAATATATTTCATATTCTATCCAAGGTGAAGGGTTTCTCCTATACTAAAGTAGTATCATTGTTTGAGAAGGAAAACCTTAAAAAACAGAAGAACAAAACTGGAAACACTCCTCTAATGCTAGCCTCATTTCTATTAAACACGGGCTATTTGGACGTGTCCACAACAAATGGAAGAAGTGACGTTGTTATACAAAATAAATACGGTCATACTGCTCTTCATATGTGTATGTTAGGTTTCATTATGTCAACGGCTAAGCTGGGAAGCGGGGGTGAAAATCGTTTTAAGTTCAGAAAATGTGTTAAATCCCTTCTTAATCCTGGAACTAATGTTAATATTCAAGATAATAATGGTGTTACACCTTTAATGATGGCTGCAATGATAGAAGATAAAATTATGATAAAATACTGTATGAATCGTGTGGCGGATATAACAATTTTAGATTATAAATATCAAATGTCTGCTTTGCAGTATCTTAGTTTCAAGTCGAGCTGTGCCTGTCTTCCGGAACTACTATCTAAAGATCGCAGTGCTCTGGTAAATTTACCAGGAAAAGATGGTAACACTTTGATTCAAAGAGCTCTGCTGTTTCCATTATTTTGGGATCCACAGGAATCAGTGGATATCATCTGCTATTTACTTGCTGTAAACTGTAACCTACAACACCTTCAGTCAGTTTCTACTGAACGTAATTATTTCACGGAAGATATCGACCTTGATGACTTCAACATCGACGAAAGAGATCGATTAAGGAAGTTGCTATATCTGAGTGGGGCACCTGAAGAAGAAATCATCTTGTCCTTGAATTTCGAAAAAGAAGATGAAGTTGATGACGATATCACTGATGACAGACTTCATTCTCGTCACCGGGAGCAGTTTAATTTATTTTGCAATAACATTTCACTTCAGTCGCGATGCCGGAGGGCCATCCGCCAAATTGTTGGTTCCAGACTTCACACCTTTAATTTTATTGTTGCTTCCAACATACCACATGTACTTTACAAATTCCTGTTTCTTGAAAATGGTAGCGGAGGGGAGGCAGACATTACTTTGAACCACAAATATTTTGTTACTCGTGAAGATCAGATTGAAGATAGGGGTGGTGAATATGATGATGAGGATGGTAATGATGATGACAGTCCTAATGTTGTTGATTTCGATGATAGGGGTGGTGAATATGATGAGGAGGAGGGTAATGATGATAACAGTCCTAATGTTGTTGATTTCGATGATAGGGGTGGTGAATATGATGACGAGGACGATGGTAGTGATGATTATACCGTTATTAATTTCGATGACGCGTCTTTAAGTTCAATCGAGTCAATGTACGGTCATGTAAAGTATATTAATGATCAAAATAATTGATTTGTATGTGTTTCGGATGGGAAACAATGTTATCCGATTTGTGAAGTTTATTCGGTGCATGGGAATGCCATGGAAAATATACTAAAGATAACAATGATTTCATTGTATCTTAATTTGGGGTTAGGCTTATTGAATTTGAAACGCAGACCATTTTTTTTTATTTCAACGTGATCGTTGATTCAATAAATCATACTTGTTTTTAATATCATTATCAGGGCCGTAACTAGCTCAGAGCAACGGGGGACGGGAAGTGTTCTCAGGGGTGCTGTAAAATTGACGGACAATGTATATCTATTGTTTTTCTGGTCGGCAATTTTTTCAGTTACGGGCCTGGTCATTATGTAAGGATAAAAGAAATTCATTATTGGTTTTAAATGTAGGGTCACTAATTATGACTGGTCATACTTTTTGCCGAAATTTGTTTCCGCTTAGTTGGACCAAGACACATGAGTTTAACAACTTCGGAAATATTTTCGCATGAAACCCAAATCTAAGGCCTTTAAAATCCCGGGGTTCTCGCACTCAACGAGCCAAGTGATGCCACACCTGAACGAAAACCAAAAACCAACGCAACAACGCTATCGGTCGGTTACAAGCAGGTGAATCCCAGACAGATGTAGCCAGGCTACTGAATGTTTCCCTTTGGGATAGGTACCGACAGCTCAGTTCAACATGTGATCGCCTAAGCTCAGGTCAAATAAGAGTGACCCCACCTGTCCTGGATCGTCACCAACGCAATTGGTCGGTTACAAGCAGGTGAATCCCAGACAGATATATCCAGGCTGCTGAATGTTTCCCTAGAGTACCATCTCTAGCATTTGGGATAGGTACCGACAGCAAAGTTCAACACGTGACCGCCCAAGTTCAAGCCAATCATCAGCTGCCCTTGATCGTCACACCCGGTTACGTCATTTGCGGAAACAGTTTTTACAACAGTATCGGCGACTTCTACTGCAACAGCAATTCCTGGACTGCGAAGGATCTCAGACCAGACAGTCCATAAACGCCTACGTGAAACCGAATTACCAGTTAGAGCTGTTGTTTTGAAATACATCGACTTCAATGGGTTCAGAGACATAGGGTATAGTCACAGCAACGCTGGATACAACGGAGGTTCAGCACGTGGCGGGGGGCCCTTCAAATGGGCACAAAACCAGACCCAAATTTTCTAGAGTAAAATTTTGCGTAGAATACGATGCCGAATGGTAATCAGTCCGCCGTCGGGGCGTTTTCGAGATATTCCGGGTCAAAGGTCAAATGAGTTCATTTGCACTGAAAGGGAATGCGCAGTCATTCTTGTATTATGAAAAGAAGGTGAAAATGATCGTAAGTAATCACACTTTCAATAAAAATGTAAACTTGCTAAATTCACCTTTAGTCTTAGTGGCCCTGGAGGTCAAAAGGTGAAATTTACCGTTTTTGCACTAGGAAACTTTAAAGCAATGAATTGTCAACGTAAAATATGAAAACTAAAGCGAAACCTGTTCTAATTAATAATAGAAACATTTAAAAAAAATTTTTAGGGGGCCTAGCACCGAACTTTTACTTTGCAACGTCGAAAATGATCTTGCATAACAGACCGAACAAACTTTGAAACCTGTCTCAAAAATACGTAAAAACTGTCAAATCGAAATCTCTCCGAATGACTTTCAACATGATATCCGTTCATTAAAATGTGTTGGTCAGTGTTAGGATTAATAAAGAATTTGTTATAGCATTTGTCTCAACGACATTATGTAATATTTTGGACATTACATGGACATATTTCCACCTTCTACTGAAGACATTGATGAAGATTGTGATTCAAAAAATTATTAACACTTGTGGGTCACTGCCTGTAAAGGTTACTTCAAAATGAGATGTTAAAAAAGAAAGATTCATTAACATTTCAAACAACAAATTATAGCGAGACTAAGGGCAGTTCTCACAGTCTAGAGTAATCTAAACAATAGAAACCGGGAAAAAGTGTTGAACATACATGTATAACCAGGCCCGTTGCCAGCTTGCTAGCTTCGGAGGGGCAGTGAGGTTTTTAGGGGTGGCACACCCGGCTCAGTCTACAGTAGGTATTTTAGAGCTATGGTCGGGAAATTTTTTTTCGGGGGGGGGGGGGGGGCATTGCCCTCCCCTGGCTACGGGCCTGTGTATAACGATTAACCTTACAATGGGTAGGCTATGGTTATTTCAATGAACCTTGCTTCTTACTTGCATATGATAAATTGACTATTTTATATGAATTATTTTTTAAATATTGCAGTTGGAATTAGTTTTTTGTTCTATTTCCATTATTACTTTCATACTTTGTTTATATTAAAGCAATTTGTAGTTTCGTAAACATTTTGGGTTTTTTATCTGCTGTTAATTAATGACCGTCACCATAAAACATCCATGTTATTGAAGATGTATTATGTGTAAGAGCTAAATCACCCTATCCCAGGTTTTATTTCTGGCTTTTATAATGTTAAATAAACATTTATTCCCATGAGCAAACCCACAATCAACTCTTAGACCATGGGGTGGATGATATATTTAACTGATAGGGCAATTCTTGTGATATTAAAATTAGTTAACGTTAAAATGGATCTTACTCAATAAAAGGACTGTGTCGAGACTTATTACCATGACAATGGTGGGCCTACTTGTCAAACTTTAAACACCCATAAATTTTCTTAGAAAAAGTAATTATCAAAATAATCATTTGTCATTATCTATTTCTGAACTATTAAAGCAAAAACGGTCAGCACTTCATCTGAATCTTACATAATGCATCTGTAATGGAGAGCCCAAATAATAGATCTAAGATACACACATGAAAGAGTTGTCAAATCTTGTTTTGTCCAAACTATATAATTTTATGCTAAATATGTAACCCTTAACTGCCAAGATAAAAAAAAAAGTGATCTGCTCTTGGCATTGCCATAAGAGCCCATAAAGAACAAATGGAATAATGGTAAAACACCAAAATATACTGAGCGCCATGGAAAACGCATCACTTAGTTTTTCGTATAACAAAATGATCCTGTAAACATATCTTATTTATTTTGCTTCTTATTGTGAACAATATTCAAATAGGAACACACCAATAACAACACATTTGTACGCTTATGGATGTTTAATCTGTAATCAACGGTACAAAGTCAGAGGGGTCAAAACCAAAAGTACGACACATGTCAGTAGCGCGTGTGTCCTCCACGGGCTCTTACACACGCTGTGCAGCGACGTCGCATGGAATTTGCCAATGTTTGAAAGAAGGCCTGAGGCAAATTGTTCCATTCTAAAGCAGCAATGGTGTGCATCTGTGGTCTCCGATACAGACGGCGTCCAATCTCATCCCAGACACGTTCTATCGGTGCCATGTCCGGAGACATGGCTGGCCAGTCCAAGACATTGATGTTGTTAGCAGCCAGGTAGTCCATACTAACACGGGCGGTATGCGGACGTGCATTATCCTGTTGGAAGTGCTGAAGTTGTGGGTGCGCTTGAAACATCGGAACAACTATTGGTTGCAAGACATCATCGCGGTAGGCTACAGCATTAATGCGACCCCTGCAAATGTGTAGGGGCGGTCCGGTGATGAAATGTGAAGCCTCCCCACACCATTACACTTCCCCCACCCCATCGATTCGTTTCGAAGACGCAGCAGTCTACAAGACGTTCCCCAAGACGTCTCCACACACGTTGACGGCCATCAGCGTGATAAAGATGAAAGCGACTCTCATCACTGAAGAGCACACTTTGCCAGTCTACTCTTCTCCATGTCTGGTGTCCTTGAGCCCATATCAAACACCGCTGACGGTGATGATCTCTGAGGATAGCTCCAACATAAGGTCGTCGTACAAGGAGTCCTACTTCTCTTAGACGACGTCTTACGGTGTTGGCACTTACTGGTCATTGTCTTCCGACGACTGCTGCACCTGTTCGAGTCGCTGAGCGGAATCTGTCACGCAGATGAGTGACCCGGATGTAGCGGTCTTGAGCCTGGGTTGTAACGCGTTGTGGACCAGGACGTTGACGGTCACGTGTTGATCCAGTAACTCGAACACGTTCCACAAACCTTACAATAGTGGACTGATGACAATTGAAGTGTCTGGCAATAGCACGTGTAGACATGCCAGCCCTGAACATTCCCATAGCTTCATTCCGTTGATTTTCAGTAAGTCTCGGCATCTCTAGCTCGATTCCTTCACACGTCCAACAACAAATTACGACAGATTGACGTTTCACAGTTCATGTACTGCACATTAAGTTGAAAACATGCTTTTAAAGGGCTCACACACAATGCTGCACGTGAATATTGGGTTTTTCATGTGCATCTCGTGCAATTTTTTTTTGTGCACACGGGCCGATATTTTTTGCGTTTGGGAGCATTGTGTGAAACAATAGTTCATAGTATTGCATAATATTATACATACAAAACCACCTAGTAATAAAATATTTGGGAAAAAAAGGGATGCGTTTTCCATGGCGCTCAGTATAATTGCCATAAAAAACTTCACTGAACACAAAAAGAAATCTAAAAAAACCCAATATATCCTGCTGTTGAAAACGTTGATGATATGTGCACTAAGAGTGGCTCCTTCAAGGGTATTGAAGGGGGGTTTGAAAGCAGTTTTGAAATGGGTGGCAGGTTTTCCACTTATCCTAGTATAGTAAACTTTATTTTTTTTTTTTTAAATATTTTGCAATTTACCATTCAAGTTCATTAATTTTTCTTATTTCACAATTTGAGTAATATTCGTCAAGTGTCCTCTGCTATTTGTGTGACAGCCAAATTGATCTTTACCTTGTTAACTGGGAATAAATGTGTTTAAAAACACTGAAGATGAAAGAAAAGTAAAGATATGGTTGATTTGGCCATTAAGGTATCTAGAATACAACTAAAGTATAGTTCCTGCTTGTGCTCTCCGATTCAGATATTGTTGATTCTTTTTTTTTAATAATGAACAGTAAAATGTCCTGAACACAAATAAAGCATATGCTGCTACTTGAACTCCCTGTTTCAGGAAAAAATCATTATTTTCCACTGCTAAATTCAATAGATAACTGGCAGGTCATTACAACTAAATATCTATAAAGCAGTATAAAGTTTTTAGAATAATTTATCACAAAAATTACAACTTTTTTTATTCAAATCAACTCTGATTACTTCAGGTATATATACTTTGAATTATATAAGTAAAATTACTAAATATCATAATCAGACTTCAACATTTTCGGCTGTAGAAGCAGATGAAATAAATGAGAAATGGTATGAGGTGTTCTCTAGAGTACCAACAGAAGCTAACATTTAATTCACATTATTTTAGGCTTAGAAATTAACTCTTATTTTAGGAATTAACTTAGTAAACATACTTCTGTTGTATTTTTGTGACTCTGGTGGAGGTTATCTTTTACAGAATAGTCTTCCTTTGTCTTAAAGTTCCAAAATACAGTTCCAAGCTATCGTTCCACTGAGCTCTTCATACCGATAGTTACACATAAAACAAGGTTTATATAATCTTTCTCAGAAACCTGACACCACTTCTCATTCTAATTAGTGAAGAAATTTATAATAGTTAATATTTCTTTAACAAAGAATACACTTTTAGTTTATAATAGTTAATATTTCTTTAACACAGAATACACTTTTAGTTTATAATAGTTAATATTTCTTTAACACAGAATACACTTTTAGTTTATAATAGTTAATATTTCTTTAACACAGAATACACTTTTAGTTTATAATAGTTAATATTTCTTTAACACAGAATACACTTTTAGTTTATAATAGTTAATATTTCTTTAACACAGAATACACTTTTAGTTTATAATAGTTAATATTTCTTTAACACAGAATACACTTTTAGTTTATAATTGTTAATATTTCAGTATAATTATTATAATTTTACCAGTAATTATGAAATCATATTTAATATTGATTCAAGATTTCAACACTGAAGCTTGATCCATGAAAGGTGTAGTCTCAATCATTCCAGTCTATGTTCTTAGTTGACTATAATGTACAAAGTCTTAAGACAAAATAACAACAATTGAGTATATAGTAACAATTAGTTGACTGGACGTTCAAGTATACACTTTGCATGTTTACTTATGGGTTTTGTTGTCTCAATCCATCAGTAAAAAATACATCTGTATATTTCGAACCCAAAGATCAGTTTTCCTCTCAACCATTTGTAAGATATATATGAGAATCTCAGTATGACCTTTTGACACTGTATACAAATTTAGGGCTTTTTTGTCAAGATTTTATTTGTTGTTGTTATAGCGTGAATGATCGAGACTATAAATTTTGTAAAAGTGTGGTTGTCACAGACACTTCTAAAAGAAAGTTCTGAAAAAGGAAAAAAAAAATCAAGATACATTAAATGGTATATAATTCTTTGGAATGAGAGAGATATGACAAGATCTTTTCCGGCATGGTTCCGCCTTGTCAGTGATGCGGAACGGAGGGCTTAACCACAACAGCTGTCTAGTTGTTCGGATGGGAGTATAAACCGAGGTCCCTTGATAGTTGGAATTCGATATAAGAGTCGGCTGTAGTGCCGCTGTCCGGGCAAAATTTTAGGAACTGACTGTGATTATGCCATCGGTTGGGGTATATAATTGTGTTGCACAGCGACACAATTTTTTTTTTTTTAATCACCCTAGGTTCTGTGTACACATTGGTATGCACGTAAAAGAACCCTTAACGGTTGGAATTCAAAAAAAGAGCAGACCCTAGCACTGCTGTATGGGCAAAATTTCCCTCATAGCACACTGCATATATGGTGTATGCCGATCTTAACTAGCCCATTAAGAGCAGAACAAAGGACGTTAATACGTATTTCATTTCATTTTTTGTGTATTATGTATGCAAAAAAACTATGGTACCAATCTGGTTACTGAGTCAATTCCGACACCGACCCTCGATTTCACACTTCTTTTATGGCTTACACTGTCTGTGGTTTTTGTCTTTTCCCTGTGTTTAATTGTTCCATGAGTTTTTAATTACTTGGAGTGCGATTTCCTTAGATAACTAATACTAATGTATTGCAATATTATGTCAGCTTCTACATTAGAACTTGGTTTTTATAGGGTTAAATATTACATTAAACTTACACTGCATCTTCATCATTGATCATCGAACCTTTAGCAATAACAATCTTCAATATATCCTAGAAATAAATAAATAAATAAGCTAAAACTACAAAGCAGTAATTATTTGTTTTGGTAAAATTTGTCAATATGAACGTTGTAAAAATAGAGATGGATTAGGGCAAACGTTTTTATGATCTGCTATAGTGTAAAGATAGGTTGCCAGGCAATGAAACATCGCCCACAGCAGCTAAATCGTTCACGTTGAGGTCATGTCAACAATCAACATACACCATGCCATATATAGTACACGTTATTCTTCGGTGGATTAGGCGTACTTTTTTTTATCAAACATTTTATTTTCTAAAAGGGGTGCACCTAAAGGGTAATGTTAAAGCAAATCCTGGCACTACTGAAAGTTGAACTTTAATGAACTACAAAGTGTGAACATATACCTGTGATTTATTGTCCGCCTCTGTTAGAATATTCCTTGCTTGGGCCACAGACATGTTTAATAAACTCTTGCCATCAATCATCATTAATTGATCTCCCACCTGTATATCACCTATAAAAAAACATCAAAAAAAAAAAAAAAAAAAAAAAAAAAAAAAAAAAAAAAAAAAATGAATAGCAATTAGAATCGGAAGTGAATTTTTACCTTGGTGGAAGAAGAGGCTGGTTTCTTGCAACCAACAGAAAGTTGAGAACTTTAAATAAACCTTTTGTTGGTCAACTTTCAAGTAGTTAAAAGATGGATAACTACTTACTCCAACTAGTCAACATGATTCGATGAAATAGAATACAACATAAAATTGTATAAGTCTCAGACACAGGCAAGATCCACATTAATGCATGCCAAATTTAAGACATTTTTCTACTTCTTCATCAGATCCCATGAAAAATGCCCTGATTGTGTATATTGATATTTTACAATTCAAATATCCGACATTCCATTTTTATCTAAAATCTATATTTTGTTAATTTACTTCTCTACATTTTTTACTGTACTTTAAATAATTAAAAGAGAGGTTTCCAGGCAACAAAACATATGCCTACAGCAGTTAAGTTGACAAAACACTTGATAAAGGTTTTCATCAACTGATTGTTTTATAGGTACAAGATCATTTACTACAAGACACTAAAAATGGATCGCGGGCATCAACTATAAACTAATTATCAGAGAGGTTTAAAAATGGATCAAGGGCAACAACCATTAACTAATCATCAGAACAATAGCTGCTATAGCTATGTAATTGTTGAAAAGCAACAGATTTCCTTGTCCTATAAAACATATACAATGCAAATAAATTCATGTCAGTTGAATATTAAATTGATCATCCACAAATATTGTCATCAAAATGACATTTAATCAATGGTTTTTTTTGTTTTAATTCGCTTAGGAATTCTTATTTTGCTAAATTTAAATAAAGAAAATATGTGTGTTAAGTGCAAATCAAGTAAGACCGGTGTGTACATACCACTTTCAAATATACAACCATCCGTGTAGATCTCTGCTACTTGTATACGGTCAGCTAATGGTGTACCTATACCCCCTTCTATCTCTATACCTAATGGTTTATTCTATAAAATATAAACATAAATATCATTCTACCTATACCCCCTATCTCCAATGGTTTATTCTTTAAGACAAACCAGTTCTATAAGATATAAACATCACATATTTTCTATATCCTAATAGATTATTCTATAAGATATAAACATCACATATTTTCTATATCCTAATAGATTATTCTATAAGATATAAACATCACATATTTTCTATATCCTAATAGATTATTCTATAAGATATAAACATCACATATTTTTCTACCCATGCAGAAAATGTTCATCACTGAACTTGATTCACGGAATTAACATCAAAACAAAGCTCAAACCTTTTAGCTAAATTAGAAGGTGTGGATGTATTGTAGGAGGACACACACCTGACTGGGAAAATTTATTTCAAAGAACACTACATGTTGTATGTCTTCATTAGCCAAGTGTGCAGAAAAGTAGGATGTTAAACCCATTTCATATCATTTTCTAAAGATGCGACAGACAGATGGATAAACAGTGTAATGATCCCCATATTATTAATAAAGATACAATGAAAGTATATAATATTTGATACAAGCTATAAGATGTATTGACTATTTATAACTGGTATTAAGTATATTATGTCTACCTTTGTTAATTTAACCAACTCCAAATCTTTCCCTCTAATATCTTCTTCTTTAAACTATACAAAATGTAAAAATAATACCCAGAAATTTTAAAAGGTATCACCACAAAAATATCTGGGAAACTCATTGCCCATTTGGGATGACTCGGATACAGCAACATCGGATTAATGTGTTTCAAGCTAAAAACCTTCAATAACATATATTAAGCTGCAGACTATATAAACTATATATATAACAGTTCTTAAATATGGTGTTGCTACTTTAAAGGAGAAATCGCAGTTATGTTTTAGCAAGTAAAACTGACTAAATCCAGTGCAATTATTTGAAGCTCTGTGATAACTAACCAAAGAATTACAAACTTTCAGTTTCCATGTGGCTTGTCCATGAATCCCCAAATCGCATGTGCAAGTGCCTGGATAACCATATATTTGATGAATTTATGATGGTAACTGATTGTCGTGATTATCAGGTAACTAATGCAATCAAAGAATGAAATTCTTTATATGAACTACGTCATCCTATTTATCAAATCCGAATGGATCAATTTTTTCCTAATTTCAGGCTAAACTGGCTATATCGTCCTTTGGTGTTCAATTTACGAACATAGATATACTTTTATTTACAGGGTTTTATAAAATTGAAGACCCTCCCTTTAATTATCTTTATCTATGTACACAAGTACCATTTATGATTCATTATCCTGATGACAACATAAGAAAATATACAAATACAGAAGTATGTTATCAATAAGAATTGTTATAAAACTGTTAATACTTCTAAAAATACCAGCTTTATACACTGATATGGCTGAATATATGTTAGTCAGAAATTCATTTAAATTAACATTTACAAAAAATTAAGTACTTTGTTCTTGAAATGAGTTACAGAAATTGTTATCGGCAACTATTTATATCTTTACTTTATTCCAATTTTACTTTACTGTCTGAAGTGTAAGCCAATAGAAACAATATAAAATATGAACTGTTCTCATTATTTTCAGTAATATATTACAATAGATTAAGGCAAATTAGCGATGTATAAGTTTTGTATACATCATGCTTAAAATGGAGGTCTCGGTGTATAGATGCTGATCTAATTAATATCATAAGATAAAATATAATAATAGCGAGAGAGAGAGAAAAATGGGGTTTAATGTTCACTCAACACAAACTAGGTCATTTCGGGACTAACACATGATTCAATTTTATTTCAATAATTTGCTTGCGTGTAGGGGTCTTTAGCAGTGGGAGGAAACTAGAGGACCTGGAGAAAACCTATGAGGTTGGACAGACGACCCTACTCCTTGTCACGTACAACCGGGGATTAAAAAACCATGCCAGTTGACTCAATGACAGGCTTTATGATACAGCATGCATGTGCTAACCATTCGGCCATCCAACCCCCCCAAATATAATAGTAACGGTACTAGATATATAATATAAGAGGTTGAAAGAATGATAAATACATGTATAGCGAACAGAAGCCAAGAAAGGCAGCTTTATTACGACAAGCCGTCAAGCACTAGATGGATTCAAGTTATTTCAGATATTAAATAGGATATCTATATATACTGAGCAAAAGAAGAGGGAATTTTGGAAGGTTTTATTTTTACCAAATCTCGTGGATTATCTATTTTATCGAAATCTTGTGGTGACAACTGTCTGTGTCTATCATTAGCCGCGCCTAGTAGACTTGGTTTATTGGCAGCGTTTGAAGAACGTGCAGCGAGTATAGCAGCCTTTCCACCTAGCACTTCCCTCTAGCAAATATAGTACAGTAAAAATAAGATAAAAGTGATATTTGGATTGTATTAATACTTCCCTCTAGCAAAAATAGTACATATCTGGATTGTGCTATTATTATAATCATTAACAAACCATATGTTCCGGATGACACATATCTCAATCATTTTACACAGGCATACAAAAAATAAAACCTGAGACTGCCTGGCATTGAAAAAATTAACATTTTTGAAATCAATAAATTTCATAAAATCCAATGTGAAATGTACGTTAACCAGACATGTCTATGTAAGCCACCGGTATAAGGTGAATTACACATTTCTTGAATACTTTTCATAAGATTTGTCTTTTCTAGTAGATTTTAATTAGCAAAAAATATAAAATTACCCGTTGTTTAAGAGTGTCTAATTCTTCTCGTAGTGTACTAATATCTGATTTCTGTTGATCAGGGGAGATAACTGTACTAGAGAAATGTGTATTCTGATCATCATGATTATCCAGTTTTATTTGATCACTGCCAGTATTATAACCTGTTGTGTATGTGCTGGTCTCAGAACTCGGTGTTATTCCTAGAAATGTTGAAAAAATATATAATTACGAACTCGTCTGTCACTAGAACTAGAATCAGAGATTGTCATGACTTTAGAAATGAAAGGTAAGCTGTGGCATTTTTAACATAGGCCTACTGGTAGTAGCCTAATCTTTTAATTTGGAGACCAACACATTTTCTGTTTGCAAAGGAATGAAAGAGGGTCTGAATCTTTTAAATTCCAACTACCAAGGAATCTTTCACATGCAGTTCCAAAGGATTGTCCCATCAGAAGGACTAGACACAAATTCTCTTTCAGTAGCACTACTGACATTATTAATTCCTTGATATAACAATTAAGAGCTTAAACGATTTTGCAACTAAAGACATGTTTGCACATCTCAACCTTTCAGTTTTATTCCAGACTTTATTTATGAAATCCTGTAGGTTCTCTGGTTACAGGCAAGCATAACATTCAAAATGTCAAAAATTAAGAATACTAGTGCATCATAAGAACAACATTTTTTAAAGATTGATACATCAGAATTAGAACAGCACCCAAAAATGATCCTTAATATAGATTCATTATGTTATTGCATGTCATTAAAATGAAGGCTGCCTTAGATGGGTTGCACATAGTTGGCTTTGCCCAGGGTGCAAAATTGACCTGGCCATGAGTACAAAATTGTCCAACACTGCCTCTATATGTCCCACTAACACCACTTTGCTTTTTATATTTTCAAAGAAATCATTCCATTAATAGATCTTACCATATGAACGTTGTGTGTGTCTCGATTCATCAGAAAATGTTATTTCATCATCCCTATAATTTCTGTCTGGAAGTGTTGGTGAACTATACCTACAAATATTAATATAAAATTATGTTGATGAAGGATTTAAATTAAAGAGTCAGCATGTTTTTATGTTAGGATTTCAACATGTGGAAAATGATACATATTGAATTAATTAAGGGCTATACATTGGTACAGTATCCGATCGCCCTGTTTATTTCATTGCTGACCGTAGGGATTGGCTGGTCTAATGCAAGTGGTGTGGTTTTGAGGCCAAGCATGTACTGACAAGAAGGGTAGCCTGCCCATCTTTCTGTCTCACTGCTGACCAAACAATATAATCATGTTTTTTTTTAACTCTTACCAAGGTTAGGTCTACAAATTTCTACACAAAAGAAGATAGACTTCTTTGTCTTATAGCCTTCTTTGTCTCATGACCTTAAACACTGTGTATAAATTTTAAAAAGGCAATCAGATATTAACTCTAGCCTTCAGAGCATCCACAAGAAATTGTGGACGCCGGACCAACGGACGAGAAAACAGACATATCAATAACAATATACAACCACATTTCAGTGTGGGTGTATAAAAATACTAGTGTTTTAAAATAGTCTATCTACCTTTGAACAAACATAATGGTGCCGTCGTATCGCAATTACGGGAAGGTGGTTATGAGGGTGCCCGCGTCATGTTACCAAGTGTCTACCATTCTGTGTTAATTGACAGCTTCGGAAACGGATGAAAAGTAACACTGATCATATAATCTTTACGTTTGTATCTGCTATCGCTATTGCAAGTTCCTCCACGAACATCATTTAGTCGACATAGTTACTAACTGATTTTAGTCGTGACCCTAGTATAATAACAATGGCAAACTTCGTGTTTGTTCTCCGTCAAGTGACTTTCCTTTTGAAAAAATACATTTGACGTCATTCTGGATTATGTGTATTGTTATTCCTCACAATAATCAGAACAATAAACATAAATATAAGTAAAACATATGATGACATTTGGTGCTACAGAATTGAGCATGGGCCTTAACTCGTTAGTATTCAAACGATTCACCAAAGTTAAACCAGAGCCATATTGTTTCACCATTTGGAATAATGCCTATAACTTTCAAATAGATCTGATGATAACTATTATTGTTAGGGTATTAACAAGACTCTACAAAGTGATCAAGGAAAATAACTCTGGAAGCGATTATCCGAAATCGCTGAAATTCCAAAGTGTTCTTCGTCTCAATAATGTAAAAAACAAGATCAGTTGATAAATGTAGTTTGTAGACTGTAGAGTGTTCACAAGAAACAGTTGACAGTGGATAGATGCACAGATGCAGTAAATGAAAGGGATGACTGCAATATAAGACCACATTTCCATGTGGGTATACAAAAATCAATTTTTCTAATTTATTTCCAAAACAAAATAATTTCGCAGTCTGAAACAAAAGTATGTATGCAATATAATGCATGTACAGAAAGAAAATGGAAATTCTATGGTCAGTTGTGCGATGGTGGGGGGTAGGGAGGCAACGGAAGGGTTGTTTTACACATATTCTAATGTGTACATGAGTGGATCTTGGTTTGCCATCCCATCGAAATGGCCTCGCAACATTTACGTATCACACTTTAAACTGTGGAGATACGATAATTTTGAATCCAATGCTCCTTTTCATTGGTTTTCAAATTTAAATGAATTATATTTTGTGCTCTTCCACCTCCATTTGAAATTTAAACAAAACAATGTTGATAACTTTTACTTGCTGGAGTAAAATATTGGATGGTCAAATATTACTAAGATAAAAATATTTTATTCATTCTGTTAACAGTTTTTAAAAGAAAGATTTATTTTCTAGCTGAATTTTTAATCTTTTTTTTTTCAATTAATAATCAACAACTCTTGACATTTAGATATGGGCACACGCATGGCATACCAAACATTTGGTATAGTAGTCTTTGTCAATTAATGACTCTAAAACCAACATTACCAGACCATATTTTCATAGAGAGTGTGTCGATGATACAGTGCTGGATACAATCTTTTTAAACAGATTGAAGAAAAACTAAAGGGAAGGGTAAGAAAGATACATAAAGAAAAACAAAAACAAATTGTAAGGAGATTTATTTATCACAGAAAGATTAATAAATAAATAAATAAAACAATAAAGACACCAGGTGACTGAAAGTGATAAAACCAAATTTAAGTAAATTGTAAAGTGACACAATAGAATTTTAGTAAAGTGATCAAACAGAATTTTAGTAAAGTGACAAAACAGAATCTTAGTAAAGTGATCAAACAGAATTTTAGTAAAGTGTAAAGTGACAAAACAGAATTTTAGTAAAGTGATCAAACAGAATTTTATTAAAGTGTAAAGTGACAAAACAGAATTTTAGTAAAGTGATCAAACAGAATTTTAGTAAAGCAATAAAACAGAATTTTAGTGAAAAAATAAAAAAGCTGTGATTTATTAGTAAAATACTGTTTAAACCTGGGAACTTATTTCTTTAAGCAGGAAATTGTTTGTCAAGATTTAACATTATAAATCATTCATTAAAGATGCCTTCCCACGTACAAACCATATGATTTGATGTTTTAGGTGGTCTAAAACCACATTCAAACTAATTCATCTTTAAAACAATTTTATCAGCATAAAACAACCCCATGCTTTAAATATCTATTTTAAGTAGCCCGGTTTGTCACATGAACTGATTACGGGGAGGGTCCACTTTTAATTCTTCGATTATTCTCTGCCAAGTTTTGACAGTCTGTAATTAAGACCGGCAATTATGATCAAAACAAGTTCACAGGATTAAACAGCACTATTTGTTAGAACAGTGTTGTCTAAAAGCCATATTTACAAATAGCAGTAGATAAATAACACAAAAGTAGATCTGAATTTAATTAATTAAAATCTAAAATCAATCATTTCCATAAATTGGTGTCTTTCACTAAGAATTGAACTGAATTTTCAGACCAAGAAATTAAGAAATCTATTAAAATTCTTTCACCTAAAAATCATGCAATTGTTCAATCAAAAGCTTTTTAACAGTTTCCATGTGTAATTGTCATCACTATGTTGAAAATAATCTATATGAGAAGAGAATTTTTTTGTAGAAAACATGTCTTTTACATCCAATAACTATTTATAAGGCAGGACAATGCGTTACTCACTGACCTACCGGGGCTCCTAGTAGTAAACAAGTAACGAATCCTAAACCATAATATTCACTAGAATAGCAATCCTGTCAGTGTGAAATTCCAATCATTTCACTGATTGATACCACCTAAGGATTCTTTTGGCTATTTATTTCTATAACAATTAGACATGGTGCCTCTAAAGATGGTTAGATCTATTTGATAAGGCCAACTTCAACCTAACCCTGGACCTAGCCCTAACCTACAATCTCGCCAACAACCATGTTATTTACATCTCAGCGACCTTGACAAAAATTGAGTTGGCCTTAACAAATAGATCTAGCCCTCTAAAGATATAGTGCTAGATACAGAGCTCTCAATTCATACTTAACAGCTGGTCAAATTTCATTTATCTTCTAGATTAGCAAGATCATTTTATGCATTAAGTATCCAATTTATACACATAAATACTATAAGTTTAAGTATATTAATTGCATCTAAAAGTTAAATTATTTGAAACGCACAATTTTATGGACTGACAGGTAGATTCTCCAACCAATGAAATGAGAGCCCTAGTGACAACATTCAGTGAAAAACTTGTGATCTAATCTAATAGGTGCCAATATCGTGTGCTATAACCAGACCCTCCTCAAAACAAGTATACCTTTCTACAGCCTCATTATTATCAGGGGCAGTCGATTCTGCAATTTTTAACGGTTGTTGTTGAGTCTGTCTGCAAGATTTTTCAAACAATACTGTGCCCTGAAAATAAACAATTAATACAATCTAAGAGAACCAGGAACCTACATATCCAAAAACATTTCTTTACCAACTAGGCTAATGAAGATGGGGATAGCAGCAGGGGATGCCAGATGCCAAAGTCGCCGATAAAAAAATGAAAGTGGCAATTAAAATTTGATTTTAGTAACAATTTTTGTGATAACATTTTTGAGTACTTGTTATTTTTTTTGAGAAGTGGATGGAAAAAAATCTTAAAATTCTAAACGTATTTATTCCACATAGACCATTACATTGAGTGTCAATCACAACCACATAGCGGCATACTATAAATTAACCAACTAGCTGATATCCAGATCTTGCCAATGAGTAATACTAATCAATTATCAGTCGATTGATAATGGACAATGATATATAAAGCCTATTTAAGTCATTATTTATCCTATTAATTAATCTAAGGGTTGATTATGTAAAATATACAAGCATTCCTAAGAACTGGATATTATTATTATTTCAAATTATATTATTAGCATGGGTAGGAAACGTAGAAACGAGTCATATAGCAAAGATTATCAAGAGAAAAAAAACAGTGGGAGGAAACCGGAGGACCCGGAAAAAACCCACGAGGTTGGACAGGCGAACCTACTCCTTGCTACGTACAACCGGGGATTCGAAACCACACCAGTCGACTCAATGACAGACTGTATGATACAGCGCACGCACGCTAACCATTCAGCCATCCACCCCCCACCCCCCTGGACAACTGTGTTTTCACCTACTCTTCATCAAATTACAAGTGTCACAGGTCTTTTTATTTGTCTCCCAACATGAACCCGCTTTAGGCTTTTCAGGCCCTCAATCCTGTACCAATGACAAGAAGTAACCTGGCTGGGAAATCCAGAGGAACTTTCTCGGCCAACACCAAGATCGAATCTGGGATTTCCTGGTTAGTGAGCGCAACAATCTAATTAAAATATAGATCTATATTTCGTTTTGTTTTTTATACTTTCGATGGCCTACACTACATGTAGATCTAACAAGTTATAGTGGGAGTTCACGTTCTATGACGTCAGGTACCAAGCAAGCGACATTTGACCCGATAACGTCAGTCATTCGATTAACCAATTAGCGACCGCCATGTTTTTTTAAATCCACTTTTGCTTTGTTTTGATTTCTATTGCTGGCAATGTCTACCCACAGTTCCGCGCAAAGAAGGTCAAACGCTCGATTCGACAGACCATTTGATTGGCTGACCCCTCATTTCAAGCAGAACACAAGTTAAATAACAAGTCTTCCAGATCCAAATGTAGTAAAGACAAGTAAAACGAAATTTTGAACTATAAAAAACGAAACGAAATTGGATCTGTGTTTTAATCAGATTGTGAGCGCAATGATGTCGGATAACAATTAGTATTCCCAAGCTTATATAAACTTCCATAAAAGTGGCATAATATAACTCAAAGAGCTTCATCGGCCATTGCTGGCTTGGATTTGGCTGGTAATAATTTCTCACTGTACAAATGTGTGGTTGTGGGGTCCAGCAACTTTAAAAGATTAAGAAGAAATGAAATGAAATGGGGTTTAACATCCTAATGTAATTTTTTACACTGACTGGACACTGTTCTTGTCAGGCCCTCTATCCTGCACCACTGACAAGCAGAAACCATGTCAGAATTTTTAATTGGACTTCCCAATAACAAAACAGCTATTAAGTATAGTGAAATATAACCAACTTACAACACATCAAATCTACTTACAATGTTTTTCCTGATAACCATATCTAACTGATGACTTCCTTTCAATGTTACAACAGCCTGTAATAATATATTAAAACATGTCAAAAGAGTCTGAAATCATATATTACCCCATTCAATGTTACAACAGGCTGGAATACTATATTAAAACATGTTACAACAGTGATGTTACAACAGCCAGGAATAATATATTAACCCTTTCAATGTTACGACAGTCTGAAATAATATAGTAACCCTTTCAATGTTACAACAGCTTGAAATTGTTAAAAACACAATATTAGTGTTAATTATAACCATTTTTTTCCTTCTGACATTACATCAAATCTCTGCAATCAACCGCATATTCAACCACACCCTCCGGTCACTCACTTCCAGTCCATGGCACATGCTCACCCAAATAACTCACATTACAGCATAGACATAATTGACATGAATGATTCACATTACATAAACACAGATAAATATCAACAGAAATATTATACTAAAAGATAGAGAAAGACAAATGGTGTTGATTCCAGCTGTCTAGTGTAGTAACCACTGTTACACCCTGTCCAAGTTCACCAAAATCAAAGATATCATGTAATTTAAATGAAAATAATATTACCTCTTTATGGCTAATTCCTTGAAAGGGTGTTCCATTGACCTCTACAATTTGATCTCCTACTTCTAGACCAGCTTCCTCTGCTAAACTATCTGGCTTCACTTTCTCAATGAATATACCAGGAAAATGATTTGGTCCACTTAAAATACTAAAATAAATCATAAATTAGGCTCCAATATTTCATTTTATTGCTACTGTACTTGATCACTCAATTAACTGGGATACTATCATAATTTTTGTTCACTTTCACTTTTTTCTGATATCATCTAATCTAATCATTTACATGGCTTAAACATGCTTAATGCAAAAGCTAAATCTGTCTATTGCAGGTCTTACTTTAGGCCTGAAATGTTATCCAAATTATTAATTAGACATTAATTAACTTATCCAGACCATAATCAAATTGAGATGTCATCGCTAGCCTGCGATATTTAATGGATTAGGATCCAATTTGCTGCTCAACTTTCATTCATGATTTAATCATGAAATGGATAATTGAGACTAGGTTTTTTATCATACCGACTTTGGTAATGATGATTGAGGCTAGGCTAAAAATTCAATCGCTAAATTCTCTGTTCAGAGTTGATCAATTTGACTGAAATTTTCAGCAAATTCCCTTTACATTATCAAGTTTTTAACTGTTATAGTGAGAACTGCCAACTCTTTTTATAATCTTCCATAATGTATCTTTAAGAAAAAAAAAACCACGACTGGCAAATATACTGAGCGCCATAGAAAACGCATCACTTAGTTTTTCGTATAACAAAATGATCCTGTGAACATATCTTATATATTTTGCTTCTTATTGTGAACAATATTCAAATGGGAACATATCAATAACAACACATTTGTACACTTATGGATGTTTAATCTGTAATCAACGGTACAAAGTCAGAGGAGTCAAAACCAAAAGTACGACACAGATGTCAGTAGCGCATGTGTCCTCCACGGGCTCTTACGCACGCTGTGCAGCAAAGTCGCATGGTATTTACCATTGTTTGAAAGAAGGCCTGGGGCAAATTGTTCCATTCTTGGACAAAAGCAGCTTCTAAAGCAGCAATGGTGTGCATCTGTGGTCTCCGATACAGACGGCGTCCAATCTCATCCCAGACATGTTCTATCGGTGCCATGTCCGGAGACATGGCTGGCCAGTCCAAGACGTTGATGTTGTTAGCAGCCAGGTAGTCCATACTAAAAGGAGCGGTATGCGGACATGCATTATCCTGTTGGAAGTGCTGAAGTTGTGGGTGCGCTCGAAACATCGGAACAACAATTGGTTGCAAGACATCATCACGGTAGGCTACAGCATTAACACGACCCCTGCAAATGTGTAGGGTGGTCCGATGATGAAATGTGAAGCCTCCCCACACCATTACACTTCCCCCACCCCATCGATTCGTTTTGAATACGCAGCAGTCTGCAAGACGTTCCCCAAGACGTCTCCACTCACGTTGACGGCCATCAGCATGATAAAGATGAAAGCGACTCTCATCACTGAAGAGCACACTTTGTCAGTCTACTCTTCTCCATGTCTGGTGTCCTTGAGCCCATATCAAACGCCTTTGACGGTGACAATCCCTGAGGATAGCTCCAACATAAGGTCGTCCTACTTCTCTTAGACGACGTCTTACGGTGTTGGCACTTACTGGTCCTTGTCTTCCGACGACTGCTGCACCTGTTCGAGTAGCTGGGCAGAATCTGTCACGCAGATGAGTGACCCGGATGTAGCGGTCTTGAGCCTGGGTTGTAACGCGTTGTGGACCAGGACGTTGACGGTCATGTGTTGATCCAGTAACTCGAACACGTTCCACCAACCTTACAATAGTGGACTGATGACAAATGAAGTGCCTGGCAATAGCACGTGTAGACATGCCAGCCCTGGACATTCCCATGGCTTCAGTCCGTTGATTTTCAGTAAGTCTCGGCATCTCTAGCTCGATTCCTTTACACGTCCAACAACAAATTACGACAGATTGACGTTTCACAGTTCATGTACTGCACATTAAGTTGAAAACATGCTTTTAAAGGGCTCACACACAATGCTGCACGTGAATATTGGGTTTTTCATGTGCATCTCGCGCAATTTTTTTTTTGTGCACACGGGCCGATATTTTTTGCGTTTGGGAGCATTGTGTGAAACAATAGTTCATAGTATTGCATCATATTATACAAACAAAACCACCTAGTAATAAAATATTTGGGAAAAAAAGTGATGCGTTTTCCATGGCGCTCAGTATATGACTAAACCCTGTTTTTCGCGGTCTTGCTTCTTTATAATCAATAGAATCAAGATTTTCAAAGCATTGTTTCTATGATTTTGGTTTGACTGGTTTTTTTTGGGAAACAACATATGTTTTTGAATATTGTTTGTGAATGAATCATGTTTTTAAGTAATATTTTTATTTTAAATAAATATTTTCTTAAAATCAACCCTGAAGATTATCTGATAACAAGAGAAGGGTAAAGATTCTTACCCACATCCAATACTGCTGGCTCCAGATGTGTTGATGAATATCTTCAACTCATTACCTTGGTTACGGTTTTTATTTCCAGCACCATCCAATACCTCTTGCTGTAAAAATCATAATCGTAGGAAATGAAATGAAATGAAATGCGGTTTAACGTGCTACTGTTCTGCTCCTATATTGGGCTAATAAAGATGGGTATATGGCATACCATGGAAAATTTAGCCCGGGCAGCGGCACAATGGCCTACTCTTATACTGAATTCCAACTGCCAAGGGATCTTTTACGTGAATGCCAATGTATACACAGACTTCGGTTTTCGTCTCATTCGAATGTCTAGACAGCTGTCCTTGTCAGGCCCCCTGTCCAGCACCATTGACAAGGGGAAATCATGTTGGAAAATCACGATGAACTTTGCTAGCGCGCCAGCTTCTTACCATCTTAGACATCGTGGCTCCCATAATCATAGGGAAATATGACAAAAGCAACTAAAAATATACTACCTACATTGAGTAAAAATTTTAATTACATATTCCAAATGTAATATCAAAAAATACAATGAACGGTAGCTAAAATTTGTTAAAATAATAATAATAAAAATATCGTCATTTATAATTTGTGTTAATACTGAAGAACAGTTTCTAATGCGCTGTTGGTTGTTATATTCACTGATTAGTTACATATCAGGGTTTTGAAACAAGAATGTTTTGAAATTTAAAATGGCTCACTGTTGTGAATTGCAACTTGAACTTCATTCTTTTATGAATTGGGAGCCTGTGTACAGATTGTGTATGGATTGCAAATGACATTATAACTAGTGACATTTCAACTAAGGTGAAAAACCAAACCCTCGAGACTTGACACTTGGTTAGTGGGTATTTATTTGTCTGAAGTTCCACATCTGAAGTTCCAGAATGAACAACTAAGAATCCAAAATTTTGTGGGAACCCAAATGCGCGGAATAAAGAGGTTTGACTGTCCTACATACCAGTGCCTTGGACGAATCCATTTTCTCCACATAAGACCATGTTACGTTTTCATTAGGTGTCTCCTTATTAGGTAACATGCCAATGTGTGTGACCTTGAGAACGATCTCTTCACGAGATTTAATAAGGTTTAGTACATCTTCATGTATGGCTTCCGAGATGGTGAACCCATTTACGCGGACTATTTCATCACCAATCTAAAATTAAAGACATTTATATTAGATATAAACAACAGATTCTTTGTAAAAGATTATAATTCAAACTGGCAGATTGGAATTATTAACACAGAATAGAAACTTTGGAGAGTCATAGCTTCATCCATGCACAAGATCTGAAATGATTGTCACAGAAATTTTTTTTCTAACCTTTAGTCCACGTTTTTGAGCTTGAGAATTTGGTTGGACATCTGATACGAACACACCCACACCGTGTTCAAAACCTGAAATATAACATGATCGACTTCATTATTTTCAACGACAAGGCTGAAAATTTTGTTTAGTCTTTCGAGATTTATTTTTCACGTTTTTATCTACAGTGAATCAATGTTTCATTTCATAACAGATAAAGAGGCCTCCCTGGTCTAAATCCTTTCGGGGGTTACAGTGGCTAAGTGGGTAGGATGCTGGCTCGCTAGCCTGGAGGTCGGGTGTTCGATCCCAGCATTGGCCGAGAAAGTTCATCCAGATTTTCCGGCGTGGTTCCCACTTGTCAGTGATGCAGGACGGAGGGCCTGACAAGAACAGCTGTCTAGTCTTTTGTAGGGGACAGAAAACCAAGGTCTCGTGTACACATTGGCGTGCACGTAAAAGATAAAAAAATATCTGTTGTTCATTCTGTGTTTTATCATCAAATTTGTTTGTGTGGTCATCCTGCACTTACTATTAAGTAATAAAATTAGAACCATTATCCTAAAAGAATTGAATTAAGGGCGTTACTATGTATAACTTATGGTAACTTCGCAATTAATTTTATATTATTAATCAAACTCTGCTCCACATAAATTTGGTATGATCTTTAAATAGACATCTAAAGCTGTGATTCACGCCATAGTTTGGGCACATATCTCTTGTGGTTTTAAAGATATTAAATTTTGAAATCAGCTTAAAAATGATCAATTTTCGTCATAAATCTACAAACTTCTCAGTCTTGCCTGATCCAAATTAAATAATTTTTGCCATGTAAATAGCTAAGCTAGTGCTTAATAAAATTAAAGGAGTATTTTTCCATGGTGCCAATAATAATGCCAAAATTCCAGAGAATCAAATAATTTCATAGGTCGTTATGTAAACATTGAATAAAATTTATTTCATATAAACGTTGAATAAAATCTATTTCATATAATCACAATTCGTCCCATAGAAATATGTTCTTTCGAGTGTAAGCTTCAATTTGACGCCACATTTTTAAAAATCAGTTTAGTAGAACTTGTACTCTTTCATCGTTTTCCTTGGTTTACAAAAAGGGTCCTTACGAATCGTGACGTATTCGTGTAATAAGTAATGCGATTTATAAAATAAAAAATGGACAAAATATCATGAATTAGCAATGAGTAGACTGTCAGTGTAGTTTATGAAAAATAATATGAGATCTTCATCTCACAAAACAAAGAAAACGAATTGAGCCATTTTTCGTTATTGGCAGCTGTCAAAAAAGACTGGTTATTCGAGATCGAAGGAGTTCCACCTAGTCTAGTTTCTATTTACCAGAAATGACCAAAACAGGGCAGCAGAAGCATATTTCTATGCAGAAACAAAAAAAGACGAGCTAATATACTTACTGTAACGTTCAAAACAAATTCAGATACTATTTTTAAAGTAACCAAGGTCAGGGATTCCCTCCCTTTGACCGACAATCCTGACCTATCCGACAAAGTGAACGTTTCTTTCTGTTGACGATTTATGTTTTTAGGGGAAAAGGAGACAGGTACTAAAGTATCACCGAGAAATAATTTGAAAAGTTAGTGCGAATATTAGACATGGCAACACTTCTGCCACACAAAACAAAATTGTAAAAATCTATCATTCATTGATCTAAAAAAAGACAGAATGCAGATATCAAACTGGACTTACCTCCCCTCACAGCGAATCCTAGACTTTCTCCTGGTTGCCGTTGTAATCGTACAACTCGTAATTTAACACCTGGCATGTTGGGAGTCGTACGACTGTATTCTATTTGATGTTTTAACAATATCAGTGGTCTGAAAGTTAAAATCATTATATTGAACCAGGGTCATGGATCATTCTTAAAGGTCATTTGAGGAAAGTTGAATCCCTTAAAAACTACAATATTGTGTATGTTGAATCTTTACAACAAATCGGTCATAAAATGGTTTGGTTCTGCCCAGTATTTACAAAGATATGACAAGTTAAAAATTTGTCAACATTCAGCATACAATGCAGACGACATAAACATGGGATAAGGTGAAAACAGATTCAAACTAAAATTTCAAAATTTCACTTTAGTCAAAACCGTCAAAAATTTGGCCATATTACTGGATTGATATGACAAATTTTGGGTGTATTTGGTATAAGGTTATTTTGTTCGGAAATAATCCAAGCTCCGGGATTATACACTGTTGAATTTAAATGTTAAAAATAATCCACTCGACTATAATTTAGAATGGATTCAGCTGTGAAAAAGGAGATTTTGTCTGAAAAGTGAAAATGACGATCAGTAGAGTGTTAAATTTGAAAAGTAAATCATGTTGTTTTTTTAAGGATATGTATAATGAACTGATTATCTCTTACCTGATATGTTCGTAAAGTTCTAACTTTGTTGGATCATTAAATAGTCTGCGTAAATCAGCCAACAGTGTCTCCAATACCAGCTCTCTAATATAGAAATATAAAACTATGACTATATGAAGACAATATTAGATGAGAGTAGTCGTTTACCATCAAGTTTATTCATAACTTCTGACACCATGCTTTTACGATATCTATAAGACTGCAGCTGATCAATCAGGTGTTTATTACAGAATGGTCAGATAAGCTTCATACAGGAGGATGATGAGATGAGTTTCATGCTGGACAATGGTGATATGAGCTTCATATAGGAGGATGATGAGTTGAGTTTCATGCTGGACAATGGTGATATGAGCTTCATATAGGAGGATGATGAGATGAGTTTCATGCTGGAGAATGGTGAGATGAGCTTCATATAGGAGGAGTTTCATGCTGGAGAATAGTAGGATGAGCTTCATATAAGAGGATGATGAGATGAGTTTCATGCTGGAGAATGGTGAGATGAGCTTCATACAGGAGGAGGATTAGTATGATATGTATTAAAGTGAAGGGTGAACATGGTACGTCTGTTCTTATCTCCCTTGTACAGGTCTTGCATTTAAATTGCTCTTAAAACAATGAAATGAAATGGGGTTTAACATCCTACGGCATACAGTGTGCTATGAGGGAAAATTTGCCCAGACAGCGGCACTACATGTACGTCCAACTCTTATATCAAATTCCAACTGCCAAGGGATCTTTTACGTGCACACCAATGTGTACACGCGACCTCAGGTTTCCGTACTATCCAAACGACTATACAGCTGTCCTTGTCATCCTGCACCACTGACAAGGGGTAAAAAAGCTGGAAAATCCCAATGAACTTTCTTGACCAACATCAGGATTGAACCCGCAAGCTGGTGTCACTTAGCCACCGCGGCTCTGCTTTTAAAACAATTACATGATATGCCCATAAATAATAAATGTTCTACATATTGCTTTCTATTAATATATTATGAGGAAACAGCTGTCCCTTTTCATTAGGAGACCCACTTGATTTGATACATCGTGTTGTTTATTGTTTGCAATGTATGTATATATATTGTGTGTCTTATCTGCATGTTTGTATTTTGAATTTTGATTGTGCGTGGTGCGGTCCTCCTGCACTTACTATTAATAAATTGTTGTTTTAGTTTGAAGAAATAAGATGATCAGATATGATTGAACTTACGACTGGTAACTGCGCAATGATGCAAACAATAATTCTCTGTCATTTTCTTCTTCAATCAATTCTTTTACCTGAAAATATGATAAATTACGAATCAGCTCAATGAAATGTACAAAAATAAACGAATAGAGAAAGAGCTATGGCTTCACAATGTCAATGGCCTGTCAACAGAAAAAGTTGAAAAGAAAAAGTAAAATTTGTTTACGAATTCGATTATACTTGCTGTATTGAAATAAGCAGCAGTCATGTGTTAGATTTAAAATCAGTGTCAACAAATGCCACACAGCAAGTTTTAAAAGAAAAAACTATGATCTCTGTAGTAAACTTTGACAGTCAAAACGTGAATGTGAAGACATATAAAATGTCAAAGGATGCAGACCACAATTCATTTCCCCATTGACTCAATGTTAATTCTGGTTTCTTTGCGCGGCTCCAACTTTTCCCCAAATTTAGCCAGAGCAACAAATGGCCATGCCTTTGCTCCAAATTTTGTATGAGATACAAAAACTTGAAGTAGAATAATAAAACTGTGTAACAAATGTGGGATATTTAATTGTGGACTACCTCTGAATTTAATGCCACATCTTTTAGAAACATTGCTTGTCTGGTGTATTTCTAATTTTCCACCTGTTAAATTTATAAGAAATGAAATGAAATGGGGTTTAACGTCCTACTGTTGTGCTCCGAACTGGACTAATGAAAACGGACATACGCCATACAGTGTGCTATGAGGGAAATTTTGCCCGGACAGTGACACTACGGCCTACTCTTATATCAATTCCAACTTCAAGGGATCTTTTACGTGTACGCAAATGTGTACACGGGACCTCGGTTTTTCGTTCCCTTTGAATGACTAGACAGCTGTCCTTGTCATATATACAAATTATATATACGTGTAAGTCCATAATATGTTAACTTGTTATCAAGCAAAAACTATTGGATTTACATAACCTAATCAAAAGCATAAACACCTGTCACAGATATTATCAGGCACAAATTCAGGCTTTGTCTAGCACAATTCTTTTGGCGTCGGTCATTTTGTCTGACACAGATTTATTTCTCATCACTGTCATTGCTTTCTTTGTATAGTGATAATACATGTCCTGCATAACGTTCAACATGTGATCATGTCCTCGAGTGTATGATATTTTGTCAGAAGCAACTACAATCTTGTCAGACAATCATTATTTCCTGGTCTGCCTAATAGTAAAACAAATCTTTATTGTAATTACTGGCAAGGGACAATGAATAGTCGTTTGGATGGGACCAAAATTGAGGTTATGTATCCACATTGTCGTAAACAAAGAATCTTTGACAGTTGAATTTTGAAGTAAGAGTAGGCCACAGCACTGCTTTCCAGGCCAAATTTCCATTATAGCACACTATAGCATTAGCCTAGTAGCCGGAGAGATATAATTTCTGTTTGTCAAGTACCGAGAACAAATTGCAAAAGAATTTCTTTCACTGGAATATGGTAAAGAGATGTCTATAGGACTCCCAACTCAAAATTGTCCGCTGAAACCCTGTAGCGTTTTTCATAATTAGCATAAATCCAAGATGGCCGCCAATTGGACTTTCTGTCCTCCATATCTTGCAAACGGCTTGTTTTAGAGCATATAAATGTGTATCATTAGATACAAAAGTGATACCAATGAATCGGAAAAAAAAGTTATCACGACGCCAGCAGGTCATGGTGTGACGTCATGATGGCATTGTGACGTAATGACGTCACACTGACGTTATTTTGACATCAAAACACTTAGTCCAGCATAACTATGGCTGAACCTGGAAGTTGTGCACAAAGATTTTTTTATGATTGATTTTAGTAGCCTACGGTGTCCTCTTTAAAAATCTGCCGGTTGAACCAGGGTCACCCTTGAGCGTTTTGAGAAATTCAAGATGGCGTCCAAGACGGCCATCATTTCAAATAATCACCTATAACCCCCATACTATGGTTTTGGGGCCAAGGAATACACCGAAATCATTCATTATGTTGTGGGGTGATTAGATGATAGTAAAATGCAAAATGCCAGACAATATGGCCCTTTAACTCGATAGCGGCGGTTTGGACAATATTTAGTTCACCAAACCAAACTATATATTTATGGACATAGGAGCATATGATTGATACGATAACACTACATACATGCCTAACACGGGGTCCAGGGCCACATGGGATGGCCCTGAAAAGAAGGGCACAATCTGTGTTTTGATCATTTAAAAAAACAAATTCTACTCGCAAAATACGAAAATACCCTCACAAAACTAGGTAATATTCAGTTTAATCCTTTAGTCGTGTGTCTGGTTGCAACCTGCGACAGCACAGGTGCAAAATACTATACATTCTAATCCACCCCTAGTGCAGCTACAAGCAAGCGTACTATTTGGGGCGTCACTCGTGCATCCGCATTTGATGAGCCACAGGAGCAATTTGACCGATTGTAATGTTCTCAATTTAGTCTCCTTAACCCAGCAATACAGTTCTGGATCAAGTTCCGGTGGATTGCGATCTTCCAGTGAATGCAACGCAGTAGCATGGTGGTGACATTGTTTTACTTTCCATACGAATGCATCATTCGTTGGAGCAAGACTACATGGTTTAAGTGTGGATGATGACGATATTTGTCCAGTTTCGGATGCCTATACCCTTCAGCGTGTTTCAGACGTCGATTTGCAAGAGCTCTGTCCATAACAAGCAGACAAGAATCACGTCACAGTGGAATCACCAATCAAAGAAGAAACAACCGTTGCCATTGGAATCACCAATCAAAGAAGAAACAACCGTTTGCATGTCAATTATCATTGGAATCTTGTCAGCCCTTACTCTTACTCGATATGACACGGTTACATGCTACTACAGCTTTGGAAGTGATGAGAGCTTGATTGAATTCTCTCTCTCAGTCCTCGGAGTAGTAGAATCGGTGTTTACAAAGGCCACTGTATTTATGTCAGCTTGTTATGGACAGAGTTCTAGCAAATCGATGCCTGAAACACGCTGGTGGGTATGGGCATCTAAAAAGTCGTCATCCCCACTCAAACATGGTAGTCTTACTCAATGACTGATGCATTTACAGGGAACGTAAAAAGAGCTCATCAACAAGCCATTGCTGGGTAAAGGATACTAAATTAATTAAACAACAACTGGCCAACTTGCTCCGGGGTCTGTCGTGTGTCTCATCAGATGCGGATACAAGAATGACACTTCATGCAGTGCGCTTGCTTGTAGATGCACTACGGATGGCTTAGAATGTACAGTATTTTGTGCTTGTATTGTCTTAGGTTGGAGCCAGAAATACGACCAAAGGATTAAACTGAATATTGCCTAGTTTTGTGGGGGTTATTTTCGTGTTTTGTTCGTAGAATTTGTTTGTTTAAATGTTCACAAAACAGCTTGTGCCCCCTTTTCAGAGCCGGCCCATGTGGCCCTGGAGCCCAAAATAGACATGTATGTGATGTTATCACATCACTCATATGATCCTTTATCCTGAAATATGTCGTTTGTCTCTAGATATAGTTTGGTTTGGTGAAATAATGGCCCTCAGCCGCCGCCAACGAGTTAAAGGGCCATATTGTCTGGCATTTTAGATTTTACTATCATCCAATCACCCCACTACATAATGAATGATTTCAGTGTATTCCTTGACCCGAGTAACATACGTTTAGACACCAAAATTATCGTCCTAGAATAAATACTATGGGAGTTATGGGGGATTTTTTTAAATGGCGTCCCTCTTGGACGCCATCTTGAATTTCGCAAAACGCTCAAAGGTGACCGGAGTTCACCCGGCAGATTCTGAAAGAGGACACCATAGGATATTAAAATCAATCCTAAAAAAAACTTTATAGACAATTTCCAGATTCACTCGAAATATTGAGGTTTGACGACCGGACTAACTGCTTTGATACCGAATAAGCGGGTTTGACATGAGTTCTGGTGTCTTAGAGAACCAAGACTGACTGGACTGGAATCCATTCTGGTGAGTGAAGTTCTATCAGGCCCCGAGTTCACAAAGCATTCTCAGACTTACGTTGAGAATTTGCTCAACTTTCAATCACTGTTTATGAGAAATATCTTTGATGCAGAAACACAAAACTTTGCACCGTTTCTTATTGATGTATCTGATACATTAAAACAACAAAAGTTTTATAAGGGGCTATATATTAGTAAAAATAAGGTGAACAAGTTTGAGTAAATTCTCAACTTAAAGCTAAGTCCGTAACTCAATATCATCCATAATCTTCAACATTAAAAACACGATTTTTTTTTGCAATTTAACTCAGCATTGGTGCTGTGGTCTTACCTGGAAAAGATGGGCTTCTGATATCCAATATTTAAGACAAAATAAACATTTTACCATTGGTACACGAATCGTGTACCATAATGTGTTTCAGCGCCATTTGTAACAAGGTGCTCAAAGAATGAGGCTAGACATATTCCACAAGTCATGTCAAACGGTGATGCCATATTCTTATTTGGAGAGCATGCGCAATATATACTATCGGTGTTGACTGGAATAACCAGACGCTAGAAACTGTCTTTCGGTTGAGACTTCTGGCGTATTTCGCCGAACATAACTGATGACAATTCACAGTAAAATGGAAACGATTGAATGTAAAACAGTTTATATAAATTCATATTACATTATTATATGTGTTGCGACCCATTTGTGCCAATTTCTAGGCCCAAAATATTAGCGATTTAGCTCCTTTAAGTCTGAGAATGCTTTGTGAACTCGGGTCATGCACTGTACATACACATGAGCATTAGGAGTGGCCGAAATGTACAACTGGTGAAGCTGAGCAGCTTGATTGATTACATTCCATCCTTTGGTGGTGAGCTTGACAACACCCCCACCATTATTTAGGTTATTGTCGCAAATTATGCACGTGTCCAAATATCTGGGGAAAACCCAGACTGGATTGCAAGCCAATCACCAGAGCTTAACAACATCCCCACTATTATTTAGGTTATTGCTGCCAATTATGCACGTACCCATGGCGAAATAAAACTCTTTTCATAAAATTAGCAAAATATCTGGGGAAAACCCAGACTGGATTCCAAGCCAATGACAAGAGCATGACAACATCCCCACCATTATTTAGGTTATTGCCACAAACTATGCACGTATCCATGGCGAAATACGACTCTTTTCACAAAATTAGCAAAAGAAAGTTTCAAATATATGGCAGAAAACCCAGACTGGATTCCAAGCCAATCACCAGATTGGATTCCAGTCCAGTCAGTCACTGTCACAAAAACAAACTAGGTCACAGCCCGCTTATTCTGAGTTCTCTTAGACATCAGAACTCACGTCAAACCCACTTATTCAGTATCAAAGCAGTGTTTTGACGTCAAAATAACGATAGTGTGGCGGCCATCTTGGATTTATGCTAATTATGAAAAACGCTATAGGGTTTCAGCGGACAATTTTGAGTTGGGAGTCCTTTAGACATCCCTTTACCATATTCCAGTGAAAGAAATTCTTTTGCAATTTGTTCTCGGTAGTTTTTTTATTTCTCTCCGTCTATAGTTGGAGTAGAAAAGTAGGATGTTAAGCCCTATTTCATTTCCTTTCTTTACTGTAATTAGCGGGATGAAAATTACTTCTTGTTCATCTTCTATATAAATAAATTCAAAGATGGCTGTGTGAATGTTCACCCATCACACTAATTCGTCGCAGTGATCCACCTCCACATATGTGGTATAAAATGAATCAGCATGCTGCATGACCACGTGAATGTTTTAGGCCATCGAATTTGGGCCGCGTTTCATATGTTTGAATTAAATTAACATGGAGAAGAAATCATTGTCTTCCATAGAAAAGACCTCAAGCAAAAAGATCCTAACATTTTATTAGGCTTCAATCATGCATACCATTTATAGAACAAGTTCTATATGTTTACTCCTAAAAAAATTAGTCTCAATTTGATTTCTCTCAAAACTAGTTTAATTGTCAAGTATAAATATAACAGTCATTCTTTCTTTTTTATTTCATAATGAAAGGCATCCTCGGTATCCCCAATGTTCTCATTCCGTTCTACTCCACTATACCCTGGGTTAATCCATAGGGTTTCCACGATTTCAGATTATCTGCCCTGGCCTTGATTGTAACTAAAGTCTACGAACCAATCCAAACCAGTCATTTCGCCTTCGTTTTTATAAGGGTAGATAACCATATTCACGTCTATTTACTGAATGGTTCATTTATATTTAATTGTATTATCAAAATCTGTAGTATGTTTTGTTGATTTCGAATATGTATAACATCTATATGTTTGACTTTGGTTATTATGATTACTATGCGTTCTTTGTCTGAAATGTTATCATTCTGTTATGTTTAGTATTATTGAACATACTTGGCAATTTGATTCACAATATCACATGGACGTAAAATTCTGGGAACAAACAAACGGTTCTCAATAAAACTCTTGAACCTACATGTATATAAACGTCCGGTCTTCATTAATATAATATTATATAATTTGTTGTTAATAAATACGCATTTAAAATAATTTGGACTTCTCTCGTTTGGGCTAACTCCTAACCTTGTCTGATGAGAGTTACTTCCCTTCGCAATTAATGATTTATGGGATTTGTCGATATAAATAGCACAATCATCAAGGGCGGATAACTTGAACATGTGTCCCCCCTATAGATTAACCCAGGGGTTGGTGGAGTAGAACGGAATGTAACCACTGGGGATACCAAGGATGAATAAAAGGACACCATGATTCAGCTTACATTCCAGTCTTGTTATTCCTTTCCATTATTTGTTGTCAAGTATTTGAATTAATATAACAGCAACTTGCTCTTCATAACAAAATGACTCAAAAGATTCAGCCGAGAATAAACCCCAATGCCCTAATTCCTTCTTATAATTTTAAAACAAATGCAGGAAAATGAAGTAAGCAACATGCTGTATTTTTCCTTTTAAAATCTAATTATGTTGTCAAATATAACAATGCCTCAATTATTGACCCCAGAATAGACCCCAATTCCTTATCATTATTTCAAACAAAAGTAGAAAAACATGTATGATCATTTTTACAATGAAAATATGAATGCGCCAAATTCTATATCATATTTCAAATCACTTATTTATCAGAATATACAAATGTCCTCTTGAACTTTATTTAACCAAATTGTACTTGAAACTGTTACTGAGCCACCCATTTCCATTTGTCAGATAACCAAACAAACCCACATCAAAGAACAACGACCAGAGAACCAGAAATACTCTTTTATAAAAAAACACTAACGATCATTGGCTATAAAACATTACCTTGTTGTTGAATTTAGATCCAAATTCGGAAACTTCAGACATTTTATAAGGACACAGATATCGACAACTCAAGATAAAAAATTCTCAAGGCGTTATTTTTACTGTGCTATCTATAAATGTCGATGTAACTTTGTGATTTTGTATTTGATTAGACCAACTGTTCGTTTATCAACCAATATTTACACACAGATTAAAGACTGTTTCAATCTTCAGTGTCACGTGATTGTAGATAAAACTATTAAGATGGTTAGAGAAGTGCTATAAGATAAACGGTATTGATTTTTTCAAGGTAAAAGTATTTTTATTTTAAGCATAAATCTTTATTGGCAATAATTGGCATTCTTGAAATTGTTTAAGTTCATCAGTAAAACATTAACCAATTAACAATTTTTTGTTTCTGTTGAAAAGATATCTCCAGAGACTAATACTAGGTGTCTAGCTCTTTTCCCTAGTCTATTCAAATGTTACTGTACTGTAATGGTTGACTGACAGCCATGGGAGAGTCGGGAAGATGGGGCCATGTTTTTTGTCAGGTTTTTCAGACTTTACTCCTGGATTCCATCCTTTAATTCATTATACATTAATTCATTATGGAATATCTGTAAATAATGATGGTCCAGGAATTACTCTTTCAGTCTAGCCTAATAATAAAAATCTTGGCGCAATCACAGAATATATCTACCAATGTTATACCTAACCTGACTGTCATAGCTTGGGTGTTTCCTGTCCACATTGTAATGCCAGGGCTCTGGATTTAGTTATTTATATTTCCAAATCTTGGACTAGCTGGCAGTAGAATTGATTGACTGGAGGGGAGGGGGGAGGGGGGAGGGGGCTGTACATCAGTCAATTAACATGCCATAAAATTAGAATTTGAAAGATTTTGACCTTAAAACACAATAAATACAAAAATTGACTGCATGGCAAAATTTGAAAGTGAAAGACTTGTGAGTGGTAGACAGTTCCTAAAGCCAACCAAAAATCTTTGGATTTTAATCAATGAAGCTTTTAAAAGAAACAGATTCTAGATATGGTAAAGGTTTAAAAGTATCAAATGTAGACTGAAGTGCTTGTTGTACAAGTATTTATCGAATGTTTCAATATAAAATAATACTCTGATTTAAGTAATAAATTATTCATTACAACGAGTATCAAACAATATACCTTGAAGGTCATTCACATCAGATCAAATTAACTGAAATCAATATCAACAATTTGATTTTTTAAAAATTTTTGTAACAAAATTTAATAAAAATAATAAATACCTTTTTGATCTACAGATATATCTAAATTTAAGTCATGATCTTGATAGATTGTCAAAAAAAGCTTCACCTTGAAGTTTCGCAATGTAAGATTTTAGTTACGTATTTACGATCACAACTAAAAGGAAATTTACCTTAGTTACAAATTAACAGTAGGCCTACAATATATTAAATCTTCATTAATTTTGGTATCGGGTAGTTAAATTAATTAGATATCAAACTAGACCAAGACATGGATCTAGGTGTACTAATTGGATTAAAGCATGACCAATTTAATTAATATTTAATAAGGTAACTGTTAGCGGATTTTCTTGAATAATTGACATGTACTGTAACCATTCAGCATCCAACCCTCAATTTGGGTAGGATCCATGTGCATGTTTCTGAGTAAAACCATATTAGTTATGTACTTACCGGTATCTAATTGGTTTCCTATTTTCCTAATGATTCATCATGATAGCTTATTACAAGCAAGTCAATTGTTTATCATTTGTATAAATCATTGACTCTGTCTGTGTTGTATTTCTTTATTTACATTTATTCTGTCAACTTCTACTGTATAATGTATTTATTGCCAGATTTAGGCATAAGGTCAACAAGCTACAAATCTGAACCTCAAATTCTTCTAATAGATTCTTTGAATGGCATTTAGTAATTGGAACATAATCAAAAATATTTAATGTTTAAAATGGTTTGTTCTGCCAAGTTTTATGAATAATGTTTCTAAGAGGTTTTATGTTTGCCACTGGTATAACTTTTTAGCAAAAGACCTCTACATGATTTATATTCACCAGGTCTAAATCCTATATTACCTGTAAATGTATTGATATGTCTATAATCGTAATGCTTTAGTAAAGGTCGCTTTTTATCGAACTAAATAACATGGTAATTCAACATAACATACCAGTATCGACAATGTTGAGTTAAAAATCAAATCTCCAAATATCAGATTATAAATTGAAGTTCCTCAATGGGGACCGACCTGTGTAAATTTTTTTTACAATAATGAGAGTGAAAGCAAGATGTGTCATCGATACTAACAATCCTCACCTCAGCTCAAGAGTAAACAAACATACAGAAATACAGCCTGTATTTACCAAGACAACATATCAAATTTCATCTTGAACATAAGTAGGCCTATGGTGTCTGCAAGTAGGCTACAATTAGCTTGGCTTTTTGTTTTATATCAAGCCGTCAATCCTGGCTTCATGGATCACTGAGTGACTTGCCCTTTTCCATGAGCACATGGCTTGATTAAAGGGGAGCAGGGTGACTGGGCTGCAGCCAAGGGCCCCAATTTTAAAGGGACTCCCAAATTAGTTCTTGGTTTAAACATGTGTGAAGATTAGGCCCTATATATCTGGTGCACACGGCAGTAATTGTTTTCAGAGATCGGTGCATGTGTATTTTCTTTAGATTTGTAGCACAACAATTTTGTCTTGCACGCTGTGACTTTAATCTATAATAATTGTCATGTCTTCCAAAATCTGTTGTCAATTCGCAAAAATGAACTATAACGGAAGTACCGGTAGTGCAGACTCTGTGAGCGACTCAAATTCACCCCATCAAGTAGTCTTGATCTTGTACATGTATGGCTAATGTATGTGAACAATTTTGAGTTTCAGTGGTAGGCTACTTCTTTGAAATTACACGCCAGGCAAACATAGCCTATTTTATCACGCATGGATTTTTTTTCATTCACACTTAAGTTTAGGTTGCACTTCTGAATCTAGTATTAGTAAGCATTTTCATTGGACACACAAGATTCGTGGAAATCAGACGTACTCTGCAGACTGGATGATACGGGCGCTTAGGAATAGGGACCAGAGTGGAAATTGGACAGTTTACATAGACTTTTGAGTATATGTTATAGGCTATCTGTGCACTTTTATATAAAGCATATTTATGTTGTATATATGTTTGTTTGAAATAATTGTATCTATCTTCCATAAATATTGCATCTGTATATATGAGTGTGGTGGACAAGGACAATGACTAGAATATGCCCCCCCCCCCACACACTCCCTGTTCACGGTTGATACAATTGTTAAAGGGCTGCATAAGTAGTGCATGCCTCTCGACTCTGACTCTAGTGACACTTTTACCCACCAGTGGCACCACGGGCCCCATGCAGTCATGCACGCTTAATCCGGCCCAGATGAGCACCGGTTTTAGGGTTGTAAATGTGCTGTTATGTGTAATCAGATAATAAGATAAGGTAAATCAATTAGCTATCAATATTTTTACCTGTGAGTGAAAGAATCTGGCAAATTTTCTCTCCATTCTACTGGAACAAAATGCTTCTCGGGTGGGCTACAAATTTTGACAGCAAGCCAAGATAATGAAGAGCAAGGCAAGGGAGATTACTGCTTTGTTTACATTGGTTTCCAATAGTCTTGATTTTCCCAATTAAATAACTAACAAATCAAAGCGGAGAGAGAGAGAGAGGGAGATCTAAAATTAAAGGAAAAAACTTTACTTTTTGAATTATTTTTTTAAAAATAAACATGAATATGCAAATTGATGAAATTGATTGTATCTATAACTATTATAAAAATAAAGAGATGCAGGTCCTGTATTACCAAGGTCAAAATTACTCATGGGTCCTATTTAACCGTTATCGCTAAATTCTTGTAGATAATTTGTGTTTTGACCATAAGTGTCAACAACAATGTTCTGGAATAACACCATGCATGACAATGGTAGACGAACGGTTAGGTCACAGAGGGTAAATAGGTACTAAATAGAACTAGGGGTAGAGTTAAAAACCTCTATGACAGCAGTCCATTCAAAAAGTATTATAATTATAATACAGAATAAGGTTGGACATCAGGGTTTTTTTCACACTATCCGAACGACAAGATATACTGTTCGTGTTAGCCCTGCAGCAAGAAATTTATGGCTTATGACTAATACAGACCCTCCACAAACAGACAAGAGAAATTATACTAAAGATTTTATTTTTTACAAATATTTTTACATTTTTATATAATAAATATATTTATAACATATGAATCATGTACATCATTTTCAACAAAAACAAAAAAAATATTCTATAGTATAACAAGCAATTTCACAATGACGTGCAATAGACCAATTCATAGGGGATACTCGATTGAACGTTCAGGAATTGTATTCACTCAATGCCCAAAATAGCAAAAAGGGTGATTTCGGGCTATAATGCATGCATCAACTGCATTAGAAAATATCTCAACCAACAGCTGAAACATATTCGTTGTGTTTAATTACGTCACAGTTCTACTCACAGCATGTCAGGAAAGATAGAACTTTGATACGACTGCATTCTGTGTCATATCTGACTGAAATTCTTTCAATTTGGACGTTCAGGATTGACAATCGAGCATCCCCCATTGTTATAGATAAAGGGAGGCAAGTATAATTAGTTGCTTGTCACATGATTTAAAGTTAAACTTTAAAAATTACTAATTTGAATACCATTCATGCAACTTGATCAAATCATAGCAAATTTAACATGAAAATTATTTATTAATGACCAGTCAAGATATCTAATGCAAGGCATCTTTAAACTCGACGTAGAACTGCTACTGAACGAAATGGCAGAAAATAAGATAATTTTTATAAAATTTCAAAAAAACACATAATATTGACCCATAGAATGGATCATTTCACTTTTACAACTTACAACTGCATTACACTCAATTATGACAGACTCTTCACAATGCTTAGTGCTAGGTATCATTCCACCAATACATGAAATTTGATTGGTTATTGTTTTGATTGAAAGTGAGCAACAACTTGTAGCTTCAGATGAAGCTGACAAAAATCAGCCGATTAAGATCCCGGGCTCATAGTGTTTTATTAACTAACCAAGATCAGTCTTTGTGCAGGTATTTTCAATTGCTGATATAGTAGGGGGTCGACCCACAATAAGAGAACACGGAATGGGGTTTAATGTTTCATCTACACAGTATTTCGGTAGTCATTAAATAACAGAGAGAGAGAAATGGGGATTAACGTCCACTCGACACAAACTAGGTCATTTCGGGACTAACATATGGTTTAATTTCATTTAAATAATCCACTTGCGCATAGGGTTTTTTAGCAGTGGGAGAAAACCGGAGGACCCAAACAAAACCCATGAGGTTGGACAGGCAATCCTACTCTTTGTCACGTACAACCGAGGAATTGAAACCGCGCCAGTTGACTCAATGACAGGCTGTGTGATACAACGCACATGCGCTAACCATTCAGCCATCCAACCCCCCCATTAAATAATAGTTGAAGCAGATGACAACTATAGTACATTGTATTTACAGTCATCATTAAAATGAAGTAAGATATAACAGTCTATCATATAATAGTTTTGGGTGTTGGTTCATTATTTGTGACGTATATTTATTTTGTAGGCCCAACTTCTACACATGATTGACTTTACATTTTTTCTTTGTATTTGAATGAATACAATCATTATAGCAATCCTCCTTATATTTCATGCTGTCTCCATATTTATATTTCGAGGGCCGTCTTCCTATATTATCAAGTCAATAGTAAGAATGATATATTGCTGTTGAATATATCTGAATTCTATTTCTCCTGATAGATATAGTCTATTAAGATTCAATATAAACAAATGAATATTTATTCCCATTCTTGTTCTGCTGTTATCCATTCATCATCTTCTATAAATGATTTATCTATACATCTGTAAGACAAGATACAGGTGAAATAACACAATATAGACCATTTTGGGATTGATGTTGGGATTAACACCTTTAATTCACATGCTCACATGGCTCTTTTATCAGTGGAAGGAAAATGAAAAACTCAGGAAAGTATCAACATAAAGCATGCAAACCCACCCCTTCTAAGATATAGTTGATATAATTCACAGAGCGGGGGGGGGGGGTGGGGGGGGTGTCACAGGGGTAAGACGCTGGCTTGCTAGCCTGGGGGTCGGGTGTTTGCTCCCTGCATTGGCCGAGAAAGTTCATCCAGATTTTCCGGCGTGGTTCCCCCTTGTCTGTGATGCAGAACGGAGGGCCTGACAAGAACAGCTGTCTAGTCATTCGGATGGGACGGAACGATATTAGAGTAGGCCGTAGTGCCTCTGTTCGGCCAAAATTTCCCTCATAGCACACTGTATGACGTATGCCCGTCTTCATTAGCCCAGTTCAGAGCAGAACAGTAGGATGTTAAACCCCATTTCATTTCATTTCACAAATTCACAGCTTGCATCATTATAGGGGTTTCAGGTCAAGTTTCAACTGACAGAATATTTTTTGAATGGATATACATAAAATACTACCTAATAATTTTTATTTCATCAAAATATTCTAATTAGATCCAAAGTTATGGAATTTTAAAATCCAAAATCGACATCAATAATGTAATTAAAATATGAGTTAATGTGTGGCATGGCACCAAAATATCTGCTTTTCAGTGATATCTGAGTAACGTCGTCATAAGCGGTATTTTCCCTTCAGAATCGCTAGTACCAATTTAAAAACTGAAATCCACACGTTACAGTCAGGTAAGATTTATTAAAATCGTAATCATTTGAACAATGATATGTCAAACATTTATAATCTGGATGATACCCCCAAAAAAAGTAGGCTATATTTAGTCGGAATTTAGCAAATTTCAGTCAGCAAAACAGATAAATCCTGTTTTCTACGGTTGTAATTGTTAGATCTCGGGGTATCACGCATCATAATAATCACAAAAATGCTATCTATTGTTTAATTGGTTCTATATTAAAATCCCCCGGAAACTAAGGTGCGGATTCACCAATGAAGTGAGCCGTAGCAATGGAAAATCCCCTGCCGCGTGACGTCAGAGCGTTTTTTCCCCGCAAGCGTCTCCCGTGCATAAACGGTAATTTCACTTACATTTCGATAATTTTTGAGCCTGAATCTTTGCAGATATTGAGATTGATATTAAACTATTACAATACAATTGCTAGTAATACATTTACATAAAATAGTAATTCAGAATCATAGACTGAAGTGGGCTATATTTCAGCCGCTGGCTTTCCGATTTCATGCTAAAGTCACGTGACCTGAAACCCCTAATCAATAACAGACATGCTATAACATCCTGTACTATATGTAGATGACAAGAACAGATGATCCTTTATAAAAATGAAAACCCTCTTCTCAATATCAGGGATTGAAGAGGAAGAGAATGAGAGACAGAAAATTTTGGGGCTGGAACCTGGAGATAGAAGAGAAAACCCATGGGGTTAAGCAGATCCCAGTTTGCATCGATGGCACATCTTATGATATACAGCACACATCCAACCTCTGAGGAATTCATACACAAGGCACATAAACAGTTTATGTATACTATATAGCTATACATTTCTATTGAACTTGTGTATGTAATATGAATCTTACAGGGTTCAGATACTGTTCCTTCCTCAATAAATATTGTATAAAACAATTTAATTACCTGATCATAAAATCACCACAGAAAATACATTCTGATGCTACAAGATTATCCAGTTGTGTCTGTTCGAAATAAAAATAATAACATTATTGACAAGATTATCCAGTTGTGTCTGTGTGAAATAAAAAATAACATATTGCAAGGTTTATTGTTACACTACATGTACTTGTAATGTTTTGAGATTTTTCAAATGACAGAGCAGTGAATTCCAAATTGTAGCTTAAAATACTGAGTAGTAAAGTTTTCTATATTTTTTTTTTAAAGAGCTACATGAAAGTAAATTTATGAATTTACCACAAACAGTGCCATTTGTTATATTTCATCAAGTTATAGTATTATCCTCACCTTGACCTCCAGGTCTGATGTTTTTGACATTGAGCTTGGCTTTCTCAACCTATTATCATCACGTTCAGCTAGTTTGCGCTGTAAACCTTCAACTTGAGTCTTCTTAGAACTGGGTAAACTTGGTAAAACCTGTAAAACATTAAACACTAAATAAAAACATTATAGCTGTAAGAGGTGTTCATGCTGTGTCAAGATATATATAATTGACTGGAGAAAAAGGTGCTAAAAATTAAACAGTGAGGTAGGTGGAAGTAATCTGTGTAAAAACTGCCTTCTCAAAAATCTAAAGATGCTTGGTGGATCAGTGAGTAATCTTGAACAAATAAGTAAAGGACCCCCTAACACTATAAAGTTGATATCGTTGACAAAGCAACAAATAACTTTTATAAATGAATATATACGACACTAGCAGATCAAAGACGTCATTTTATATACATAGTGTTTATTAGTTCATTAAAATTGCAGGCAGAATCCATTAACTAGGTGTTATGTCACTAAGGTATTAAAATTGTCATTATTGAATAATACACATAGTGTTTATTATATACATAGTGTTTATTAGTTCATTAAAATTGCAGGCAGAACCCATTAACTAGGTGTTATGTCACTAAGGTATTAAAATTGTCATTATTGAATAATACACACTATTGTCCAGGCGAATCAGTGAGCAATCTTGAACAAATAAGTAAAGGATCCCCTAATGATTAAAGGGCCTAATCCAAGAAGATATATAAGTCTAGTGTTTAAATTGTTTTGCTCTGTTCTGTAACAGGGATCTTGTTTCAATGATATTTGTCAGTCTTTACTGACTAGCAATCAGCTTAACTGACAGTCAACTTACATGTATAAAACAATAATTTAAAAAAAATCTATCCTTAAAACACAATAAATATGATTAAATTATAGTTTTAAAGTGTACAACGTTTTCAACATATATATAAAAATTGTCAATTACTTTGGTAAAGATATTTTGCCAATATGAAAAATTTTAAAATGTGTCAGTCCTGAAAGCCATGGTCAAGAGTAATTCCTAGCTTTTTCATTCCATCAGGTTGCAGGTTGCAGTTTCAAAATCATTTTTTTTTAGATCATTTGAACAAGATTTTTCAAAGTGATCAAGGGCCATAACTCTGGCAGTAATTATCGTAAATCATTAGGCTTCTTTATTTCATGGCATTAAACACTGTATATAAATTTAAAGTCAATCAGATAATAACCTTTGCCTCTAAAGCATCAACAAGATTTATTAAAGTGATCAAGGGTCATATCATAACTCTGGCAGTAATTATTGGAAATCAATAGGACTTTTCGTCTCATGACCATAGACACTGTGTATAAAGTTAATGTCAATCGGATAATAACTTTCGCATCTGGAGCGACGACAATATAAAATCACATTTCAATGTGGCCATATAAAAACAAGGACAACTGAGATTCCAACCAAATGAAGTTACCCCTGATTTCTAATTCTGTCTTACCTCTGCTATTAAACAATCCATGTGGAATTTGTGTTGGCATGGAAACAGATAAAATGCTCGCACCATTAGAGGATAATTACATGCTGAACATTTATCTTCTGCTTTAACAAAACCATATCTAACAATATCAAATAAAACATTTTACAAATTATATTTATAAATATGTGTGTGTGTTATGGATATAAGGAAATGAAAAGAAATGGGGTTTAACGTCCTACTGTTCTGCTCCTATGCTGGGCTAATGAAGACGGGCATACGCCATACAGTGTGCTATGAGGGAAATTTTGCCCGGGCAGTGGCACTATCGCCTACTCTTATATCGAATTCCAACTGCCAAGGGATCTTTTACGTGCATTCCAATGTATACACGGGACCTCGTTTTTCGAATCATCCGAATGACTAGACAGCTGTCCTTGTCCAGTCCTGCATCACTGACAAGGGGGAACAACGCAGGAAAATCTGGATGAACTTTCTCGGCCAATGCAGGGATTGAAACCTGACCTCCAGGCTAGCGAGCCAGCATCTTACCCACTTAGCCACGTGATCCCCATGGATATAAGGCCTGATAACGATATAAGGCCTGATAACGACAAGAGGATACTTGTTGAAACCTCTTGCTTTCAGAATAAAACCAGTGATTGTTTTCCCATAGAAATTGTGTTCTGTTCACATAAAAAAAAAAAAAAATTGTTACCAATGAGAGAGAGAGAGAAATGGGGTTTAATGTCCACTCAACACAAACAAGGCCATTTCGGGACTAACATATGGTTTAATTTTATTTCAATAATTCGCTTGCGTGTAGGGGTCTTTAGCAGTGGGAGGAAATCGGAGGACCCGGGGAAAACCCACGAGGCTGGACAGGCGACCCTACTCCTTGTCACGTACAACCAGGGATTCGAAACCACGCCAGTCGACTCAATGACAGACTTTATGATACAGCGCACGCACGTGTTACCAATGAACTGCCACCCCTGCTTTGCATGTTGGGTTTGGGTTTTGATGACTTTTTAGTCTACAATCCAAGTAAAGGAGCTGAATTTAAATTTTCTACCAAGCTTTGGTGTATATTCCTGATTTTGAGGAGGAAGGGTAACAGAGAGAGAGAGAGACAAATGGGGTTTAACGTCCACTCAACACAAACTAGGTCATTTCGGGATTAACATATGGTTTTTTAATTTTATTTACACAATTCGCTTGCGCGTAGGGGTCTTTAGCAGTGGGAGGAAACCAGAGGACCCGGAGAAAACCCACGAGGTTGGACAAACGACCCTACTCCACGTACAACCGGGGATTCGAAACCACGCCAGTCGACTCAATGACAGACTTTATGATACAGCGCGTGCACGCTAACCATTCAGCCATCAAACCCCCCGAAGGATAACAGAGTTAAGAGGTTTGGTACTTTGAAATGTATGGTGGACATAGTTACTAGTATGCTACTTTCAATTTCTGTATCTCAACATTTCCATGACGAAAATCATATCATATAAGTTTTTGAGCAAGACATTGCTCCATCTGTGGTAGGTGTTCAACTCAATGAAAATTGATGAAAAATTTAAAACCAGGCAAAGAGACGAAAAATTAATGGGAAAAACTCTGACTAATTGCATTCTACCTCGATCTCATCTGATATCGTGCATATAAATTCACACATCAAGTTTTCCATTAGGATGAAAAATGTAAACAGCATTACATTGAGAAGCATGTGGAGGACCGACAGGGGTGATAACAATTAATACGGTGTTTATAAACAAAACTGAATCTTTTGTCATTTCGCTTACTTATTTCTAAAACTCTGTATTTCTTTTCGGATTTCCTCGGCACTTTGTGTAGCTTCTTCCATTTCATCTTTTAGGGAATCTATATGTTGGTTATATTCTTGTAGTGATGTAATAATTGCTTCCTAAAAACATAAATCACAGTCTTAAAATTAAAACAAATAATGTTAAAGCCACTGATCATTATTTGAAGGTAAATGTAAGTGTTTGACGTCCTACTGTTCTGCTCCAACTGGGCTATTGAAGACGAGAGCATACACCATTGAGTGTGCTATGAGGGAAATTTTGCCCGGACAGCGGCGCTACGGCCTACTCTTATATCGATTTCCAACTGCCAAGGGATCTTTTACGTGCATGGCAATGTGTACACGGGACCTCGGTTTTTCGTCTGATTTGAATGACAGCTGTCCTTGTTAGACCCTTCATCCTGCACCACTGACAAGGGTAAACCACACCGGAAAAATCCTTCAGTCTCAGCCAAGTTAACAGCTCGAACCACAAAACGTATCTAAACCTACTTAATATCGCAGCTATATGATGGCATCAAGAGTTGATTATGGTCTTAGTAAGTTAATTAATGTCTAATTAATAATTTATAAAGAAAGATTTAGCTCTTGCATAATGCATGTTTAAGCCATGCATAATTAGATATTGTTGGGGACAGCAACTTTAAGGCCATTTTTATGTAATAAGACCTTAAGTGTTTTGCTACATCCAAACAAATGGGAAGAAACAAATTTCGTAGGTTCTTCTTGGCCACCACAAATGTAAGGCCCAAAGTCAAAATAATAAAAATTGTTTTACCTTAAAATGATCAATAGTAACAAAATCTGGGAAAAATGGTAAAATATCTTCTATTTTTAAAAGTTCACAATCATGTAAAAACTCCATTGCTCGTTTAACATCTTTTTCTTCTTCTACAACATGTCTCGCTGAAATATAAAACGAAACTACATAAAGTTTAATTCTTATTCAATACAATAATTTGAGACTGGGTAATTTACTTCCTATGGCCAATGCAATGAGAATTTTAATATTAGAAATGTAGAGAGTCAAATGGGGTTTAACGTCTACTTGACACAAACTAGGTCATTTCGGGACTAACATACGGTTTAATTTGATTTCAATAATTCACTTGCACTTAGGGGTCTTTATCAGTGGGAGGAAACTGGAGGACCCAAAGAAAACCCATGGGGTTGGACAAGCGATCGCATTTCTTGTCAAGTATAAGTGGGCAATCGAAATCACGCCACTTGACTCAATGACAGACCTGATGTTTTCTGGCACACGTGTTAAACCACTAGACCACCCTACCCCGCCCTATTAGAAATGAAGGAACAAAATAATGTGGTTTAATATTCCATTAACCCTTTCAATGCTAGACGTAAATCCACTGCCTGTGCTAGACCCTTTTTTGAGGAAAAAAGGGAGGTTGGAACTGAATGCCAAGCAGTACTTATGGAAGCTTTTATGAAAAATCTTTTTGTCTGTTGGGATGGGCATGAGGTTGGGCTAAGAGGAAAAAATAGAATTTTGGAAATTTGCATAATAATGTAGTCATGTGACGTCATGGCGGCCATTTTGGATTTCTCATTTCTCACTAAAGCTAACACGAAAACAAATTTTTCTCCATGAAATACTTAAAAGATATTGTTTTTTTCACTGGATTTTGATAAAGATATATAAAATGAACAAAAATATCAATAGCAGCCATGAGCAATGCCGCCACGAACACGCGCATCACATCTCCCGCTGCCATGACCACGTGCGGATTGCAATACCTTATTGCAATACCTTGTTTTTACTTTCACTTTCATCCCCAAGTCCCATATCATTATCAATATAGTCAGTCAATAGATCTACACGTTCGGGACTCAGGAATTGCCTACGTCTTTTACGATCCAGCAGGCCAGCATTATTATCAACATCAGAATTATTGTCAGAATCTACTGCAGACACAGGGCTATCGTGTTCACATTGGGCTTGTTCATCATGCACGGGAGACATAGCTAGCCATGGGCGGAACGTCGCGCAACAAATCACACACTTCATAATACCAATCACTGTCCTGACTACTATCATTATCAAGTAACTGGAAACGAATTATGTGTATCACCCGCCTCGAAATTGTCCACGTGTTGGTCAGCAAGACGTCATTCACGACTTCGTCGAGAGTGCATCGTCTACTTTGTCACTATGCACTCCGCCATTTTACGGTTTGCCGCTTTGAAACACATGGAAATATGTTCTAGTGTATAGAAAATACAATAGATGGCACTTGGAGTTACGGTACTAATTTTAGCGAGGGCTTTACTGAGTACACGGTAATACCGGGTACGCGCATTTTACCGACATTTTATAATACCCGGTACTACCGGGTATACGCAGTGAAAGGGTTAACACAATAGTTTGGTTAATTTGAGATCAGATGAATTATTTCCTATATATGGAGCAATACAAGGAGAATTTGAATATTAGAAAGGTAAGAAATAATGGAGTTTAACATCAGTACAATGTTTTGGCATTTTGAGACTAACACTGTGATTTTTATTTTCTTTATAGTTGTGTGCATGGTGAGGCAATATGATTTTACTATGGTAGTTATGTTTCCATCTATTCATCTTCAAAGTCTATTACGCAGGACGGAGGGACTGACAAGGAAAGCTGTCTAGTCGTTCTGATGGGATGGAAAACCGAGGTCCTGTGTACGCATTAGCGTGCACGTAAAAAATCCCTTGACATAATTCGATATAAGAGTAGGCCAGGCGAAATTTCCCTCATAGCACACTGTATGGCATATGCCCGTCTTCATTAGCCCAGTTCAGACCAGAACAGTAGGACGTTACACCCCATTTCATTTCATTTCATTTCATTTCAATGTTTGTTTTACATTCATCACCAATATGTATGTACATTTAACATTAGGCATTATCCAACAGCTAGGAACCAGTCTTATTGAGAGATGTATGTTTTTTTTATTACCTATTCTTAGCCAGAGTTTTTTTCTGATATCGACATCATCCTCATCAGGTTTAGACGCCATCTGTTTAGCTAACTCAACATCCACCTGGATAACAAAAACAAACATTTAATTAATACTATACAGAATTATATGGTGGCATTTAAAAGTTCTTGGGCTGGATATTTATGAGCTTATGATCAACTTTTGGAGAGGAATTTATGACCATATAATCAAATTTTGCAGAGATATCCCTTAAAACTGATCTGAAATGAATGTCACATCATCACTATGGAACAATAAACATTAACAACCAGGTGTGTAAGCTGTTTTACTTTTATCTCATCCATGTGCACATTGGCATGCACGTGAAAAAGAGAGAGAAGGAGAAATAGGGTTTAACATCCACTCAACACAAACTAGGTCATATTGGGAATAACATATGGTTTAATTTTATTTCAATAATTCGCTTGTGCGTAGGGGTCTTTAGCAGTGGGAGGAAACCAGAGGGCCCGGAGAAAACCCACGAGGTTGGACAGGCGACCCTACTCCTTGTCACGTACAACAGGGGATTTGAAACCACGCCAGTTGACTCAATGACAGTCCTTATGATACAGCGTGCACGTGCTAACCATTCGGCCATCCAACCCCCCCCCCCCCCCCGGCTTGCAAGTGAAAGAACCAATGTACATTGTGTAATTCTTTGCAGGTTTTAATGGGATATCCTTAAGAAACAGATCATTCAAGATTTACCCCTCCCCCCCCCCATTGTCTAAATGTATCTGTTTCTTAGATTAATAAGTAAATAAAATTTAAAAAAAAATAATGCAAAAGAGTTCTTCCCTAACACTCCACACGTGCCCATAGAGATAAGTAACTACAGTAGTTATACTTACAGAGAGAGCCATATCAACAGCTTCTTCATATAAACCCATTATACAGTAAACATGTACACAAGCTTTAGTATGTTTATATTCTGTACATAATCTTAGAGCATATTTTACATCATAACATATGTTATCACTGTTCTGAAACATAGAATAAAAATACAGATTAACAATACAGTAGAGTTTCCATATACAAATATGGATGAACAGAGACGACAACATAATACGTCCACATGAAAATGTGGCATAAAAAAAAAAATGAAAATAGTATCAGAAATAAAAGGAATATACAAAAAAATAAAATACAATTTTAAATACAGCTATCTAAAATTACATAATGTACATTATATATGTTCTTACCTCCCCTTGCATTTCTAAATATATCATTAGATTTGCTGGTTGTATCTTAGCATATAAAGATACTAGATAATTGTGTATAGCAGTGTCTTTGTTATCCAGTTGCTGAACACAGAATTCTAAATAACGTATTGCCTCATTACCCTGTAACAGACATAACAAACATCAATTAATTTTCTCTCAAAACTCTTACATTTTATTAGAGTTCCATTAAATAAATTAATTTTGCACAAAAAGGGAGAAGCATTGTGAGAGATAGATATTTAAAGTTCACTCGATATTAACCAGATCATTTCATGACTAACATCTATTATATCTTTATAAAGTCTTCAGCAGTAACCAAAGATTAGGTTAGTAACTCAATACCTAAAAAGTTTCTGAACCCTGTAGAAATATTAAGAAAGAACATACAATATACATGCAATCTCATTCTAAAATTCTAACCAAATTTTACACAACCCTCTTAATTAACCATTATACTTCTAATTACAATGTACCTGCTGTTTATATTTTTCTTGGTCATACTGTACTAGAGCTGGTATCAACTTTTTAGGGTCAAGTTGTCTCCCCTGTTTAATCCAGGCGTCAACTGTTTCCTTTGGTGTATATTGCATCAATATTGGTGAAAACTTATAATATAGTTCTACATCATTCTATAGAAAATAGAGATTAACAAATTACAATGATTAGACTACTTTCGTTTTGATCAAAAATAAAATTTTGTGATTTTTTTTGAGAGATGACAATTTGCCTTCATAGAAAATTTTATGACTGTAGTGTTGATATATAATGATAGAAACATTCACATGGTCATGTTTTAAACCAATAATAGTACATCATTATGGTTTGCTCCTATGAAATGAAATTAACTAACCCAAATGAAGAATAGTTTTGAAAAATAACTGGGAATAGAAATCAATTCTTGATAAAAAGATAGATATCAGCCTTGATAGTGAAGCCCTTGTGTACTCAGAGGTGGACAGAATTTTTGGGTAGAAGGGTTGGGGGATACGAAAAAATCAGGGGTTATTGGTGGCACATATCTGGACACAAATATAACATTCAATTTTCATAAGCTACATCAGCAAAACCATCAAAAAACTAAAATTTACACGTTTAATAGAAACAGACTAATAAATGTATATTTTATACTTAGGGGGAGTCTGGGTCCCTAGGGCACCCACCTGGATCCACAACTGTGTGTACAATATATTAGTGTTATATAAAAAAATAATTTCTAAGCAAACAAAGATTGATCAGGATGACCTGACTATTATGATGGCACACAAACATTGCCAAACTGGCTTTTTACAACTTCACAACTGTGTCAAAACAGAAATCTATCACATACCTGTTTATTTTGTAGAACTTCTAAAGCTCGTTTGTAATTCTCGTGTTGGAGATGATGGGAGATAACTCTCTCGTAGTCTAAAATACAACCAAAAATAACATGTCAGCTGGGCAGAAATTATAATGAAATGGGATTTAACATCCTACTTTTCTGCTCCGTCTGGGCTAATGAAGATGGCATATGCCATGCGGTGTGCTATGGGGTAAATTTTACTGGGACAGCAATTGAAATCCATCTGGGAAAGGTTCTTTTATGTGCATGTCAAAGTGTACATGGGGCCTTGCTTTTTATCGTCCCATCTGTCAATTTTCCTGTCAGTCAGTCAAGACTGGTAAATATTAATGAAACAAGAGCCCTGGTTCTAACCTGTCTTGAGAGATTACATCTCTGTAACAAACTGCTACAAACATTTTATCTACAGTAAATTTTAACTGGCCTTAGATATATTCTACACGTACTAATTATATGGGTTGACAGGGATACATATCTTAATAAAAAAACACAAAGATTTAATACCCAGTTAGGAGGAGGATAGAAAAAATACAACCATGTGTTCATAGATTCCGTTTGATACATACCTTTCATTAAAACAGCAAAGAATACCATATCTTCTACATCCCCATGGCTAGCTATTAAATCATACACCACACCACGATTATTACTTAAACAATCCTAGAAATAAATACAAACACACTTTAAAAACACACACAGTGATTGGGATATGAGAGTATGAGATCCAATGATCCATATTAATTCATTTTATCATTTAAATTTTATGTGTCTTGTAAGATTTAGATAAAGAGATGACCGTTCTTGCTATAATAGATTAAAAATGGATATTGAAAGATTAATATAATGAAAATTTCAGGCAAGTTACTTTATTCTGAGCGATGTTCTGAATGTTTTAAGTTTTGACAAGAAATAGCATAAATAGTGTAGATTCTCATGTGCCATTGCTATGATAATAAAAATTCGAAAAAGTCTTGATTATACATTTTAACGTTTAACGAAGAAATGCCAGACATTGTCTAATCCACTTAATATCCCAGTCATAGGCAGATTTTGCTATTACATAAGGCATCTATTTCAACAATCAGACTTGATGAATTGGGGGTTGGGTGGACAAATGGTCTAATGTGTGCCATTTAGATCATAAGGTCTGCCATTAAGTCAAGTGTCATGGTTTTGATTCCCAGCTTAAACAAGGTGTAGGGTTACCTACCCAACCCTTTGGGTTTTCTCAAAGTCCTCTGGTTTCCCACCATTGCTAAAGAAATTATTGAAATAAAATTGACCCATGTTAATCCCAAAATGACTTTCTCAATAATTTTGTCAAGTGGATATAAAACCTTGTTTCTCCATCTCTTTCTTGAAGAGTCAATGGGGATGCTCGATTCACAGTCCAGAACGTTCCGAATTGACAGAATTGCAATCGAGTAATGCGGAATTCAGTTCTGTCACAGTTCTGTCAGTCCCGACAATGGAGGTGGTGTGAGTAGAATCGTGACGTAATTAAACACAACGAATATGTTTCAACTGCATGGTTGGTTGAGATATTTACTTATTCAGTCGACGCATGCGTTGTAGCCCGAAATCCACCTTTTCACTCGATTGTCACTATTTTTGGGATTGAGAGAATTCAATTCCGGAACGTTCAATCGAGTATCCCCCTTATGTACAGTGCACTACTTACCTTGACCTTTGGTTGTCCTAAAAATGTCCTAAAATATTCTTGTATAGCTACATATTCTTGTGATTCATCTTGATTTTGTTCTTTAAGTTCCCCAAGTTGATTTAAATATAATTCTATCAACCATGTTACTAGCATCGTAATCTGAGTTTTATCCTATAAAGAGAGAAAATATATAAATTCACACTTAAATATATAATACTATGATGAAAAAGAGAAATAATTCTATTAACTATTACCAGCATCATAATCTGGGTTTTATCCTATAAACAGAAGAAAATATATAAATTCACACTTGTCACTTTTGAAATCCTTTTTTTGAGGAGTGGGTGTTGGAAATTTGAATTCTGCTGCTAGTGGCAGATATAAGGAAACCTCCAACTACAAAAATATAAAGTTAACTTCCTGATGTAATAAATTAATTCTGCAATGTTTACTCTTGACATGAGGAGACAGGGATTGAGGAGAGTGAATAATAATTCCAATTATTGTGTTTTCTGAATCCTATTTACAGATGAGTTGTCAAATATATATCTGGTCTAAAAATGCATTTATATATTATTTATATGGGGTAGTCAGAAATGGTTTGTAATATTAACAAGATGCTTTATTTTTATTCCCTGCATTGGCCGAGAAATTTCATCCAGATTTTCCGGCGTGGTTCCCCCTTGTCAGTGATGCAGAACAGTGGGTCTGACAAGGACAGCTGTCTAGTCATTCGGAGGGGACGGAAAACCGAGGTCCCGTGTACTCATTGGCAGGCACGTAAAAGATCCATTGACAGTTGGAATTCGATATAAGAGTAGGCCGTAGTGCCGCTGTCCGACAAAATTACCCTCATAGCACACTGTATGGTGTATGCCCGTCTTCATTAGCCCAGTTCGGAGCAGAACAGTAGGACGTTAAACCCCATATCATTTCATTTTTATTTTTATTGGAGACAAGTGAGGCAAGGGAAAAAACAAAGCCTGAAGGTAACTGTCAGACATGATGGAGAACTATGAAGTCCTTATTCAATTATTTTTCCATCAAGTTTTCATTTTTCTGAAGTAAAAGTATTTGTTGGTATGGCAATTATACACTCAGTGCATGTTGATAAATGTAGCACTAATCAATCAGCAAATAGTAGTACTCAATTGAATACCTAAACCAAATCTTATTAAAAAAAAAACTTCCTGCCTTTACAGACTTGTTACAAAAATTCATTTTATTGGACCTTACCTGAGGCCTTAAAGATGATAATTTCTTCATTACAAATGTTTTTAAAGCTTCTTTCTGAGGCAGGCGTATAAACTTCAATGCTATTTCTTCAAAGGAATTCTGAGTGATTGCATATAAGGCAGCACTTTCTTCATATCTGGAAATATAAATAAAATAGTATAACCAGGGAGAAATCACCACCATTTATGAATTTTGATAGGGTTCTTCCTGATCATCTAATAAACAATCCCTTCAAATTTGAGCAATTTGTAGAGTGTTCACAAAAAATGGTGGACAGACAATGGATGCAGTTGACGACGATATACGTCCACTGTAAAAATGTTTGTGAATATTATCTATATCATCTGATGTTAAATTATTTATTACTTATTTTTGTTGAAGCGAAACTGAGCTTGCAGTTGACGACGATATATGTCCACCGTAAAAAGACATTTGTAAATTATCTATTTCATCCTATGTTAAATCATTTACTTACTTATTTTTGTTGAAGAGAAACTGAGCTTGCAGTTGACAATGATATATGTCCAACGTAAAAAGACTTTTGTTAAATTATTAACTTACTTATTTTTGTTGAATAGAAACTGAGCTTGTTTGGTTAAAACTTTATCTAACTGGGATGGATTGTCCTGAAATCATACATCAATATATTCATGTTCTAATTTATATCTTGTAAAATACACACTCCTATACTTAATGCCACTGAACAGAAATTTCAACAGAGTCGGTTAGCACCTTTGTTTATGAAACAATAATGTCTCCAACTAATTAAGAACTACCAGAATTCAGTACTTTCTGTAAGCGAGGGTCTGAATAATCATGTTTAATATACAGATATATTTATTGTTCCCTGTCATTTTGTTTGGGCAGGGATGAAAGGAGGGAGAAAATATTACGCAGAAATTTAGGAGGGCATTACAATCATGAAGTGCCCCGTATGTCTATTAGTAGAACTGCACTACACACAAAACAATACCGATAAGACAAACCTGCAGATAAATGAAATGAAATGAAATGGGACTTAACTTCCTACTGTTCTGCTCCGCGACTGGGCTAATGGAGATGGGCAGATGCCATGCAGTGTACTATGAGGGAAATTTTGCCTGGACAGCGGCACTACGATGAATTCCAAATGCCAAGGGATCTTTTACATGCATGTCAATGTGTACTCGGTACCTCGTTTTTTTTTTGTGTAAGACAAACGACTAGACAACTGTCCTTGTCAGGCCCTCCTGCACTACTGACAAGGGGAAACCATGCCGGAAAATCCTGATGAATTTTCTCAGCCAACACCGGGAGCGAACCTGTGACCTCCACACTAACGAACCAGTGTCTTACTCACTGAGCCAAGACAAAGACAAACTACACAGACATTGCAAGAAATAAACAACTAATATCAGCAGTAGCAGTCGGTGGTTTAACGTCTGCTTCCATATCTATGGTTGTTGTTTGATTAATTAATAGAGGACAATGCGACCTTGACATTTCATATGAGTGGAGGTCTTTGAAAATTAATTTACCCTACAATAATCTTTTGCTGTTTCAAAATCTTCCATATCTAAATACATCTGCCAAACATCTCTACATCATGAAATTAAATGTAAATACATAATCACTGGATTAGATATGTAGACACATAATGTTATATGTATTTATCATAATATTAATCAACAGAAAACCCTATGTATAATATAAAAGTTTTGTGCTATATAGCGTAGTCATATGTATAACATAAAAGTTTATCGCTATATAGTGTAGTCAATATCATAAAGTATTACTCTTGTTTTTATTGTTTGTTATTACATTTAGATATAATGAACCTATATCCATACCTGTCTTCATGAACTATTCTATATTTAAATACTGAATTAGTTGTATATGTCCAAACAGTTCCACGTATTGGATCTTTACATATACCCAGTAATTTACCAAATCTCTAAAATATACAATATCATGGCATTAAATCACACATCTCAAACAGACCAAATGGTTCATAACTATTTTAAACATCCAAAATGTAAACTACTTTACTTAAAAGATTTCAATATTTTTCTCATTTTCAGGAATTCAGATGTAAAAGAATGGTATTATGAAATTAGGGAATCAATTTGAGCGATCAGTTTCTAGAGTCTAGACTATCAAATTTGCTAAAAATCGGATAATCGCTATTGATAAAATTGGATATAGACAATATATTTTTTTTCTAGTATTTTAAAGGGTATAATGCCAAAGAGTTATTATGATGAGTTTTTTATGTTTATTAATTTGACAATATTGATAACAATATTAACGGTCTTTATTTAAATATGGAAATTCATTTCAATCTGAGTTTGATTCGTTTTTTATTACTTATAGGAAATATCAAATGATATTTATTTAATACAAATATTCAATAACAGATAAATGAAAACATATTGATTTGAAAGATTTACAATACTGGTTTCCAGAAATAATAAAATACACCAAACAGTCCCCAAATTGAACAACTGAATTGATTTAAATATTCAAACAGCATTAAAGTAGCTAAGTCTCTAACTCAATATCATCAAAAATCTTCGACATTGAAACACGAATTTATTTGTCGGTTTAAATCAACATTGATATTGTGATCTTACCGGGAAAATATGGCCTTCTAATATCCAATATTTAAGACAAAATAAACATTTTACAATTGGTACACGAATCGTGTACCATAACATAATACGTTTCAGCGCTATTTTTAAAAAGGGACTCGAAAAACGAGGCTAGGCATATTCCACAAGTCATGTCAAATGGTGACGCTATATTCTTAGCTGGAGAGCATGCCCAATAAATAATATCGGCATAGACTGGAATAACCAGACGCTAGAGATTGAAATATGTCGCCGAACCTAACTGATTAGAAATTACAGTAAAAAAGAAACCTTGAATGTAAATCAATTTATATACATTCATATTACATTATTGTATGTGTTGCGACCCATTTGTGTCAATTTCTAGGTCCCAAATATTAGCGACTTAGCTCCTTTAACATAATGACTTGGAATATTCAAACAGCATTAACATAATGACTTGGAATATTAAAATAGTAAAATTAGAATCAATGTGACCACTACAGGTATTTACATCCTTTAACATATAGAAATTATACACACCTCATTAGGATAAACATCATCATAAATTGTTTGTTCATTTAACGTACAGACTGCTTTCAATCTACAAAATACAATATATAGAATCAGAAGGAACAGTACCCTATTCTAGGTGCCCTATATGTTCATTACATGATCAACCCACCCCCATAGAATCTATAAAATTACTGGTATGTTTTTTAAAAAAAATTAAGCCACTCTCAATTATATCATTACGAGCCTGAAAGATCAGCGATTTATACACAAAACGTTGTGCTGCAGCGGGAGCTAATTAAAGTTGTTCATTAAACATGCATTATGTAAATAAGATTTAGATAATGAGCTGACAGTTCTCGCTATAATAGTTAAAAAATAGATAATGAAAAGGGAATATGTTGAAAACTTCAGTCAAATTACTTCATTCTGAGCAGAGTTATTGCTGTTAGAAGAACAGTGTAGTCACGGTTGTCATTGCTAATGCTATTACGATAAGAAACAAAGTCTCCATTATCCAGCAATGTAGAGCATCCGATGGCATTGATAGTTAATTATGGTCTTGGTAAGTTAATAAATGTCTAATTAATAATTTATATAACATTTAAGGCATAAAGAAAGAAATGCAATAGTCAGATTTAACTTTTGAATAATAAGCTAAATTCTAGATTTGAAATGCGATATATCATTTCAATTACAGGTCTCCATCACAACAATATAACTTCTTTTTCAAGATTACTTTGGAAAATTTAGATCCAGGGCTCTATCAGTGATAGGTGGTGCTAGAAATGTAATATAGGCACTGTGTTCATACTGTACCTGTCACTGAACAGTATTAAAACATGGAATTCTGTCATCACCATGGAGACTGGTTTATCACTTTTATCTTTAGGATATCTTTATTATGTTAAAGACTTTTATTTACAGTATTTTACTACTCAGAAAAAATAAATCAATTTTTATCGTTCGCATATACTACTTGTATATATGAAATAGTTTTTATTTCTGTAGCCCAAAGTTTAAATAATATATTTGAGAAAAGGATACGGAATCAGTTTAGCGTTAGATAGAACAGAATTAGCTCCAGCACCTCCTGTTGTGTCTATGGTACCATGATAAACTCCTGGACCTACAAAATATAAAACATTATAACCTTTCACAAAAATCTAGGTCTGTGGTAAACAGAAAATAAAATCTTTTATTAATTAATTTTATTTGCACACAATTTTTAAAGAATTTTTAAATTTAGTGGTGTTAAACATCAGTTTTAAGCAATTGATTGTCATTTACATTTGTCGAATAATGTATATTGAATATATATATACTCATATTGAGTATTTAACATTTAAACATGCATTATGCAAGAGCTAAATCTGCCTATTGCAGGTCTTTCTTTAGGCCTGAAATGTTTTCTAAAGTATTAATTAGACATTAATTAACTGATCCAGGCCTTAATCAACTCTCGATGGCATCAGATTTCTCCGATATTAAATAGATTAGAATGGTTCAGCGATACTTTGATTTAATCAAATATGGAGGACCGAGACTTAGCTTCGATCAACCAGTACGGTGGTTGAAATTACTGCACACGTCTGTCAAACCTTCAAAGGCTAATATCTTCGCTTGCAATAGAGTAATTTGAATGAAATTTTCAAATTATTTATTTTACATCATCTACTTTCGAACTATTATAGCAAGAATGGCTAGTTCTTTATCTAAATCTTACATAATGTATCTTTAATTAAAGATACATTATGGGAGATTCGATAACGAGTTGGCAGTTCTCACTATAATAGTTAAAAACTAGATAATGTAAAGGCAATTTGCTGAAAATTTAAATCAAATTGATCCACTATGAACGGATAACTAAGCGATTGAAATTTCTGCCTAGCCTCGATCATCATTTCTAAAGTCAGTACAATAAACAGCATAGTCTCGATTATCCATTTAATCGTTAAATCGTGACGGAAAGTTATGCAGTAAATCGGTTCACAATCCACTAAAGATTGCAGGCTAGCGATGCCATATAGAGTTGATTATGGTCTGGATATGTTCATTAATATCTAATTAATAATTTAGATAACATTTCAGGCCTAAAGAAAGACCTGCAATAGACAGATTTAGCTCTTGCATAATGTATGATTAAGAAAACTAAACCCAAATATCAATGGTAGATAACCAATCCAGTAGACGTGGTACAAGGGTTAATCAGCGAACTGGATGTATGAGATGTGTTGTTGACGTTTGGGAAAGTAGGACGAGGGGAAATGTGTA